CAGTTGTTACCAATTGTTATCAGGTCTAGAAAATATGGCTCAGCTATGACACATTTCTACTAAAAAAAAAGAAATCATTTCCCGAGCATTTTTCCAAAGTTCATTTATTTTGTATATAAATAAGGTAACATTGTTTTTTTCAAATCTGTATGAATTTTATTATATAATTCATGACGGTTTAATAAGATTAAAAAATTTGATTCCAAAACTTTAGTTTGTTTTTCTTAAATTATAAAAAAAAAAAACTGTGCTTAGCACAAAGCTGCGCAAAATTTGACTTACATTACTTTAAAGAATGTAAAAAATTCTAAAAAATGAAAAAAAAAAATTGTAGCGGCAGGATACGGGGAAGGGTATTTGACAGACAATATAAGCGTTATTTATATATTTCAAAGGATTGATTTAAGCCATTATTTCCATGCAATTTTAACCAACATTAAAATGGTTGAACCTATATTAATCCAGTGGAAAAGAAATATAATTAACTGGATTATCAAAAGTAGCCTTTAGAAATAACGCACACGACGACTAATTTAATCTGTAAATAAAGTAATGCTGGTACTATTTGACAACTCGTGGGACTGAATGCTTTACTCACTAGTGCTGCCCAAATGCGAGACCGAGATGAGTCTTATTCATGGTCTTGGTCTTGCGCAAGAGTCTCGGAACAGTCTTACAGTTACTTATTAGCTTATTATTATAGAGATACCACTGTAATTTTTTAGATAGGAGGAACCTAATCATGCACGACTGAAAAATTAGATGCGTTAAATGCAAAAGTATATTGGTTATATCAATTATTTACATATAGTAACTAAGATTGTCAAGTATTAGTAACTATTTTACCTTAATTTTTTATTTATCAAAAGTAGCCTTAAGCAATAACGCACTCAAGGGCTAATTTGATCTGTAAAAAAAGTAATGCTGGAACTATTTGTCAACATGTGAGACTAAATGCCTGCTCGCCCAAACATCTCTCTTACGTACTCTGCTGTGAGAGTTTATACGAACTATGAAAATTTACTATGCCATTTTTAGGTCACCAATTATCTATAAAAAATATGATATATTACATTTCTTATAATTTGAAAATTATTTTTGACGTACTAAATCAGCTATCCGCCCCATTGTGTAGCAGTTGTAGAACGACACTGGATATGTGTTGTTGTTTAACTAGATTCAATTATCCTTTTTCGTAAGGAATTAATCTCATTGACCGGACTTGTATAGACTTTTTGTTTAATGTCACTCCAAACAAAAAAATCGAGTGGTGTCAGGTCTGGAGAGCGTGCAGCCCAAGCCACTGGTCCTACACAGCCAATCCATTGATTGGGATATGGGATATGGGGTATGATTGAGGAAGTCCTGTCAATGACCTTAATACCCTGTATGTATTCCTTAATTATTGCATATAGGTATGACTGAGTTTTTATGTTTTTAATTTACTTATCTTTAGGTTATTTTACTTTTTATTGTACATAGTGGTTTGATTATTATTTAGTTATTATTTTATTTTTGTTAATTTTATGTTTTCTGTATATATAGTGTGAATGTGTTCATATCTTACTATAATTATTGTCCACGTGACAGGTTATTATATTTCTAAAAAAATAATAAATAAAAACAAATCCTTACAAAGAAGAATAATTGAACCTAGTGAATCAATAACACATTACAGTTACAGATCAAATCAGTGCCGTTTTGCCACTGCTGCTGTTGAAGAAAGATGCCGAGCCTGTCTTAATGCTTAAGGAAATCATTTTCGAGAACATTTGATATGAATGTTAATGTTTACATTTAATAAAGTTAGTTAACATTAATTAATAAAGTAGTTAGAACAAATAAATAGGTTTTATTTATTTAATAAAACTTAAATAATTCATAATAACGAAAATCTTCAGGTGTGAATATTTCCTAAATAAAGCGTTTGCGGACATACCTTCAGAGGAATTTTTTTATGGTTATTTTGAGGTCCTTAGTCCATTTTTGCAGTTTGGTCAATTAACTCTGAAACAACCTGTATAGGTATGTGTTTTTTTTTATACTTCCATACCTATACCAGGTAAGGAAAGTATTGCGATCGGGTATCCGACATGCTGTTTTCGACGAATCTAAAAGTTTCTGAGCTTCTTACTGACAGCCATTGGTCTGTCTGTCTGTGCCAAGATTATCTCGAGAACTAGTGGACATATTTCGTTGCTTCTATTTTTATTTTGTAGGTTTTTGACTACTGATGTCTGTGACATAAATTGGGTGCTCCATGCGCAATAAGTAAAAAACATATTTTTCTCCAGACTGCAGCGCTAAAACGGCTCTAATGATTTTGATGATACAGATAAAAATACGCCTACAACAAAGAAGATCCTGGAAAGATTCCAGAAGACCTTTGAGTAAGGATAAAGAACCTTTGGCAGGACGAAAGGATGACAGTCTGGTTTATCATATTAATAAACAATCATTATATAAACCAACTTTATTTATTTTAATCATAATAAAATCCTCATACCAGACTGAAACGACAAGAAATCGCTCGACGTTTCTGATTACTTCAACACTTACTAGACAACCCTTCTAAACTCCCTAAATTAATTACAAAAGCCTCATATACATGACTATAATAAGGCCTATTTGGACTTACGGAGTTGAGCTATGGGGCTCCACTAAACCATCGAATTCCTCTCGTATCCAATCCTTACAATCCATAACCCTTCGTAAAATCCTCTATGCTCCCTACTTTGTTACAAATAAAACCATCCATAATGACCTTAATGTTTCTTATTTTTCAGATCTGGCCCAATCCAGATACCTATCCTTCCATAATAAACTTCAGAATCATCCCAACCCTCTCGTTTCTAATCTTGCTTTCCCTTCAATTCCTGATAACACTCCGAAGCGTCCGAAAAGAAGATGGCCTTGAGATTTCCTTATGTAGACACATCATTAGAGTGCTACTATTGGGCAATTACTCAGCAAGTGTTTTCACATTATTATATCCATTTGTTCAAATTTACTAGATGTATTTCTTTAATAGAGTCGTAAATATCATTAAGAAATCATAATAAAAACCTAACTTCTAATTTTTCAAACGAAACAGCCTATGTCAGTTCATTCTTTAATTCCTTGAATGCTGTACAATCTCCAAAACGGTTAGTAGTATTATTTCTTCCTTGGGCTTAAATTATTAGGAATTATGGATTGGTAATTCCTTCAATTTATCTGTAATAGGGGTGTTATACAGCTCGATCCATAATCATTTCTTTGAAAACGTTCAGGATTCCTTGAGGAATAAATAGCTGGCGAAATTGAGGAAGAGACTATTGCAAAGACAGCAGCGGAACCGTCAACATGAAGTATATCATTTTGGTTTCGTTCATTATCTGTGAGTATTGGAATTTAAATAACTCCAAAAAAATATCTAATTTAAGAGATTACATTCTCCCAGCAGACACTTCTTATTTTTCGAAATAATTTTGAAAATTTAGAAATGAAAAAAGCTCTTAGTTACAGTAAATCAAGTTTCTTTTCGTGGTAAAGTCAATATTTTAATCTCTTGCTGTTCTCCAGGACATCAACTCTGGAATTTCCAATAAGGGAGGTATTTTCAATACAGATTTCTCTTAGAAAAGCGAATTTCAAAAGGATTTTCTATCGGTTATTTTTCAAATCCGACGAATTCTGAAGTGGCGTGCCGCAACATCATTTCTATATTATTGCAGTTCACTTGAAAATTGAACATATTTATATTTTTAATGATGTAGAGATGGTTGACCGTGATATAATATGAGAAGGAGTTGCGGTCAAAGGTGGGTGCGGTCAAATAAATACCAAATTATAGAAATAGTATTATTTAATTTTTTTGCCGACATATCGACCGACTTTGCAGGTCTTCATAAGAGCTACAGAATATAAAAGGTACATGGTGAAAATAAAATAAATGAATATAAGTAGATATAAAATAAGAAGAAATCTGATAAAGAAATAAAAATATGATATCAGAGATATAGTGAGTGATTATGTAGTTAAAATATCAAGTATTATATATATAGAATATACAAACAAAATAGAAAATAAGTATGAATAAAAATAGAAAACAAATACAAATGCTATATTCTCCTTTATTTTCTCTTCTTTTTACTTCTTTCCATATTATTCTTTTATTTCTTTATCAGACAATTTCTTCTTATTTTATATCTACTTATATTAATTTATTTTATTTTCACCATGTACCTTTTATATTTTGTATCTTTTGTAGCCCTGATGAAGACCTGCTAATTCGGTCGAATCGTCGCCAAAAAAATTAATATTTATTTGACCGCACCCCTCGATCAACTCCTTCTCATATTTATATTTTTATTCAAATATTTCAGGTAGTTAAAATTTGTTTCGGGAAATGTGGTAAAATCCTCGCGTAAAAATGGGAGGGAGAACATGAAGGAATCATATAATCCTAAGATATGTTGCTATATATAATTATCTTTTAATATAAATTAAATTTAAATAATAGCAACACGGGGCTTGGTAAGATACTTGCGTACCTACTTCTAAGCCTTAGCTTAGCCATAGAGTAGACTTTTACTATTTTCTTAATTAATATAATTTTACATATTTTATTTATTCACGTAGATCAATTGCTATTGATTCTATTTTTTGCTTGAGAATATTTTATATGCTCACGAGAATAGGTTACTTCTATAAAGACATTTTGTTTTTGTTTTACAAATCTCCAAATAGACTTCATTAAAATTTTGAATTAAAATCATTACAAGTATGTACAGAAATTGAATTGTGAAAAATGTATTGATAAAACAAATAAAAAACTTCCAATCCTTTCAGTATGCGATTAGATTTCATGAGACAGATGTTCAATTAGCTGTTCTTTTCTATCCTGATAAGGCCTGAATTGGCGAAACTTTGACGGATTTTTCTTTGCCTACAATTTTAAGACATATAAAGCATTATAAATATTTTAATTCCGTTTTGACTGATGTTTCAAACTATAGGTTTAGTGGCAACTCAAGATGCACTTACGTGTTTTGCCGGCCCACCTCCGTGTGAGGCCCTTGATTGCCCCGAAGAACACGACCCGATGTGTGGAAAGCAGAAAGTTGGCGAATGCTGGGAAATGAAGATTTTCAACAGTTCATGCATGATGCACAAAGCCAACGCCTGTGATGGAGGTATGTTTGCATCTATTGGTGATTTCAATTGCATATATTGATGTGAAACTAATTGTATGAGTTTGGGAAAAATTGTTCAATTGATTGGCTAAATTTTTTGTCATGAAACAATCTCTGCTAATTTTTTTGTCGATTGTAGTCACTAATATAAAATGAAATTTGTAAAATAATAATTATTATTGTATTCGGTTCAACCGAATAACGAATACAAATTCAGTCTTTATTCATGATTAATATTTTAGTTGTATTGTGCGTAAAAGACTTAAATTCGGATTAAAATCTAAAAAAAAAATAGATCAAAGTTAAATATAAGCTATTAGTATTTGATTGTAATAAAAAGGGCTGCACTAGTGATCCATTCTCGATGTACTATTAAGTGAGTTTTTTATACAATTAAATATTTTCGAATACATTTTTATTAGACTATTTTTTTATTCATTTGATGTTGTAAGTCAAAATTAATTAATACAAATTCATAAGGATGTTTTATTCTTTATTTTAATTGCATACAATTTTTTTAGATTTTGAACAAACTTAAACATTAAAAACACCGAAAAAATTTTTAGTCGGATTAATTTTCATCCTACCAACGGCTTCGGTATAATATTGCAAAAGTATTATAATAATAGCACACTACAATGGTACGTTCATTTTCAATTAACAAATAACTGCAAATTGACAAAATAACGGTATATTCCGTAATTGGTTTCTTAGAATGCGGACTTTTATTTTCCATACAACGGTACGTTGATTTTCAATTAACAAACAACTAAAAATGAAGAAAATGAAGGTATATTCTGTAATTGACTTCTCAGAATATGGATTGTTTTCATTTCCTGGATTTCTGTTTTCCATACTACAATGTAAAGTTGATTTTCAATTAACAAATAACTACAAAATAACGGTATATTCTGTAATTGAATGTATTTTTTGTTTCATTTCCTGGCTCTTTATTTCTCCTTCTAACTACTTTTATTAATTTTTTGTGTAGATTATTGCTTATTTTCTTACATTAATAATAGTGAATTTATATTATTTTAATTTTTAAGTATCTCGAATAATTTTTTTAATTATTATTAATTATGAATTAATTTGTGCTTTAACTTTTCATATTCATTTGGGTTTTTTTTAAATATTATAAATTTCTTATTGTTTTTACATACAATTACTTATTGCTGTTTTTATTAGGTACTAATAGGACGTTTATATTATATTGATATTCCCGTGCTTAAAAACTATTTATTATTATGTTTTTACCATTAATAGAAATATATTTTTATTTTCATACTTCGCTACATATTTGATGGGTTTTTTATTATATATTATATGGCATTATATTTAGTGTTTTTACTACATAATAATGTTAGTTATAAAATAACAATTAAGCACCAAATAGATATAATAAAAAAATTAGTATTTGTAAAAATATAAAAACGAATTGATATGTAACTCAAATCAAGATTTAAAAAAATAAAATAAAATACGTTTAATTTTTATTTTGTTTGTCAACATTATTATAGTTTTTTTTTTGGCAGGTGATTACATACCTTGCGTCGAAGATACGTGTGAAAATAAAGAACAGTACGCAAAAATTGGACAAGAACCTATTCAAATCAGTACCCAATAGCATGAAACAGAAATTACACCATACATGTTAAGCACATTAATACAACATACTTAGTTTGAATTTTGGTTAAAATAATAAAACTATTTTATTACGTTAATAAATAAATTTATAAATGTCTATACCTTATTTTATCTGCCATAACAAAACAAAATATTCTAACTTAATTAGTTGATACTTCAGATGTAATTTAGTCTACTGAAATTCATTCTGACTATATAAGGTGTGTAAATGTGTTGATTGTTTGAAAAAAAATTTAAGAGAGGCAGTACAATTTTACAAATTTCTTGTGGTTCCAAATCCAAAAAATAAAAGAAGTCTATTATTCCACATTCCCCTCTTCCTTGAAAACTTCCCTAGTCCTAACTTTGAATAAAACTTCTGACCCTTCCTCACTGAACGACTTCCGTCCTATTTCTCTTTTTTCCAACTTTTCATAACCGCTGGAACGCCTTGTCCAAAATCAACTTTCAAACTTCCTAGAAGAACGTTCCCTCAATTATCCATTCCAATCTGGCTTTCGACCTGGCTATTCATATAAGGCCCAGATTGAAAAAAAAGGAAGGTAAATATGAAAATATTAAAACGACTTAATACCTAATCCCATAAATAAATAAAGAATAAAAAATAATGTTACAGGTTTTAATTTAATTTATTGCTATTCATTAAACTGAAAAAAATATTTTGTTTTTACTTTCATGCCTATACCAGGTAAGGAAAGTATTGCGATCAAATTTCCGAAATGAGGTTTTCGATGGATCTATACGTTTCAGAGCTCTCCGAGTTCGAAAAACACATGTTTAGCCATTGGCCTGTCTATCTGTTGGTCTGTCTGTCAATGCCAAGAAGGTAATGAAATTCCCTACAAAACTATATAAAAATCGTTCACTTCTGACAACGATTAACGAAGTTACAGCTATTCAATTTCGAATGTAAGATTGCAGGTTCATATCCTGGTCTCAGAAAGGGGTGAATGAGAGAAAAAGATAACTAAGTGAAAGTAAGAAAATCTGTTGCCCGCATCACACTAGCTTCACTATTTCCTCTACTTTTAATTGAAATTATTGTTTGACAAAATTATGCAATGGAAAAAAGTTTTTGGTCAGCAATATCAGGGGGTATTGAAATGTTTGCACCGTATTGAAACCGTTACACCTTAAGTCAGTTAACATTGCTTTAGTTTATCAAATAAATCGTACTCAAATTTTTTCTTTGATCAATTTTTAGGAAAATAAATCTGATTAATTTTTTTTTTCTTGGTGAACATACGTAAAGATATTCAAACTTTTCTGGAATAGGTAGGAAAGTAGTGTGAGTGAACACCCCAGATTTTTTTTGTTTTGGAGTTAATTGTGTACCTTACGTTGAAGATATTAGTGGAAATTAGGATCAGAACTGAGTTAACAATGGATCAACAGCTTATTACAATCCACTTTTTGAAGGTGATTGATTATAAGTTAGAGACAAACTAAATGTTTCAAGAAAATAATGAAGTAATCAGGAGATTTCTTTATTTTAAACGTAAATTTTTTTTTTTTTTATTTCTTTATGACATTTACAACTGTATTACATAAATACATCAAGTAAATTTGGACATAATTGATATAATGACATGAATACACTTGCTGAGTAACTACCCAATGGTAGCACTCTAATGATATGACTATATTAGGAGATCACGGGGCCATCTTCTTTTCAGACGCCTCGGAGGGTTATCAGGAATTGAAGAGGAAGCAAGGTTAGAAACGAGAGGGTTGGGATGATTCTGAAGTTTATTATGGAAGGATAGGTATCTGGATTGGGCCAGATCTGAAACATAAGGAACATTAAGATCTTTATGGATAATGTTATTAGTGACAAACTAAGGAGCATTGAGGATTTTTAAACGTAAATTTTAGTATCAGAAACATTTATTTTGTCACTCATAAATACGGATCAATTCCTGTAATAGTGTTATTAGATTAAAAAAAAAACATTTTATTATCCTTTGAATGTGATGATGAATAATCAATAAATCATAATATTTGATTTTTTTTTTTAAATGAAAAGTGTGTTTAAGCATTTTTATTTATTTTTACCCATCCCAGATCATTAAAAAAAAAATAAATAAATTAAAGTCTTCTGTTCATTTTTCCTACTTTTGGTGTCTTGAAGTTTTTTTATTTGTTACAATAAATTAGGCCATTTTTCACCAACATTTTATTATTACGCATCAATTTAACGTTTCGACCTTACTAAGGGTCATTTTCAAAACTGGAAAATTATAATAACATTATAAGTTGATATTCAGCATTTATAAAATGAATTTCTTATTACATTTAATTGAATTGTCTAACGAAACGTTAAATTGATGCGTAATAATAAAATGTTGGTGAAAAATGGCCTAATTTATTGTAACAAATAAAAAATTAAATTAAATTAAAGCTTTTCAATAATTTATTGTAGTCAGTTTTGCTGAAAATACGGGTACATTTAGGTAAAAGGATATCAAACCATATCAATTTTTTATACAACTTTAGATGAATCTCAAGTTTTTGCTTAGTAAACCTTAACACAATTAAATTGGACTCAACAAAATTAATATCTGAGATGCAGCAGCTGGAACATACCATTGACCATAGAGCACATCACGGAAAATTGTCAGCAGTTATGTCCTTCAAGAATTTCACTAAGACTCCAGACCTATCGTCAATCATTGGAACAGGAAAACCAGAAGAACTTGTTGCAATTTTTGAAGGATAGCAAAATGAATAAAATTATTTAAATTATGTAATTATGTATAAATGAAATTATAAGTATAAACTGATTTAAATTATGTAACAGGAACACGGTGCTTTTTTTGTTGTTGTACATGTTACCTTAAACTGTAATTAAATAAATATGGATTTGAAGCTTATTAAACGAGAAGGTTTTTCTAAAAGTGACAGACTCTATTTCCATTTTAAGTAAATTTTATCTAGTTTACTGTGAAGCAATTGTTAATTACTCAAATGAAATATTTATTTAGGTATCACTTCCTATTCAACAACAAACATGGCCGTTCAAAACAACAAAACTCAAATTTCCTACTTTTCTGCCGAAAATCGAAACAATGTTTATATAAACTTTTTTGTAACACCCTGTATATTACTATTAAATGGTATATATTAAATTTTAATAATGATCGACTGGAGTTCATTTTTTATAAATAAGGTATGACAAGTTTTCACGTCCGAAAAATTCGCAGAAAATTTCGTTTAGTGAAGAAATAGTAAAACAATATGGAAATGGCTCTATAGTAGGAATAGTAGGAACATAGTAACAGTAGTAGGAATAGTAGTTCCTATATATTATGTAAGGAAGGAATTAATATTTTTTCCTTAAACGATTACAATATTCCATTAAACATAATAGACCAAAATATTTATACAAATTGCTTTGTTAGGACCTATTTATAAACGCTGGCTGGAAAGATAATATAAGTAATAAAGATAAAATAATGCCCCCATCATAGGATATTCTAAATTATTAAAAAAATAAAATGTAAGAACAACCAAATTTCTTTAAGAAATAATAAAGTTAATATAAAAGCCAGGAAAAAATGTAATAGACTGTTATACTCCTAAATGCAATATATATAAACAGGAAGACATTATTAAGTATACCAAAACTGATGGACTGTATCTTTGTTAATAATTGTTCGATTTTTACAATTTTTTTTTTGTTTTGTAGGTAATTAATAATTTTTCAAATTACCATGGGTACAAGAGAGAAAAAATGTCTAATTTTTGAGTTATTCGCAAATAAAGTTTCTTTTCCTCCATAACTTTTTTTCCTGACATTTCGGGGGAATGGGACTATTTTTCACATGTGAAGGAAAAGAATATCTTCAAAATGAGTGGTCAATCATTGGATTTGATGAAGAATTGACGAAGTTATCGCGTACCGACGAAAAAACACCTTTTAGAAATAATATATAGGATACTGAAGGTGTAAATATGCGTTGATCGTCTACAAATAATTTTATTTTCAGGTAAGACAATATAATTTTTCAAAGTTCTTCTGGTTCCAAATCCGAGTCACATGGAATATACTTTCCTAAAACAGAAATAATATATTTTCACAATATATTATAACATGAAATATATCATTATTAGTAAATCGTCTATTATTATAGAAATGTACAAGTGGCTCATATGAAACGTTTGTATTTTTTAAAATCTTTTTAAGTAGCTGTGAGCAGTAGCAGATTTAAGATTTAATTTTGGGGGACTGTTGAACAAATCCGAAACCTTGGGCTCCACCTGGACAAAGGTTTAACTTGGAATCCTCCTACCAGACTAAAACGACAAGAAATTGCTAGACGTTTCCGACAACTCCAACACTTACTAGACAAACACTCTAAGCTCCCAGTCAATTACAAAAGACTCATATATATGATTACAATAAGACCTATTTGGACTTACGGAGTTGAGGTATAGGGGTCTATTAAGCCATCGAATTCCTCTAGTATCATATCCTTAAAATTCAAAATCCTTCGTAAAATCCTCAATGCTCCCTACTTTGTCGCCAATAAAACCATTCATAACGACCGTAATGTTCCTTATGTTTCTGATTTGGCTCAATCCAGATACCAATCCTTCCATAATTAACTTCAGAACCATCCGAATCCTCTCGTCTCTAACCTTGTTTCCTCCTCTATCTCTGATAACCCTCCGAGGCGTCTGAAAAGAAGATGGCCTCGAGATCTCCTATTGTAAATACATTTTCTTTTTTTTTTACAGTGCTACTCGTGGGTAGTTTCTAACAATTTTTTTTTTTTTTATCAAATTTACTAAATGTATTTTACTTTTTAATGCAGTTGTAAATATCATAAACAAATTAAAAATTAAAAAATGGAGGAGAACTTTTTTTTTAAATAAAGGTTATCAATCTGTAAGAAAATAAAATTCCAGTATGAAATAATGTTTAAGTGGCACTTGAATTAAAAAAATAATGATAAATACACGAAAAATAATCTTTTAAGAGATAAATTTCTTATATTTTTTCTTGACACACGCTTACATTTAGTAGCTGTATATACATTAAAATTTACAATATATATACAGAATATATTCGGATAGTCTAAGTATTCATCATAGCTCAGTTAACATACAGAAACATATATGTACTGATGGAAAAATATATATTTCTTGCATTCTTGTTAGAAATAAAACCTTTCAAATACAAAACAAATGGTTTATTTGCTATAATCATTCCAAGTTGAAGTTTCGGGAAATTATTCCCATCTTCAAAACTTTATTCCCATCTTTCATTGCAATTAATGGCCATGTTGTTGCATAATTCGCTATATTTACCGTTATATTAAATCTCGTGTTAAAGTTAAAGTTTTTGTATTATATATAATAATAAAAATAATATCTGGAGCATCACATCTGTGGGACTAATAATTGAGTGTCTGCTAGCTACTTGGGAATGTTATTGACTTTTGTATCTGTTTATTTACTATTTTTCTATTGATATTTGTATGACTGTTGATTATATAACAGCATTCTATTTTTACTATATTTTAATTGTGTTTAAAATATCTGCGATGCTGGTGTTCCTCAAGGAATCATTCTCGGTCCTATCCTAAATACAGTTTATACAGCTGATATCCCAACCCATCCACTCCCGGTCATCACCACCTATGCAGATGACACTTGCATCCTATCTGTTAATAATGACCCTTAAATTGCATCCCACACCCTCTAATCACATATCACAAACCTTGAAGAATGGTGTCATAACTGAAGAATAAAAACAATTCTAATAAATCCCATCAGATTACCTTTCCCCTTAGTCGTAAACCTACAACTTCTTGTCCTAAAATTTCCTTCAATGATATTCCACTTGTTCCAGTTGAACATATCCGTTACCTAGGACTCCACCTGGACAAACGTTTCACTTGGAATCCCACTAGACTGAAACGACAAGAAACTGCTCGAAGTTTCCGACTACTCCAACTCTTACTAGACAAACGCTCTAAACTTCAAATTAATTACAATAGATTCATTTACTTAAACATAATAAGACATACGGAGTTGAGCTTTGGGGCTCCACCAAACCATCGAATTCCTATGGTATCCAATCCTTACAATCCAAAACCCTCCGTAAAATCCTTAATGCTCTATATTTTGTCACAAATAAAACCATTCATAAAGACCTTAATGTCAGATATGCCGCTTATTTATCCCAAGCCTTATTTATACCTATCCTTTCATGATAAGCTCCAGTCCCATCCGAAACCACTTGTCCAGCCTTGCTTCATCCACGATTTCTGATAATCCCCTTAGGAGTCTCAAAAGAAGATGGCCTCGTGATCTTCTTACCTAGAATTAAATAGGGAGTGCTACCACTGGGCAGTATCTCTTCGAGTCTGTTCATGTCATTATTTCTAATGTATGCATTTTTACTAATTGTATTGTTTATACTTATTTTTATATTTGATTTCATTAAATAACAATTAGTAAATAACAAAAAAAAAAATATCTGTATAATGTTTTTATTTCCAGCAATAAAGAAAATTAAACAGCTTCCAAACAAAAGAGAAGATTTGTTTTTTCTTTTGGAGGGTTTCAGCCTTTTACACACTTTGCGACCAATACATTCATAAGTTTTTTCATTTAATTACGTCATAACATTTTACAATAATCAATTAAATCCTGTAAATTCTGAGCTGAATATCATCAATATGAATGTAATTATGAATATTTGTGCTATTCAATTCGAACGAGTGCTCGATTGATTATTATGTAAAATAATCAAAGGTGTTATTAAATTTCAGATTAGTTGATAATTCCAGATCTTACACAGCTAGCTTTCCCATATTCGGTCGGGGTCAAGAAAAATAACCCATTATTTAGCCATTATTATTCAGGCTAATTTACGTATAATGAAGGCGTTCGAACGATAAAGGCAATATTATTAAAAAAGAAAAAATCTTCTGCAAGTCACGATGAATAAATAGGTGCTGATATTCCCTGTAAGAAGCATTCCAAAGCACTCAAGCCATCACAATGAGGTGTATATTTCTTATTGCGCTTGTCGTCTGTAAGTATTAAAATCAAATGATTAAATATTTTATTATTATGTTTTAGGTATTTTTATTGAGCTTTGGGACTCCACTAAACCATAGAATTCCTCTCGTATCCAATCCTTACGATCCAAAATCCTTCGTAAAATCCTCAACACTCCTTACTTTGTCACAAATTAAATCATCCATAATGACCTTAATGTTCCATACGTTTCCATTTAGCCCAATCCAGATACCAATCCTTCAATAACAAACTCCAGAACCACCCAAACCCTCTCGTTTCAAATCTTGCATCCTCCTCGATCACTGATAACCCTCCGAGGCGTCTGAAAAGAATGCGGCCTCGTGATCTTCTTGTGTAAATTTATTATTTGAATGATATCTTGTGTTTTTTTTAAAATACAGTTTAAATATCAATGAATAAAAAAAAAAAATGGTATTTTTAATTCTTTGTGTAGTCTTGACGCTTTAGCTCTTTGTATGGTCGTTTCTTTCATTATTTTACAAAACGATTGAAGTCGCTTTTCTGTTGACTTTGTAACCATTGAAAATATTGGTGTGCTATAAAGTAGAGTCGGACGTATTATTGTTGTGTAGACCACTAACGGATCCAGGATTTAATTTTGGGTGGGGCTTCAGCCCGAAAGATTTTTTTCTGTATGTATATATCAGAATAATTAATAGTGACGCGGTTGGAAGAGAGGCACTGGGATCTCCTGGAATTCTGCTTTGCCTTTCAATTTTGGAGGACAAAACTTGGCTCGGAGTTCCCTTGGCGAATGTAAATATTGTACATAGGAATGAATGTGTTAAGAAGATTAATTTTATTTTTACTTATTGATAAATTTCTTATTTCGCTTATGTATGTTGTTCTATTTTTACATATACTTTTTCTTAGTTTACTCATTTATTTTTTATTCATTTTTATTTCCCTATTATATGTATACGTGGTATAAATGAACACATTTAGCCTTGTTATTTGTTGCCCTTCAATGTGGCAGATTGTAATATTTACTGATCAATAAAAATAATAATAAAAAACCTATATTAAATGGTGTTTAAGTCCTATTAAATGTAATTAGACGAATAATAATACTTCCAGAGATAATTTTTTTCATAAAACATTATTATATTTTACAATTTTTTTTTTGGGGGGGAGGGCTTCAGCCAAAACGCCTCCCATCCTCCCCTAGATCCACCCTTGGTATAGACTAAAATCTCTAAACGCATCAAAAGATTTCTGACGATTAGTAAATGTTTTGGTCGGTATATTTTCTGTCTTATAGCTTTAATTTGTTTACTAAATTGAGCAGAATATTTTTTTAATGTCTGTCAAAATTAATTCCAAGATAAACAATATATTTTGAAAGTCTGTTTTTGAATGGTCTTAATTTTAATTAATTATTTAAGTAAATAACTTGAAGTATAGTATGTATAGAAAAATGAAAGAAATGATCATTAAAAACGATCTTGGAATATAGTTGAAAATTAAAACTAAAAAAGATATGCTTTCTAAATCTTAAAAACTGATTACTTAAACCAATATGGGCATTCTCATCACAAATATACGGCGTTGCTAAAAAGGCTCACGTGCAAAAACATCAAACCATGCAATCAAAATTATTGCTGCTCATAACAAAAGCACCACGGTACGTGACTAACAAAACTCTATATACTGACCTCCACCGTCCAACAGTTGACCAACATATAACGACTCTTTATCAACGTTTATTTATACTAATTTAAACAGATGTCACAACAAATTAATAAGAGATATGCTCACAGCTGACATACCCCAGAACATGAGAAGGAAACTAAAAAGGCGTTGGATGAGAGATCACCTTCCTAAAAACAATCTAAGTAATTGAAAAAAATCAGGGAAGAAGTGCTGCTAAGCACTTTCTTTCTCTATGCCTGGACAAACAACAGAAATTTGACATCCGCAAATAAATGTTTTTAAACAAAAAAAAAAATATATATATTCATATTTTATTAGTTACTTTATAGTTTTTTTATTAAACAATTATGGATATTTATTTAAATCTATACAGTAGTAGGTGCAATGATTATTTTTTTCGCTGCGATTTTTTGCTTATAAAATCAATTTAACTTTCCTTTTCCCCTGATCCTTGGAAAATATCTATTGTCAAAATGATCCACAAACCCAAAAAGCCACCAGAATATCCATCCTCTTACCGTCCCATCTCTCTGTTACCCATCATGGGAAAAATCCTGGAAAAACTAATCTTAAAACGCCTGTACCCAATCCTAGAATCTAATCACCTAATCCCAGATCACCAATTTGGATTCCGCTCCTCCCATTCCACTATACAGCAATGCCATCGTGTGGTAGACGTAGTATCCTCTGCATTGGAGCGCGGTATGTACTGTACGGGAGCCTTTCTCGATTTTGAACAGGCGTTTGATAGAGTTTGGCACCCGGGACTGCTGTACAAACTCCGAAAATTCCTACCATCTACCTACTTCCTCATTATCCGTTCCTACCTTACTGATAGATACTTTAAAGTAAATCACAACAATGTATATACATCCCGTTTTTCCCAGTCTGCAGGTGTTCCTCAAGGTAGTATCCTAGGTCCTATCCTTTACACAGTTTATACAGCTGACATCCCAACCCATCCCAACACTGTCATCACCACATATGCTGATGACACATGTATCCTATCAGTCAATAACGACCCATCTATTGCATCCCAAACCCTTCAATCCCACATCACAAACACAGAAGAATGGTATGGGGCTCCACCAAGCCTTCAAATTCCTCTCGCATACAGTCCTTGCAATCCAAAATCCTTCGTAAAATCCTCAATGCTCCTTACTTTGTTACAAATAAAATTATCCATAATGACCTTAATGTTCCTTATGTATCAGATTTGGCCCAATCCAGATATCTGTCCTTCCATAATAAACTTCATAACCATCCCAACCCTCTTGTCTCTAACCTTGCTTCCTATTCGATTCCTGATAACCCTCCGAGGCGTCTGAAAAGAAGATGGCCACGTGATCTTCTAATATAGACATATTATTAGAGTGCTACCAATGGATAGTTTCTCAACATGTGTTCCATGTGCAATACCAATGTGCAAATTTACTAGATGTATTTTTTTGTATACAGTTGTAAATATCATTTAAAATAAATAAAAAAAAAAAAAACTTTCCTTTTCAATCTTATTGACTTATTTTTATTTTTTTTTTGTTAGCAGAAATATTGTAGTATTGTCATCCTATTGTTCATATGCTTTCTTTAATAAATCTTTGTTCTACTTTTATTTATTACTTATGTTTTAGTTAATTTATTGTAGTTGCAAGATTATTATTATTAAGCAATACAGTTGTTTTTTTCTATTTCTGTTTTTATATTTTTCTTTAACCTGGACATATAAAACAGATTTATTCCATCCTTTTCCTGTTGGCATTAGAGACCATTTAGATCTTTTGACGCCTTAACAAGCTTGCTCCATCTCTGCCTGTCTTGGAATATTTCTTTTCATTTATCTTCACGCAGCTCTATTGCATATTTGTTTATTCTATCTATCTTTCTGCTTTTTGGCCTCGTGGTATTTTGCCATCATTGCTACGTAGAGGCTTCCTGATGGATTGCTACGGGCTACTTGTCCCGCCCATCTTAACCTCCATGCCTTCATATCATGGGATATTGATTGTCCAGTTTCTGTAAGCAGTTCTTTGTTGGTCTTTCTTCTCCATGTGTTAGTACTCTTACCACAGATGGCTCCGGTTGTCGTTTTAGATTTCTTCAATTACTTTATTATATTAAGGTATAATAAATTTACAAGTTAACTGCTTTGATATATAAACTTCTAAATTCAGTTTTAGCCCATGAAGTTCTGATGTACTCTGCTATACCGTGCTTAGCCAGGCTTTGTTCTACAGACTATGAGCCTGTCTGTGGAAGACAGCTAATTACTGAAGGAACCAAACCGACATGGGAAATGAAGATGTTTAACAACTCATGCATGATGGAGTCAGCAAACGATTGTGGCAAAGGTAATCTTATAAAAGACATAGAATCAATGTAAATATAAAACTATTGTTTTTATTTTTATTTTATTAAAATGTATTTTTATTTTGTTACAGCTAATTACGAATCAGTACCTTGTGTGGGGAATTATTAAAAACCAGCAAAATTGGATCAAGAACTAATTGGAACTCAAATTTTACATACTTTTATTTTATTTACTTCAAAAGTAACTGTCATTGAATCCATTGCTACATAGATTCATCATGTAAAATAAATAATAAATTTCGACATGGTTTTCTTTTATTACTCACATCTATGAATCCATCAAACGTACAAGTTATTTTCCCATCCTTTGAAAACATTCCTCAATTAAAATTAATCCTTAACCTTTCAAACACTGTACTTCTTACGAGCAATTCATTCGTAAGTTACTAAATTATTTCTTATTATGTTACTGTATTCGATTAAAGTTTTTAGTCGGAGCTGAATATCACAAATAAGAATGTTGTAATGAACATTTGTGTTTTTCAACACGAAGGAGTCCTTCAATTCAATGCAATTATTAAATTTCGAACCGGTCGGTAATTTAAGATCTTACTACGATGGGATTCCCATAATTCGCGTCGAGGAAAAGAAAAAAACCCAATTATTTAGCTATTATTCTTTAGAGTAATTTATAATAAATGTATTTGACCACTCGAGTCATTATTGTTTCCTTTAAAAAAAAAAATTGAGATAAGTCACGGAGAATAAATAGTTGCTGTTATTCTCTGAAAGGAAGTATTACAAAAACATCAGTGAAGCCATCAGCATGAAGTGTATATTTTTTATTGCACTCGTTGTCTGTAAGTATTAAAATAAAATTATTTTAATATTTTATTATTATTTTTGATGTTTCAAGATAAGTAGAATCCTAAAATCGAATTATATTTATATAAATGTAAAAGCACTTACGGATGCAGGATTTAATTTCGGAGGGAAACTTCAGCTCGAAAACATTTTTTCATATAAATATAACGATAATTACTTTCATTCGTTCTAATTAAATTAGAGAAAAAAAAGAAGAAACTATATGAAATGGTTTATTAGTAAATTTTGAAGTCCTATCAAATGCAATTACATGAGTACTAATACGTTAAGAGATATTTTTTATAATATTTTATCATAAGACATGGTTATATTTTACTATTTTTGTGGTGGGGGGAGGCACGGGCGGACCTATGGAAGGGGGGGGGGGCTTCAGCCCCAAAATGGTAAAATATAATCATGTTTTATGGAAAAAAAATATTAAAAAATTATCTCTTAAAGTATTATTGCTCGTTTTATTACATTTAAAAGGATTTTAGGAATCACTTAAACATCATTTCATATCGGCAGTTAGCTCCTTTCTTTTTTTCCAAAGTAATTATCCTTATTTTTATGAAAAAAAAAGATTTTGGGTTGAAGCCCCCAAAATTAAATCCTGGATCCGCTAGTAGGGGGAGGCTTCAGCCCGAAATCCCTCCCCTCGGGGTATACACATTCCTTTGTAGAAAGCGTAGCCACTTACGGATCAGAAGTTTGGACAATAACAAAAAAGATGGGAAATAAGTTGCTTTCCATGAAAGTGGATTTCTGGAGAAGAAGCTGTGGCATATCGAGAATCGATGGGATCCCAAACGCAGCTATTAGAGACAAGGTCGGATGTCAAAAGAACATCCTTCACCTGATCGGGACCAAACTGTTAAAGTGGTATGGCTACTTAATGTGGATGGATGAGAACCGCTGGCCAAAGAAAATTTATAACTATATGCCACTTGAAAGAAGGAAGCGTGGAAGGCCAAAGAAGAAATGGACAGAGGACGTGGAGGAAAGCATGGCAGGCTTTTGGGTGTTGGGGATATGACTCTTCAAGTTGTATAAAATCCAAATAAAAAAAATATAATACTCAAAGGTTGATTGAAAAAACTGCCTGACTGCTGCAAGATCATGACCAAGACTGGTAAAAAAAATCGTTTTTTAACATAAAAATTAAGACAAAATAAAATACTTGACAACTTTAGTTACTATATGTAAAGAATTGTTTTAACCAATATAATTTCGCATTTAACTCTTCCATTTTTTCATTCAAGCTTAGTTAGGTTTCCCTTATCTGAAAAATTACAGTAATATCTCTATAGCAAGACCAAGACCATGACTAAGACTGAGTGCGCAAGACGGAGAGTCGTCTTGGTCTCGCATTTGGGCAACACTAGATCCTACCAGCTCAAAATTAAAATCCGACCTTTCAAAATGGTGGGCAAAAATCTGTATTTCTGTATACTGCTTGAAGCCCTTTAAATTTATATATATATATATATATAACATGCTTCATAAATAAAGAATTTTATTAGTGAATTAGTCAAAAAGTATGCATTTTGTTAATTATACGCTAGCTTATTTAAAATATATATTAAAAATTATCGAAATCGGACATCTTGGTGTAGAGATATGGTGTTTTTTAATTTGTTTATACCTCCTAATCCAAAGACGATCTCCTTTTTTTTTTTTTTTATTGAAGGGTGTGTATGATAACTCGAAAAGTTTAAATTAGCGGAAGAACCCGAGATTGTAATTTGAAGTTTAATATATGCGGCCTTTTTACAAATGCTTTAAAATTTAATCGTGAAGATCCCGTAATTTAATGATAAGTTTTATACATCATACTTAAATTGTCTGAGGTATGTTTATAATTTAACTGCTCTGATATCTAAACTTTTAAATTTAGTCTCAGCCCAAAATGTGTTAATGTACACAACTATGCCTCAACCCTGCATAGCCCGGCTTTGTTCTGCAGATTATAATCCTGTCTGCGGAGAACAGAAGGTGTATGTACAAGGAATGGGTTATAGAAAGGATAAAAAGATGTTCAACAGCACATGTCTGATGGATTCAGAAAACGATTGTGGTAAAGGTAAGTATTCAAAGGATAGAACATTGATATAAATATAAAAGTATCGTTTTTATTTTTTATGTATATTACATAATTTTATTTTATTTTTGTTTGCAGCTAATTACAAAGAAGTGCCTTGTCAGGGTAACTATTAGAAGATCAGTGAAATTGGACCAGGAAAGTTTTGGAACTCACATTTCATAAACTTTTGAATATCTCTACTTTTTCCGGATAGATTAGACCAAAAACTACCTTTCATTGATTTTTTGTTTAATAGATTTTGTTGATAATGAAAATAAATAATAAACTTCGACATCATTATTATCTTATACATCTTTATCTTTTTTACTCATATCTATGAATGAGGAAAACTTTCCAGAATCAAAATTATTTCGAACCCACCTGCAATCCTTCAAATGGTGCAATTTCAATCTAATCTATGATGAAGGAAATATTTTAAAATTATTTTTGAAGCCTATCCTAGCAATTCGTGAAGTTATACCGAACCACCAAATTTGGCTTTCGTTTACATCACTCTTATTTGCAACCATGTCAAACTTTGTAGAGAAAGGAACCGGTCTGCAATTTTTCTAGACTTCGAGAAAGCCTTTAATAATATTTGGTACAAGGTACTCATAAATTCTATTTTCATTATTATAATTCAATATTTCTTCCAAGACACTAGCGGATCCAGGATTTCATTTTGAGGAGGCTTTAGCCCGAAAGGTTTTTTTTTTTCATATATATATATATATATATATAACAATAACTTCTCTAAAAAAAAAGAAATATACTATCTACATATATGAAATGGTGTCTATGTGATTTTTGAAGTCCTATTCAATGTAATTATACGACCAATAATACTTCAAGAGATATTTTTTACCATAAAACCTGGTTACATTTTACCATTTTGGGGGGGCTTCAGCCCTAAAGCCCCCCGCCTGTGTTCCAAGACAAGTTTATTCCTTGTTTCCTCAATTTGTAGATGTACCACAACGTAATGCTTTAAGCTCTCTCCTGTTTTACCTATACATCTCTGATATCCTTGAGCTCTTCTGATTTGCTAACGATACATCATTTTTTTTTCTATAGGATAGTCCACATATTTCGTCATTTGTCTTTTAAAACCTTCCTTTCGAATTCGAAAAATTGTTTCGCAAATTATATTGCACGCCAATAAATGAAGCCAGTAAATCAAGCCAGATCAGTCTTTACGTAACGCAAGTTTCATGTCCACTTGAAACAATCAATCAGAAGAACGCAAAGACAGAAGACAAACAGATTTCTGAATTTTTAAATTATTCATTCGGCTACGTTTAGGGATTTTATTTTATGGCTTGAACTACATAACTCCTATTATTTAGAATTTATTCTTGTTTTTAATCATATTTCCAAAATGTAAAAGTCGTACAAGGAAATAATTATTTTTTACTCATAAGATTTTAATATTCCTTCCTTTTTTTACCGTTGAACAATTCACAAGTGATTTTTTACCTCTGGGCGGTTATAGTCTGTGGGCCAGACCCCCTTACCGTGCACCCTCCCCACATCCCTATAAATTGCATATCGTTGTGTTCCTTGTAACTATTTATTAAAAAAAAGCCAATGTTCCCACAAAAAAAAGTGAACGCACTGCCCCAAAATGGCGTCCAAAGATGGCGGATTGACGACTTTGACTTTAGTTAGTTTTTTGGTCACTGCTAATCAGCATTTGGCTTAATTTCCTCATAGTTGGTCTTTTATTAAAGCTGAATAGTCATAGAACAATAAATCATGAAGAAATATTTAAAAATAATTGGCTTAGACTATGAAAAACACTACTAAAGTCAATTGTTTTAACAAAAAAATTTTCAAGTTAAAAATCAAGCGTCATTTGTAATTAAACGGCCTACAATAACGCAAAACGTGCTGATATAAACCATCTGGAGAATATATTTTTCTTTCCAAAACGCTGATTATTTTTTAAAAACTTTTGAACAGTTCCGTAGAAAATGCACTTATGCGGCAGAAAAGCGGTACTGGCGTGGGTGCCTACAGGCCTCTACCACACCATTCAGTACACATAAATGGCTTAGTTAAAGTGATATAATAACATTTTTGGTACATTATTTTGGTTTTATTAACGAACAAATATTAATGCAATAATTTAATTGTAAAAAAAAAAATTAAAATTTTTTTAAAAAATTTATTTTTTTTTTTTATTTAACCATCTTTATTTCTACACGTAGGTCGTTTAAGAAGACCTTGATTGTAAAAATGATACAATTATAATAATAAAACTTAATTAAAAACTTTGCTAAATATCTTGATTTTTTTTTATTTAACGTTTGCAATTTAACATTGTGTTTTGTATATTTACTGATTCTTAAAGGTAATTAAAATTTATATATACTTCCCAGGAAATGAGTCGTATTAATACCTGTTTTATAAACTAAAATAATATATACCTAATCTGAACTATATATAATGAATAGCTGCTGGGTTGTATAGTAAAACTCATATATCACTAATTAAAAAATTAATTTTTATTTCCTTTATTTTGTGCGGAAGTTGGACTATATCATAAATAAATAGGAAATTTTATTATTGAATGAATTATTCTCTCTGCACAAAGAAAGATAGAAACGGTGACGCTATAAGTTCTTCTATAAGCCAGAACTGATTGTTTGGATTTGGTCTTGAAATGAGGAAGAAGGCGAAATTGAACCCAAAAACTGGAAAAATACATTAAGCGAACGAGAAAGGAAGTGCCAAAACCTCGGAAAAGATAAAAAGTACCAGTATCCATTATATGGCTAAACGAATGTATAGTAGACAGATGAAGAGAATACTTCAACATGCTGCTAAAAGGGGGTCAATTGCAGTTTGGATGATATTAAGTGGACGATGTAGGTTTATTATCGTAAAAATCACTCTATTTTCGATTGCTGAAGGTGCACATCGGGACTATCTTCACTTTGAAGCAGGATATAGAGAGGTATATCGAGAAAGTTATAGCTCATAGCTCTCCTTCTGCTTAGTGCATTTGCAAACGATTTTTTAAGGAATCCTGCTTCAAAGTGAAGATAGTCCCGATGTGCACCTTCAGCAATCGAAAATAAAGTGATTTTTACGATAATAAACCTACATCGTCCACTTAATATCATTCAAACTGCAATTGACCCCCTTTTAGCAGCATGTTGAAGTATTCTCTTCATCTGTCTACTATACATTCGTTTAGCCATATAATGGATACTGGTACTTTTTATCTTTTCCGAGGTTTTGGCACTTCCTTTCTCGTTCGCTTAATGTATTTTTCCAGTTTTCGGGTTCAATTTCGCCTTCTTCCTCATTTCAAGACCAAATCCAAACAATCAGTTCTGGCTTATAGAAGAACTTATAGCGTCACCGTTTCTATCTTTCTTTGTGCAGAGAGAATAATTCATTCAATAATAAAATTTCCTATTTATTTATGATATAGTCCAACTTCCGCACAAAATAAAGGAAATAAAAATTAATTTTTTAATTAGTGATATATGAGTTTTACTATACAACCCAGCAGCTATTCATTATATATAGTTCAGATTAGGTATATATTATTTTAGTTTATAAAACAGGTATTAATACGACTCATTTCCTGGGAAGTATATATAAATTTTAATTACCTTTAAGAATCAGTAAATATACAAAACACAATGTTAAATTGCAAACGTTAAATAAAAAAAAATCAAGATATTTAGCAAAGTTTTTAATTAAGTTTTATTATTATAATTGTATCATTTTTACAATCAAGGTCTTCTTAAACGACCTACGTGTAGAAATAAAGATGGTTAAATAAAAAAAATAAATAAATTTTTTAAAAAAATTTTAATTTTTTTTTTACAATTAAATTATTGCATTAATATTTGTTCGTTAATAAAACCAAAATAATGTACCAAAAATGTTATTATATCACTTTAACTAAGCCATTTATGTGTACTGAATGGTGTGGTAGAGGCCTGTAGGCACCCACGCCAGTACCGCTTTTCTGCCGCATAAGTGCATTTTCTACGGAACTGTTCAAAAGTTTTTAAAAAATAATCAGCGTTTTGGAAAGAAAAATATATTCTCCAGATGGTTTATATCAGCACGTTTTGCGTTATTGTAGGCCGTTTAATTACAAATGACGCTTGATTTTTAACTTGAAAATTTTTTTGTTAAAACAATTGACTTTAGTAGTGTTTTTCATAGTCTAAGCCAATTATTTTTAAATATTTCTTCATGATTTATTGTTCTATGACTATTCAGCTTTAATAAAAGACCAACTATGAGGAAATTAAGCCAAATGCTGATTCGCAGTGACCAAAAAACTAACTAAAGTCAAAGTCGTCAATCCGCCATCTTTGGACGCCATTTTGGGGCAGTGCGTTCACTTTTTTTTGTGGGAACATTGGCTTTTTTTTAATAAATAGTTACAAGGAACACAACGATATGCAATTTATAGGGATGTGGGGAGGGTGCACGGTAAGGGGGTCTGGCCCACCGTGTATTAGGTGATGAAGTGGGATGTACTATCTATATTTTGTATATTAATAAGATTATGGACTGTAGATATAAGGCCATAACATAATAAAAACAAAGAAGGTTAAATGAATAATTTTCTAAACCTGTAATGTTTAAAAATGAACTGCTATTTGAAGGGCTAAAGGGTTGGTGTTTTTAAAAATTAAATGTAATTTTTCCGAAAAATTAATTACATTGTTATTGAAATATATAATTTTATTTGTAATACCTTTTTCACATTTGTTCTTGTTTCTCATTTTGCACTCGTTTTTGAATATCTTCTTCGTCCAATGCCCATGCTTGTCCGCTACCATTCCGCAAACTGGATTGTAGGTCTTATCACATTGCTTTGGACAATCTTTTTTGGACAAAACAAAGCCAACTATATCTGTAAAAACATGAATATCAGTTAACAATAAGAAATCTGTGAAAAATGAGAAACAAGAACAAATGTTGAATTTTAAATGGAAACAGTTGAATTTAGAATGGAAAATGTTGAATTTGAATTTGAAAAAATTGTATTTGACTCGGAAAAGGTTTAATTTGACCTGAAATATGTTGAATTTGACTTGGAAATGTTTATGTATATATATATATATATATATATATATATATATATATATATATATATATATATAGAGAGAGAGAGAGAGAGAGAGAGAGAGAGATGTTTCTTATATGTAAACTATTTTTTATTATTTTTTTTTTTTGGCAAGTAACATGAAGGTTGTAGTTCGTAGATAATATTTTAATAATTATGTGCAAAACATATTAAATTATATCAAAGTTATTGGAAAAACATTTTTTTTACACCATAAATAATTAATTATAAAAATGTTACAACTTTCTACAATGATACATTTAACTCCATTAAATGACAAACTTAATAAGTACTTACATTAAATAAATATGATATTTTTATTTATTGAGTAAGTCTGGGGCAGCGGTCATAAAAAGACGTAAATAGTGAAAAAATGTATGACCGCCACCTCGGGCCATTTCCTTACTCAACAATATATAACGGTCAACCATCAGTATTCATTATTTTTATAATAAATGTATTAAAAAAATATGACAGTTTTATCGAATTCAAGATTTCAAAGGACTATACATATTTTAATCCTATTTAATACTTAATAATTACTTTAGAGCATTCTCTAAGCTTGTTTAATCCAATTTGATTTGTTCAAAAAAAGGCTCAGTTTAGTTATTTGTTTCAAAGAAGAAACATGATCGTGTTCTATGAAATTCTCGTAATTTTAAGACATTATGGGAAAAAAATTTCAAAGCCGCTGAAGTAACTCGTGAAATTATTAAATATGAAAGGGAAGGTGTCCTTGACCAGCATACTGCGCGGCGTTGGTTTTGAAAATTTAGCATTGGAGATACGACGTTGGAAAGTTAGAAGCGCTCCGGGCTACCATTAATGGATATTGATGAAGTTCTGCAGAAAGCTGTTGAGTCAAATCCGTCCAGGGAATGTGGTGTGTTGAAAGATACTGTTAGTAGCCATGTACTCTTCATGGAGAAGCTGAAAAAGAGCAGTAGACTGATCCCTCACGAACTTACTCCTCAGCAATCAGCTAAGAGGTTACAAATTTGTGGAAATTTACTGAAAGCCCTTCTGATATGAGATATCTGCCTCATCCACCATATAGTCCAGACCTCGCACCATCGGATTACTATTTATGTAGATCCATGGCCCATTTTCTTCAAGTGAAAGAATTTGATAATTTTGCGGAAGTTGAAATTGCGGTCCAACAGTTCTTTGACAAGCATCCCAAAGAATGGTATCAGTGTGTGATTGAGCAATTGGCCTGCAGATGGTTAATGACGGTAGATAACAATGGACTATACTTTGAGTATTAATTGTATTTTATAACAAAGAAATAACAATACAAATATTTGGTTGGAAAACGGTCATTTTGTATTTTATATATCCTATTAATATAAAGTAATGCTGTGTTGTTTATAGGTCAAGGATTCAGAAGATATGGAAGTATTTTAAAGAAGACTTAAGCACCATTAGTGGATTACAGTGTTATATGGCTTGACAATGGCATCATAGCCGAAACGCAGCAGGTTTAAAAAATAAAATAAAATATGGTGAAATAACACAGCCCCACTTCATGATATTTTTAACTCAAGTAATTTAATGTTTGAATGTTATGCTTTGATTAAATGCTTTTAATCAACAAGATGGAATTTTTTAAATACTTACATAAAAGAAAAAATACGATATCGAAGAACCGCATGTCACCACAGCTGGCTAGGTTTTGTACACAATCCATATGTTTACCACCGATTTATACATCTGAGCAAAGCATTAGCATACGAGAAGAGACATCAAAATAAAATAAATCTTTGTTAAAATAATAAATTTATTTTAAAAACATGGAATAGACGCAAGAAATGTACGCTTTATACTCAAGAGGAAATAATTTTTCCAATTTAAAATTAAATTTTTGATATACTGAAGAAATTAAATTTATATTTTGAACATATTTTTTCGCCACTATGTTAAAGTGTCGAATGTGCAACGTTAAACAGACTCACATTCGCTATTTTTACTTGGTCCCGAAGATTTCTCAAAAACAAAATAAATAATAATACAATTAATGCTCTTATGAACTTTATAAGTCTTCTCCGACAGTATCAAACCCTGTTACGCTACATAATTCGTTTCCCAGAAGAAGAGCTGATGCATGAGCAAGATACTTACGTGATTTTAATTTTGTGTTTATCCCGATAAGGATTCGTTCATGTCCTTTAGGTCAATTGAGAAACTTGAGACTTAGATCAGCCTAGAAAAATAAAATAAAATTAATGAGATATTTTATTATTCCATACCTTATTTGATAACAAATACAAGAATTACTGACCTTCATTAGAAAAAAAAAATCTGGTGCGGGGCGCACATCACATAACTTTCACTTACCACTCTTATTATCAGAAATAAGTATTACCGGACAAAGGAGAAGGGAAAATAAAATTTATAGACGCTATATTTATTTATGTATCCTGGTATTTTTCATCTTAGGTATTTTTAGTTGTTTAACTGCCCTTTTAATATTTATATCTCTGTAATCTATACAATTAAATATTAAATCAACGTATATGTACATGTACATACAATTAAGTATGGAAGTCTGCTCTAATCTTTCGAGCTAGCTCGGGTGATCTCGGGAGCACTCGTAATCCTTCGGTTCCTACATCACAATTATTCTCGTTATGATCTCTTATTACTCCTTTAGTTATTCATCAAATTCTTTCATTTTTAATATTTAAATATTTTTTATATCAGAGATCAATGTGTCAATACACATTAATTAATTAATTAAGTTAATTGTTATAAATAACATAAATTAAGGGTACTTTAGGGGAAGCTAATATTAAAAATTAGCCATTTAAGCCGTGTTAGAGAACATCAATTACAATAAAACCTACACTATACTAAAAACTGCTTAATTTCATCCAGATATAATGAATTTAATGAAAATCGTTAGAGCTGTTTTCGAGAAAATTTTAAAAATGTGTTAAACCGATGATATGAAGTGCCACTTATAGTTAGCCAATTTTGGCAAAAAAAGTTGCTGTGACACCTCAGGCATATAGAAACATTAAATGTGCAATTTCACTTTCGTACGACTTTTCGTTTTTGAGCTAGATTGTTAACACACAGACATACACACACACAGACCATGTGTTGCACACAGAAACTTGTAGGACTTGGTTATTTGCACTCAGAGGACCACAAAATGTGCATTTCCGTTGGAAACTGAGATTCGAAATTTTTCACGGTCGCAATAATTTCCTTTATTGTATATTTCATATATATGTAAGTAAAAATCTGGTGCAGCGCGAGGATCATACAACTTTCACTAACCACTCTACTTTGAGTACCGGAGAGAAACTTAGGGGACTTTTATTTTACGATTATTGAATATTTCAAGGAATCGTAAAATTGTATAGTTCTCTTTCTGATGAACTCATCTACTTTAGATAAATTGAAATATTCATGAAGTTTTTAGTAGCCTTTTCTTTATCAAGTGACATATTTACAGCATTTTTTTTAAGATACCGTTTTGAAATTTCTGTAGTCTCTTGTTTGTATTTTCTGATGAATGGGGTATTAATGGAACACCCTACAGAATGAAGAAGAATGCTCTAGTAAAATTTTTGAATAGCTTTTAATAATTTTAAAGCGCTATGAGCAGTGAGTTTCAGATGTCTGTCAAGTTTTTTTTACAGATAGACTAAATTGTTTGATGCTTTGTTGTAAGAATTTGAAAACAGATTTTTTTTTTTTTAACAAAATATTCTTTTTGGTGCTAGTATGTTCTTATATAAAAACACGCACAGAGGCTTGTATAATATTTGAACTGAAGCTCAAAATGAGTACGAAATTTTTCACGATTGCAGTATTTGTATGTAGAAAAGTGAATGTAATTAAAAATGTCTCTTTTCTTTCATAAAAAAAAATTATATCAGCCATTACTTAACATTTATTTTTATTTTTTATCTCGATTCTAACTGACTCCTTCATAGTTCATAGTTTTGTGACACTAGGACGATGACAGATAGAACCTTTTTTTTCCCTTAATTTTCCCAAATAACATCATGGAAGATAGAACTTAATCCTTACATAATATCAAGCCTACACATATGTACAAATGTTAACATATTAAAAATATGACACGATTTACATTCTCGCAGACCTTCAAGAAAGGCCAGGCGCTAGACATGTTGAATAATTGACACAGCTGTGTTGGTTTTTCTCACATTCGAGAAATCGTTTGTATTTTCTGAAATCGTTTATTTTTATTATTTTGTTTATAACGCTATGCTAGATCTCTTAAGGTGATTGTTAATGTGTGTATATATATATATATATATATATATATATATATATATATATATATAAACTATGTAGCTATGGCTTTATACCTTGAATATAATAAAGATTTAGTATTTTTCGATTTTATAAATCTTATAATTGAGTTATTTATAGAAAACACATTTTTTTGAAGAAAAATGTGATATGAAGTATGGTAGTTTTTCTTGAACTATAAATTTATAGTACAAAACTTTTTGAATAGAAGAATTGGTATTTCAATATTTTATTTCCAACTAAATATATAAAATATAAAACTAAATATAATAATGTATGTTTGTTCTGATTTGATCACATAAGCATCTCAAACTTTTTACTTCTTTTCTTAGTTTCGAAATTGCAAGTATACAGTCCCCTATCCCCTCTAATAGTAGGGTATACTTTATTGTTTCCCCACATTAAAGTATGCCTTACTACATTAAAAAAAAATTTAAACACTCACCTGTTTGTATGATCCTGCTGTTTATTTTTCTTCAGATAAAGTCATTTCAATTTAATATTTTGTTTGAGTGGTTTATTGAAATATATATCAGTGCCACGCGTGCATAAACCAATGGTTTCTATATGTACCTCGGAGATAAAGGACACATGTCCATTTATTTATTAAATAATTTAGTAACTAGGAAACAAATTTTAATAGCTCAAAGTTATGGAAAGTTGGCTCCCTGAACAAATGCAAAAATGTGACATGGCGTCCTTTCCCCCCTGAGTACAGATTTAGTAACTAAGAAACAAATTTTAACACTTCGAAATTATGGAAAATTTGCTACCCTGAACAAATACTAAAATGGTCATGATGATTTTTACCCCCGGAGTACAGATGTATAAATTTATAAAAATTCATGGAGTTAGGGGTCTTTTTCTGTTGCCATAATTTAGTCTAATTGTAAATCTTATTAAGTATAAATTAAAGCTTCGGTGTTGATTGTGTCAAATGACATCATCAAATCATACATAAAATTTGTCAACTTAACCGCAAACTGCACTTCAGTCTCGAGACCAATTACAAAAAATCTTTTTTTAATTTCTGAAGGAAGATTTTTCCTTTTAAAACAATCCAAATCCTGGTTTCAAGCATTTATAGGACCAGAGTTATAGACTTTTAAAAGTGACACCATAAGCGTCAGAAAATGTTTTCTCTTACTCCACACTCTCCACTCCAGATCAAAAGACGTATAAATATATATATACACATGCACTAAAAGGATTGTAAAATAAATACACCAGTAAATAAATAGCAGAGTGTAGCCTTGTATTACGGAAACAATTACATTTTTCAATTTCAGATTTATCAATACAAATTAAATTTTAATATGAGGTGATGCAATTTTGAATCTTCGGATGCTTTTTTGGAATAGTAGATCACAGGAACGCCAATAAATAATTTTTACTTAGGGCATGGTATATAGTTACCTGTAAAATAAAAAACATATATATATATTTATTTAAATTTCCAAAGCTATAAAATCGAGGATTAAAATACTATGAATAAATATACGTTTTTATCAAAAGACAGTTCAAAACATGCTTACATAATATATTCAGATATTTAATTTAATTTAATTAGGTGGGCGGGGTGGCCGAATGGGCTAACATGTGTACACAACACCGCCGTTGCCCGGCAACCCGATATATGAAACAAATTGTAAAAATTAGTCACGAGTTCGCGTCCTGATGCCGGGGGAGTCTTTTAGATCCCCGCCTACATCCCCTGGCCCGGGAAAACCCCCGTATAGCCTTAAAGGCGAGGAAGAGGAGGACACAAAAAAAAAAAGAATTAATTAGTTGTTGGATATTTTTCTTTCTCCGTAATATATGGGGTTGGTGCAGCAGGTTTTTATTCTCAGAGTTTTTAAAAATGATACCAATTCTACGACCTTTTAATTTGGTCAATTCAAAAAAAAAAAATTAACTAACTGCCACGGCGTTACAACTCGGTGACGAGTCTTGGCTTCCTCCAGTCATCTCTGTTCTGTGCGGCCATCATCCAGCTTCCAGGGCATCCCTTGAATATCTTGCCATAACGACTGACCATCTTAGTTTTGGTCTTCCTCTTCTTCTTGTGCCGTAGAGAGGTTCTGTCAGGATCGTCAGGGATTGCTTCATTCTCCATTTTTGCCACGTGGCCAGTCCATCTCAGTCTTCCATGCTTCATTCTCAGAACGACATCTTGGTCATTAAAAATCGAGTACATTTCGGACTTTGCCGGCCTTCTCCAATTTCCATCGATCTGTACTCCTCCAAATATTCTTTCTCTCAAAGATTAGGAGGTTTTTCTCAATTATTTTACTTGTCGTCCATAATTGTGATGCATAGAGCAGGACGAAATGAAAAAAAAATTAAGAATCCAAAAAAAAAAATCTTTCCGAAAAAGAAAGGCGCAGAATTTTTCTCCTGATAAAGATAGACTTCCTCAAAAATAATCCTCGGAATTTTATACTATGTATATAGTTTATGATGAATAATTAACATATTTATTGTTAAACGAACAATTAACAATGTATGTATAAATCAATTTATTTATATGTTTATATATTAGTTTAATTTTGTTTACATACTTATATATTTGAAATTATGTTAACAAAGCAATTAAATATATTACATATTTCAATTTTTATTTGAAGGTTTGAGGCAGTGAGATGAACTATCAATCCTCCGATGCTTTAAATGTGTCGCAACAAATGTTATAAAATCTTCTTTAGGCTTTAGTTTAGCAATGTAATCGACTGTAATATTTCCTTAGTTGATTTTAGTTTATATATTTTATTCATTCATGTAGATTAATTGTTATCGATTTTGATTTTATTTTTTTCTTCGAAATATTAGAGGGAAGGGTGAAACGATATCCTTACTATCTCTTCATGTGAAAGAGGAGGGGTACGATTAGGGGGTGGGGGGACGAGAAAAAACGATTATCGCAAAATGTCAAAAAACTGATGCATAGTATCCAACTTTGACAAAGTCATTAAAAGAGCTTTTCAAAAACTTACCGTGGTGACATTCGTTTTCGTCTTGCATTTCACATTCGTTTGGAAAAATTTCCCTGACCCATGCTCCCTCTTCTTGTCTCATTCCACAGACTGGTACGTAGTTCCTGGCACATGCTAGAGGACAATGAGTGTCCTCTGTGATTCTTTTTCTCTGCGACAATGCAGCAGCTATTAAACCTAAAATTTCCTTTTATTATAACTATTTTGATTATAATTAATTAGGCTAATGAATATTATATACTATATAACTTAATTGTTTTATTTTATTTTTGTGTAGCGTTCTCGCTCTATCTCCACTGGCTTTAGCAACAGTCGAGAGAGTATATGAATTTTTGATAGAGAGGTTGGAAATTTTTGGACTAAGGGACAAAGAGAAAAACATAGAACATACCACATCAAGTGTAATTGTATATGATCTACGAATTTATTAATTCTACCTAATCTTGCTCTTTTTTCAAGATGAGCAATAGGACCCCTGCTGCAGGATAACATTAAATGCAACTGACAGCTCTGAAATACGTAGACATTATTTTACACATATTCGGAAGATTAATTGCCGAGGAGATGGATAGATAAATTATGTTAAATGAGGTCAAGGATAGGGATATGCGTATGGGGGTTGGTAGGGAATTCCAAAACAAGGTAGCACGCATGACAAAGGATTTTTTAAAGGAAACAGTTCTGTGATGAGGAATAAACAGGTTTGAGGGCTGGGATCTCGTGTTGAACGAATGGACAGAGGAACAAGGAGTACACAAATCGAGAAGTTAAGAGTGTTTTTTAGTTGAAAAGGTTTTAAAAATGAATACACCTAGGAAGTATTGCCATCGGAAGACTGGATAGAGCCAATTCCAGGTCATTTAATTACTTTTTGCAATAAACTGAAAACATGTTCTTACTTTTTATTTGCAGGCATGCCAAAATAATACACAACATGTTTTGCTGATACAAATCTTCATCCAAACACTTATAAAAAAATGTTTGCTTAAAAAAATCTTGCAACAAATATAAAATTTTTGCCAAAAATAAAAATGGAAAAATGTTTTTTTTTTTTTTTTTTCTCTATCCCCAAAATTATTGTAAATCGTTGAGGTTTTTAATATGTATTGCATACATATGTTTTGTTGCTTATGTATAAAACCAATAGTTTTAAGTATTGCAATTGTTTTTCCCCTTAGTCATCTGATGGATCACAAGACATCACTGAACTGGATGGATAAAAAATTGATGTTTTGTGTATGTGTCCCTATATATATTTTTTGTTTCTAGGTATATATAAACATATAAGTAATATAAATAAATACTTACAAGCGAAGAAAGCAAGGATACAGTAGAACTTCATATTGTTATTTTCACTGTCGGCTACAGAAATGCGATACCAATAATATTCCAAGCTCATTTATACTGTTTGTTGTTGACGTAACCTATTGAGTGTTTGTTCGTTTGAAGCGTGCTTGGACTTATTGAAATCAATAATAACTTAGAAGAATTTTAATATTTCCATTGAATACATAACATAAATATATAGTTATTTTTAAAACTAGATCGAATTAAAATGACTTACAAGAGGAGTTCGGTTTGGGCTAAAATACATTATATTTGTGCCCTTGAAAATTTGTATTTACAGTACAATAAATACTGGAATAAATGTCCAATATTATGAATGTAGAAGAATCACACATAAAAAAAATGTTTAAATCGACGTCCCACTGACTTTTACCTCTTGTGAGTCAACCGCCATGTTTTACTCCTTAATTAATTAATTATGAGTATCCTCTTTATTGAGCAGGGGGAGGGGGGTTGTGCCTATAAATATATATATGTATATTTATATGTTTAAAGAAAATATCTTCAATCGACCTTTGAGTATTATATTTTAACATAATTATTTAATTGGGAATTAGGTGACTTAATAATTATTCGATATACTACTAAATGTTCATTGCTCCTGCTTTTTTTCGACGTTGTTTATTTTCTGTTGTTTTTTTTAAGTTATCAATGGGATCGATCCTCTTCAAAGTTTTAAAATAGAGCCTCGATACCTCAGGCCAGAAACACACCGACAGCCTCACCACTGTCCACTAGCACAGATATTAAGCTATATATATACATATCTTAAAGTTTTTGAAAATAAAGTATTACGCAGAATATTCGAACCGATAAAGGACGAGTCAACCAGAGAATTTAGGCGGTTACACAACGCTGAATTGCGTGAACTGTATCCGGTTAATATAATTGAGGTGATTAAGTTTAAGTGAATAAAATGGGCTTGTAAAATCGCTGGGCTTTATAACGAAAGAATTCCTAAAAAATTAATATGAGCTGTACCGACTGGCAAGCGTCCGAGGGGAAGACCAAAGCGAAGGTGGGTAGATTGCGTTAAGGCTGATTTGGTGAGGTTGGGTTTAGACGGAGCCCGGTGGATGGAAGAATGTGGACATCAATTGATGGTATCGGCATCGAACCTTCGGGTTCGCTAAGCCTCATTATAGTTATATTAATTCTTGTAGAAAGTCATCTAGTGGACACGATTGTTAAAAGATTCTTATCACTTGTTTATGTTTTTAAAAATTAAAATATTGGTATATATTATAGTCGACAATGATCTTGAAATATATTGAACCTAGTATACAAATGAATATAGTTCTGAGATGCATTAGGCGCTTCGAGTAATACAGATAAAACATTTTGATAAAATAAACATAACAGTTATTAAATTTTTCTATACTATGGTATAGAATAAGTATGGTTTCTATATTCTATAAAGGTAGCTTAATATCCATTAACACCAACCACTTTATTTTATTCATAAATTTGTTGTTTCCATTTGTTTTCACTCATTCGATAAAAATGATACTTGGTAAACATTTTCTCTTGTTGAATTTAAGTTTTGTACAAATTTTACAGGGGAAATAGCATATAGAACCTTGAAATGCCTGTTTAGTCCGGGTTATAATAATAAAGATCATTAATGCTGGGGCATTTTCCTTTGGATACACAGAACGTCTCTTGTTTTTAATATATTCAGTCGGTAGCCTTACATATAATCAATTCTACTTCTTAAAAAACAATTACGCGATTCTTCATTTTCTATTCAATAACTCTACTCATTCGGGCTCAGCTCCTGTGGCTAAACATTTCAAGAAGTTAAGCAAGCCAATTAACACTGTGAGGCAGCCCTTAAGCCTGAGACCAAAAATCCACCTCATCGCAGCCGAAGGTTTGATTGTACATTATGAAAGAGTATGTTATTCTAAGTAAAAAGAACCTGTTCTGCCGTTCTAGAGCCGCTGCTTTCAAAAATGGCGGCTGATTTAAAGAACATTAGGCCAGTAATTCGAAGATCGAAACGGCAAATCCATTATTAAAAATTTGAAAAAAGATTTTATTTTTTTAACTCGTATAGATGGGTTAAGACATGTAAAAAACTTGATTGCTAACGCGGGCCACCAAGTGAAAAGTTTTTACAGCCAAAAAGTCATATTTTTTTGTTTTTTCACCTATAACTCCTGAACGATGCATCAGAGCGAAAAATGTATTCTTTCATAAATTGAAGAACGTTAAATTTTGCATCGAACGAGTACATAAACATTATAATTTGGTAAAGTATGAAACCACAGTTAACCAACGCTGATTCTTACCAAATTTGTCAAAAACTGTGACAAGTTACTATAAATGGTCCTGTAACTTGCAAACTAGTTCCTTCAGATTAAAAACCCATAGACTGAGTACCAACTTAAAGAATGTAGATCACATACTCTGAAAAAAATCGGTAATCTACCGATGGTTAGAAATTGGTAATGAAGATAAACGTGATTTTCAATATTTCAACAATATGGGTGTCTATCCTACTGAGTTATTTTGTTTAGAGTCTGTTACATGCGGTATAAGCCTGTTTTCCACCTCTCAGTAGAGGAGGATTTTAATAAACGATGTGTCGAGAGGTAGCGAATTTCATAAAGGATTAACGAATTTCGATTCATGATATTTAATTAGCCTACAATAAAATTGTAAATACTGAGTGGACGCAAAATTTGATGCTTTACAATTTTGATTCTATGAGTTTTTTTCTCTTAGGGAACTCATTTCCAAGTTAAGCGGCCATTTATAGTAATTTGTCTCAGTTTTTGACTCATATGGTCAAAATCAGCGTTGGTTGACCGTGGTTTTATACCTTACCACGTAACCAAATTATTAAGTTTATTTACTCGTTCGATGTAAAATTTAACGTTCTCTAATTTTTAAACTGTACATTTTTCGTTTCGATGCATCGTTTAGGAGTTATAGGTGTGAAAACAAGAAAAAATCTTACTTTTTTGGTTGTAAAAAGTTTTCTCTTGATGATCCGCGTTAGTCATTTTGTTTTTTTATGTCTAAACCCATATTTCCAAGTTAAAAAAATAAAAACTTTTCACATTGTCTGTGCCAAAAATGGTTTGAATTTCCCGCGTTGCTGCCAGTGGTGGGGGCAGATCAGATCTTGGTCACTTCTCCATTAACAGTGACTCTGGATACACCACCACTGGCACCTAAGGACCCTCCAGGTAACCAAATGATTTAAGCTGGCATAAAGAGAGTAAGCTATTTTTTGCTCAATCAACATAACCTACCAATCCATTAAGATACAGTACACTTAAAACTCATGAGAGTTATTTGCCTTAAAGAGAAAAGTTGCCTAAATACACATTTTTCGATATGGATTTTCAGTTTCGATCCTCAAGTTACTGGCCTAATATTCTTTAAATCAGCCGCCATTTTTTTAAAGCAGCAGTTTTGGATTGCCAGATAAGGTTCTTTTTACTCAGAATAACATACACTTTCGTAATTTACATTTAAACCTTCACCTGGGATGAGGTGGATTTTTGGCCCTAGCTCCAGAGCAATGATTGCTACCCAAGGGTACAACCTTTATATTTACTTTTTTTTTATAAGGTTCTGACATATTCAAACAGTAAACATAAGGTCCTTATGTATAGGGCAGGAAGGATGGATTGTCCTATAGGTTAGCCTGAACCGAAGTGAGAAGGTTGAGATTTATTCTTTGCCCCCACCACATAATAATTGAAGGAAGTAATTTGACTGTTCTACATAACTTAGGTGATGGATAATCAGGATCCAGTCAGTTTTTAAGATTTTTATTGCAAACGTTTCAACCCAAGCTTAAGAGTCATCATCAGGGCTTGTTACCAGCATTTCAAGGGCGGATCTACGGGGAGGGGAGCTTTGGGGCTGAAGCTCCTCCCCCAAAATGGTAAAATATATCCTATTTTTGTAAATAGAGTGTGATTGTGCTCTCTGAACATTATTATAAATGTCCTTGATGTGACAGAATATAATATTTCTAAATAAACAAATATAATATAAAAAAAGGAATCACTTAAACGCCATTCCATATAGGTAGTCAGTTTCTTTCTTTTATTCCAAAGTAATTATCGTTATTTTTATGAAAAAAAAAAGCTTTCGGGCTGAAACCCTCCCTCCCAAAATTAAATTCTGGATCCTCTAGTGCCAGCATTGTAGGTGTTCAAGTATAATAGAATATTTCAGTGCTGGTAACATACACTGTAGATGACCGACAAACATGGTTTAAATGTTGGAAATAAAATAAATTCCTGTCAAATAATTTAGTAAATGATCACGATTAGTTTTATGAAATTTTGGTCCAATTTTATTTAAACTCTTAACTTTATATAAATTGTGCAATTAACATCATTAATAAATAAGTGTAGAAATTAGTTATCACTCTATCTTATGGAAAGAAATATCAAATGATAGGATCTGTTTTTACTTAACAATTAATAAACTATTTAGAAAATGATGTAGAGATGGTTGACCGTTGATATAATATGAGAAGGAGTTAGTCGAGGGTGCGGTCAAATAAATAAAATATATAAATTATTTTAATTTTTGCCGACGTTTCGACCCACTTTGCAGGTCGTCTTCAGGGCGTAGGATGTGGCACTGCGGGAGGCAGTTGAAACACTGGCCTCTCAGTTAAAACTATTGGCCAGTGTTTCAACTGCCTCCCGCAGTGCCACATCCTACGCCCTGAAGACGACCTGCAAAGTGGGTAGAAACGTCGGCAAAAATTAAAATAATTTATATATTTTATTTATTTGACCGCACCCTCGACTAACTCCTTCTCATATTTAGAAAATGATTCAATAAAACACTATTTACTAAATGAAATAGTATATACCTAATTTAGCTAACTAAAATATTGATTTTTTTAAACTGAAATTTTCAAAATTTTTATTCATTGACACAAATTTGATTTAAATAGCCACTTTTGTTCACTTTTTTAAAAGAAATACAAACATGTTCCCAAAACTTGTCATTGTATATTTCTTACTATTAAAATAATTTTTCAAACATTAAAAATAAAAAATATTGCATTTTTAATAGTAATTTTGCTGATTATAGCTAGTTATAATTATTCTAATACAAACCCTTGAAAAATGTAACTTTCTTTCATTCTTCCATTAACTGCATCATCGACTGTAAACAGGGCAGATTTCAAATAGATTTTCTAATTATTACAATAATAATTACTATTATTGTAACAGAGATATCGGAATACATATTATTTTTTATTATTCGTTTCGTTTCGTTTGTTTTGATGTCTCGGCGCAAAACACCCAGTTCGTCAGCGCCCGATCAACTAAATAACACTACTTTTATACTGTTTGGATGGTTGGTACAGAAAAAAAAGAAAAAAAAAAAAGAAGGATAAATAAAAGGATTGATAGAATAAAATAAATAAATAAAGATAATAATACAAAATTATAGATAATAAGATAGAATAGGTAAATAAATAAAATTTATAAAAAATAGCAATAAGATCAATAAATCAATTGAAATTAATAAACTTTTAAAAAAAATAAATAAATAAATAAAAAAAAATAAATAAATAAAATTAAAAATAATAATAATAATAAATCTGCAAAGGATCATTAGTTATAAACTTGTCATATATGTTTTTTAAGTCTTTCATTATCTAGGAACTTGATAGCTTTGGTAACGATTTCTTCTTGCTTTCCCAGGGATGCTGATATATACCGGGGTATTCCGAGATCTTTTAAGCTTGCGGTGTAAAAAAGGGCGTTTTATTATTTTTCTATTTTTTTATTATTAATAGGAAAATTAGTAAAAAAAAAAAAAACTAAATAAAGAAAATAGTATAAATTATTGCTTTTATTTATACAAATCTATAGGAACGATTACGTACATTCATACGTTAAAACATATCAATAAATTTTAATTAGGCTACCATACTCTATTAAAGGAAAAATATATTCGAATCTAATTAAAATATGATGGATAAAAATCTTTGAAAAAGTCTTACAATAAAATATCTGCTGAAAAAAAAAAAAAATGTAGTTATTCTATGAGAGATAAGCATCAAATAACAAAGAAATCACAACTGCATAATCATTTTTCTTTGACGTTTATTTCAATTGGGTTCTGGAGTTTAATCCTCATAATCCTCACTACAAGGAATATACTCACCTGAAAATAACATCAATAAATTGTTATAATAATAAATTATTATCAATTTTATTTAAACTAATAAAATAAACTATTACAAATAAACAGAAACCACAATTGGATGTAATATTTATGGAGAAGTTTACTCCTTTTTATGTTTCTCTCTTTACATTTAAGTTCATTAGTAGAAAAATTCAAAGAGTACTGTTTCTAGCTTTAAAGAAAATATGAATATACTTTATATTGGACTGGTAAAACGTAGAATCGAAAAATAAAATACTATTACGTCCATACTTTATGATGTATGGAAAGGCCTTCAATAGATAAATAGAAGTTTTGTTGGGTATTCCACATTTTACTTTCTCTTAGCTATATAAGAAATATATAGTAAGGGTAAGTAATGTGATTGAAAATTTTAGAATCTAAGTTTTCAACGGAAATACATGTTTTGAGGTCTCCTGAGTCCAAATAACGAAGTCCCGCAAAATAGTGTGTGTGTGTATGTGCAGTCTAGCTCAAAGTCGAAAAATCTTATGTAACTGATATTACATATTTAAGATAGGTATATGCCTTAGATGTTACAGCAACTTTTTCCTTACAATTGGCTAGCCGGAAGTGCCACTTTATATCAACGCTGAAACACATTTTTACAATTTTCTCTAAAACGGCTCTAACGATTAATCACGGTGAACCATTGTATAATTAAGTGGTCTTTAATATCAATTAGGTCTTATCCCCATTGAAGTCACTTTATAGGCCTTAAATGCCCAACTAGAAACATCACTAAAATGACATTACTCAAAACTGTTGAAATTGGAATTAGTCATTCTGTCAACTGAAAGGCTCAGATACTGAAGTTATGTGAATTATAAAACTAGCTTTTATTTTTATTGCCTACCGTTGATATAATAAACAGACTTTTTGAAATTTGAATGGTCTTAATGATTTTTTAACTGTAAGCTTTAAGCTTTAGCTCCGTTTAAAATGCACTTCAAAAATTTTTTAATACCCCAACATTGTCAGAAAATAATTTCTATTCAAAGTAGAGGGGGGTAAGTGAAAGATGTGTGTTGCTCGCACCAGATTTTTTTATGTTAAAAATGTTATTTATCATTACATATATTTTAATACATTCTTTATAAATTGACTTTTAGAATCATCATTTAAACCTGCAACGAAGGTTCTTTAAAATAAATAATTCACCAATGGCAAGCTTTAGAAATTTTGAATTATTGTAAATTCATATCACTGATTTTATTTGTTTATAAAATTTTTGTGATTTTGGTATTTTTAACATTAAAAATCATACACAAATCTAAATAAATGAATTTAAAAATATTAAAAAAAAGCCATTTTTCGAAAAGTGATGAGTGAGACTCATGTATATTTGAAAGGAATATTCATCGCCAAATTGATCGTCGATTAGGAGACAGCACAACATAGAGAAGGGGAACAAATAACAAACTGCACTATATTTAAAGGATCCAGACGTTAAAATGATAAAGCTTGGTAGGTTTCGGAAGGAGGACCATATGGCCATGATGGGTGCCCGTAAGATTCTAAGGAAACTCATCAAAAAGGAATTACTTGGAACACAACTGAGAGTTCAAATCTGGAGGACAGATGGTCGATCAAATGAACTGGAGAAATATACTTAAGGAGGCCAGGTTATGTAATAATATATTAGTAATAACAGTAATAATATATAACAATATTGGGTTGTGCCGATTGATTATAATGATTTTTAAGACACAAGGCACTGAGCTGTGGGGCTCCAATAAAAGTCATCTATAATTAACTCCATAGTCACGCAATGTCATAAGTCTGTCATTTCTTATCAATTGAATCAATCCTAACAATGTGAGATGTCTCAAAAGAATATGGTCTAAAGACCTTCCAAGTTTCATTGAAATGATGGAAATAAGTAATTTCTTCACAAGTCATATTAATTAGGATGCACATTTAATCATATAAATGTTGCTCATTTTTAATAGAAAAATAAATTTAAATATTGAGATCTGAGAAGTATTAAACAATGTATTTTTTCAGTCAATAAAGTTCTCTTTTCTAAGAAAATTATTATATATTATATGAATTAAAAAAAAAGAAGAAGATAATATTGGAAAGTAAAATATCAAATTGAAATATTAACTGATTGGTGACTGTTATTTTAAGAATTTTACATTGATCAACACAAACATAAATGGTAAACTAACCTAACCAGCAAAATTTATATCTTCATCACTATCATTTGAAATTAATGTAGTTTTATTCTTTCAAACTAAACCACCATCAGAACAACTATAACAGTTATTTTGAAGAAAGTAGTATATTACCTCCATAACATTCATTTTCATTTCTCATTTCACAATCATTTGAAAATGTCTTCTTCTTCCAATATCCTTTAACTAGTTTCTTGCCACAGACAGGCTTGTAGTTTCTTTTGCAACCTAATGGGCAATGTGCTGATGTTGCAACAGCAATCAAACCTAAAATTTGAAACAAATATTCTAGCCGTTATAAAACAAATCAGAGTAGGGTACCTTGCCCCCAGACATAGGGATAATATTATTTAATGCCAAAAATCTTTTATATACCAATGAATTATGTTGAAAAAAAAGATCTTAGTAGAAAATAATTTCAAAGTAATTCAGGTGCATTATAATTTAATTTAGTTCAATATTTTTTAAAAAAATATGAGGTTTAAGGCAGTTAAACTAGAAGGGAGAAAAAAATTATGTTTGATTTATAAATTGTTATCTCAATCAAAAATGGTATAATAAATGGTCCCACAGGTGGATCTATTGGAGGAGGGAGAACTATCAGGCTGAAGCCCTCTCCCAAAAATGGTATAATGTAACCATGTTTCTTGTAAAAAAAAAATCAAAAAATTATCCCTTAAAGTATTATTGCTAGTGTAATTACATTTAATAGGGCTTCAAGACTCACTTAAACACCATTTCATATAGATAGTTAGTATCTTTCTTTTTTATTTTCCAAAGTAATTATCGTTATATATATATATGAAAAAAAAAGCTTCCTGGCTAAAGCCCACACCAAAAACATTAATTCCTGGATCCACTAGTGCATGGTCCAAATCAAGTTAAGGGTTGAATGTGACCATGAGAAAATAAATGAAGTACCTAGACAGTTTGTAGAAATGAATTATGCTTGATCAAAAAAAAAATAAAATTATATATCTTTTGAAGATCAAATAAAAAATTAATAGTGTTCTGTTTAACAAAATAAAAAATATTACAAAAGTTGTTATTGTGATATTTAAAACATATTTCTGACTCTACTGCTGTATATATACTGTATTCACTGCCATTAGAATTCAGGATTACTTTTTTTTTATTAGATCACACATAAAAAGAAATATGGACCAATGGAAAAAAAAATTATCTCTTGGAGAAGAGGGAGGGGCTTCAGTTTCAAAGACCCCTCCATCCCCCCTTAATCCATCAGTATTCACTACTATATCAGTTATGACACCACAGGCGGATCTACGGAGGTGGGGAAAGGGGGGGCTTTCGGGCTAAAGCCCTCCCCCCCCTCCCAAATGGTAAAATATAACCATATTTTACAGAAAAAAATATTAAAAATTAACTCTAAAAGTATTCTTGTTCCTGTAATTACATTTAATAGGACTTTAGGAACTACTTAAACACCATTTCATATAGGTAGTTCATTTCTTTCTTTTTTTTCAAATTAATTATCGTTATATGTATATGACGAAAAAAAATCTTTCGGGCTGAAGCCCCCCTCCCCCAAAATTATATCCTGGATACGCTAGTGTATGACACAAACGTTTTTTTTTGGATTGGATTGCAACTTTTTATACTAACATAAATGTACTACTTGACGCCTCTTTGAGATTAAAGTTCTTTTTTAGGCCAAGACAAAATGATAAAAGTTAAAGTTAAATGAAAAAATAATGTGTAACATAAAATTTATACAGTTTAAAATAATAAAAAAATATCCTTATTAATAATGCATATAAAATAATTAGTAATTAAAATAAATAAAATTCAATAATAGAAAACGAATAATATGAAACAATAAAAAATGCAACTCACAGGCAATGAAGGCAAGGATAAAAATGAACCTCATATTGATATTTTGACAGTTGCTAGCTGTATGTGAATGATATCTATTATGTTCCCATCTTTTATAGCATCAGAAACTGACGTAATAGGCTGGAAGATTATTTATTACAGATGTGCATGAAACTACTGTAACACAGTCATTATTTACATATCAACATTCAACGATGTTTGTTGTTGAAGCTATATTTACAAATATATTCCTTTTTTAAAATAAACTCCATTCCGACAATCTGTCCGTAAAATTGTGCACTTTTCCTAAACATCTAAAGTAAATATAAAAGTTCGCAATTACAGTTGATGTCATAAACAAAATGGCCGACAATGTATCCAACCGTCCAAATATATATTATTATTAATCTATAAAAAGTCACCTGTTTGCTTTCTTAACTGCTTTACTATCGCTACTGAATTATGAAAGTATTGTAATCGAATCGAAATTCTTAAGTGCGGTTTTCAACGTATCCGATTTTCACAGACCAGGAGCTCAAGCAGGAGGCTCATCCCCCCCCCAGGCCGATGGCGCAAAACTTTCCCCCACCCTCCCATGATATTTTATTTCTCTCTTCTTTTTAAAATCAGTGCATACGAAAGTAGAATTTAAATATTCGTAGATTATATACAATTACACATACTGCGGTCTGTTCTATGCTTCCACTTGTATTTTAATTTGAAAATTCATAATCCCGTCGAAATGCTAACCTCTCAAAAATTGAAAAACCCGTCAAAAAGTGGCCCCCTCATAAATTTCGATGGCGCGATTTGCGCCATGAAACTTCCTTCTGGGTACCCCTGAGTTCAAAACAAGTATTTTCTTGATTGGTCTATCTGTCTAAATCATGATCAACTTTTGAACGGATGGAATGTTTTTTTTTTTTTGTTTTTTTTTCATTTCGATATGCAATAGCGGTTCCGCAATAGGTGAAAACGGGTTTTTCTATTAACTCTAACACCAAAAGAATTCAAGTTTCTTAAAGCTACTTAAATTATGATATACAATAAATGAAAGATAACTGAATTCTTTATTAAAAAAATTTAAAATTAGATCAGTATAAGGAAATATATGGCATATTGAACTGTGATTCTATGCTTCTAAAAGTCTGTTTAAAGTATTTTGTTATAGTTTCGTATTAATCCATTAGTTTTTCGAAAACTGAAAGACGTCTTCTCCGATATCAATCAGAAAGCTGATCAAATCGTCTGCAAAGCCGACCTTTAAAATAAAAATACTAATCAGACCTTACAAAGTTTTCTGTGTTGAATAATGACATTGATGTTTTAAAGTTTATTAAGCTGGGAAATCTTCAATAAGCTGGCCAGTTTCGAGGATGAAGGATGACAATATGACTAAGAGTTTTACTGATGAGCTTCATGGCAAGCAGAGAGTTGGTCATCCTAATGTTAGATGGGTGGATGGATGGACTCAAAACTGGAGAGGTGCTCTAATAGATCAAGCCCAATTGGCGAAGGCTTTTAGAGTAGATCTAGACTCTGTGAGGGGTCCTAGCGCCCACTTTGATGATGATGAATGGGGCCAAAAATGACTATATCCAGGATTACAGACAATTTTGAGCTATTAATTTTTTTTTAGATAGTCAAGGAAATCTCTGGTTTTATTTTTGTAAAAATGATGGTCTGACATTTAAGTTGTAAAGAAGAATCAAAATCATAATCTATTAAAAAAAAAAACTTATATTTACTGAAAATAATGGTAATAACATTTTATCATTTAAAGCAGTACATATTTTCTTCTTACCCAGAGTAAACATGAAGCTATATATTGACATTCTTGAATGGATAGAAAATAGCTTTCAAAATATATTACTCAAAAGTAAATATGTTAAGTATCCCTTTACAAACAAAAGAGTAAGACCCTATTATCTTTTACTTTTGATAACCACAAGTGACTTCATTGTTAAGATTTTTTATGCTTTCCAGTCTCCTCCACAATATCACCAATTTTCTCCAAATTTAATTTATTTTCTTCCAGTGGGACCTAACAAAATTTTAGATTATGGAGGAAATAAATTTTTTTCGAGGAGGGACAAGCTTAATTTTGCCATTTTTTCCTTCACCCCTTTCTTATTTGTGTGAAATTATGAAATGCAGCATTTAATCAATTTAAATATATATATATATATATATATATATATATATATATATATATATATATATATATATATATATATATATATAAGTCTAATTTTTAAAGTAAATAAAAAATTAATTGCACCAAATAAATGCTGAAATAAGTAGACTTTACAAAAAAATTACTATTGTCACGAGTCTTTTAATGTTTCATACCTTACAGATAAGGAATATATTTTTTTTGAATTTTTAAATTTTAATAATAAATGTTTGTGCTGTATAATACGATAAAGAATTTGTATTTCCAAAAAAAAAAAGGATTGATGAGTATGCTGTGTATCGAGCAACCCTATATAGTAGGGCAGCACTGCTTTAAATAAAGCATTTCTCTCTAATGTTGTTTTTATATTGTCTTCATATTAAGAGAATTAACAAGAACTTCCCATCATGTAATCTATAAACAGAAAAGCATGAGTATTTGTAAAGACAGCCCCCACTCACTCTGCTAACATTTTGAATGTAAACACAGAAACTTCAATATTTACAAATCTAAACGTAACTTCAAATCGTGGATTTGATTTACTTTGAGTATGACTCGTTTCATTTCAATTGCAAACACCTGAGTCCACATGAACGTTCTTCCGATGTAAGAGCATATTCAAACAGAACTACAAAATAAGTGTAAAGCGGTTTTCCTTTTACGCTTTCATAATATCGCTAAATAAATACCATTAATATTATTATTTTCCTGTTTATTTACAAAATACAATATACTATCAAAAATTATGCTTGCAGCAATTGAGTGATTAATTACACGCTATAAAATTATATTAGCTAAATGACTTTTTATGTTATAAAAGATATTGCTAATCTTAGTGAAGGCAGATTACTCAGCTGTATTTACTTTGAATTTTCCGTACAAACACTCTTACATTTCCGTAAATTCCCTAATCTATTCCAATTAGACCAGATAAAAGGAATTATCTGTATATATAGAAATAACATTTTTTAATCAGTGATAAGTCAAGGGTACGGTGAAGAGGGAGAGGGGGAGCTGTTGTCCAAGGAACGTAAGAAAAATAAAAATAAAATAAGAACAAATATAAACTACAAATTATGAAAAAACGTCAGTCCAGTCGTGGATGGAGAGCTATGGACATCAGTGTATGAAACCACTAATTGGAAGCCATTTTGAAACAATATGGCAAATGGTAATGTGGAATAGCTGAGGTTCTTTCAGATATGACCTGTGGTTTTGGTGCTAATTCTGAGAAAGAAAAAAACAGTCCACTATTTTCAGAGCTGTGGAATGATTTTTTAATCCAAATTTTGGATTACATGGTAATTATACTAATAAAAATAGAATATATATATATATAGTAATGTACACTTTTATTGGAAGTGGGTATAAAGGATTTAGTAAATTAATGTTCAACAGTTAAAAGGCAAGGTAATCTAGTTCTACTAGTGCAGGGAGAAGAAAATGGCTTCTCTGTAGTTACCTCAGAAAGGAAAATCCCAAAGAAGAGTATGGACAAAGGATTTTTGTTTTGACAAGCAGTTGACGTTTGCCTGGAGTGAAGAGAGTATAGGAGAAGGGACCTGGCTCCAGTGGATAAAACCCAGAAAATAGTATTACCATTTCGGTTGTAGTTGTGTGGCTGCAGTGAAGAGAGGGTAGGGGTAGGAGAAGGGGACCTGGCTCCAGTGGGTAAAACCCAGTAATAGTATTACCATCTTAAAAGTTGTTGTTTGGTAGAGAGGCTAGTTGTTTGGAATTACAAGAGAGAGAATGTCCCAGGAAGCTTGAGTTGAGTAGAAGATAGTATCACCAATTTGGAAGTTATGTTTGGCAGAACATTGGAAAGCATTTGAGACAAATTAATTTAGTGCAGTAGAGGAAGAAACAGTGTATATAGAAAAAAGGTTAGCTTGCCAATTCCTACTTGACTTTTAAAATTGATTTTAAAATCAAACAGTGTTTAGTATAGTTAATTTCAGTTTGTCAGAGTGTTTTGATCTGATTGTCAGTAACCTACACCTGAGATAAATATATTAATACTCTTATAATTTTGTTATTATAACAACCTATTATTTCTTTTGGAAGTATCCTAACGGTAAAGTGGTCTTCTGAGGTTATATTATTATTTGTCAAATATAAGAGAGATGTTACAAAATATATATATATATTTTTTTATTGGCTCTACAGACCATGAAGACGACGGTCTCCTACACCACATCCCGATTCCCGATTTAAAGTACGGGGTAGGGTCATAAATTCTACGCCAGGTCGGTGAGAGTTGCCGCCAGAAGACGGGCGCGGGCCTCACATACTCGGGGAGGAGGAGAAGGAATCTCGGGCAGTGTGGCTTTCCTTGGTGTGGTCACCCATCCAAGTACTAACCACACTCGGAGTTGCTTAACTTTGATTACCTATTGCAAGCGCCTTAGTGTGCACGACTACCCCAGTCCTATATATGTATATATATATGTATGTATATGTATATCATTTACATATAAAAACAGGATGGGATTACAATAACATTGAGTCACTGACAGATGCAAGTTATCCATATGTACCTGTTTGAGCTTTGGCTAAACTCTCTGACAAGAACTTTCATCCTTTCAACTGCTAATGTGAGATATCCAACAGTCGAAATTGAAGGAAGATTTTAAAGTTGAGAACTCATGATATCCTTAAAAATTATGGCAAATTGCCGACTTATTTCTAAATAAACAAAATATTCAATATCTTCAAATTCTCTAGCTGGCAGACACCCGGAAGTGGCCATATATATAGCATAGCTCTTGCAGGACACCTTGTGACTGGTAGTAGTTTGTTCTGCAGGGCAATCCATCTTTCACAGATGAATTTGCCGTCAGCCTGAAAAATATTCCCCGAAAATTCTCAATTGTATTTATTACAACATAACTACAAAGTAAGCAATACAAATGCAAAGTAAAACCATTAACCTCATGATGTTAATGATGATAAATATCATTCACTTTATAAAATGTTATATGAAGAAAATGTTTTATAAAAATGTAAGAACAAGGACAATCATCTTCAGTTTCATAGAATTCAAGTACTACAAGAGTAGATAGTTTTCCTGATTTTTTTTAGTATTTAGTACCGCAGGATCTGTCTCCATAAATGAATTTGTCACTAAATAAAACAATAAATGGTTTGTATCTAATAACTTTATTATTTGAATAAAAATAAAACTGGTTACCTTTTGCTTCTTAAAAGCCTTATTCTTTTCATATATAAAGCTATGTATATTTCATAACTTGAATAAAATATAGGAAAAAGTAAATATTTCAAAAATAACATTTTTTAAATAAATTTATTATTTACATATCACATTAAAAAAAAAAAAAGGATCTGTCTCGTTAGTTCAGTCTTGTCTTATTACATTTAGATTTATTAATAAGTAACATTTAAAAACCCAAATGAAATTACAGTAATAAAAAATATTAAAAATAAATACAAACAATTTCATTTTTTAATATACATTATTTCCAAAGAACACTGTTTTATATCTCTTTGGTGATATTTTCTAACAGAACTTAGTTCCTCATTTGGAAATATCTCTACACCGAAGTTCTTTTTCTTTTTCTTCTTCCGCTGCTATGATGGTGGGAAAACTATATCATATATTTGTTTATAGTGGCTAACGAAATGGACTTCCAATCCTTCAGTGATGTATTTTGGTAAATCATTGAAATCTTTTTTATTTTCTTCTGGAAGGATAATACATTTAACTCCAACCCTTTTAGCCTGTAATGAAAAGAAAAACTCATATTAGTTAATAGTAAATTATAGAGTCCATTATAGAACATTCCAAATTGTGAATAATGCTGTCTGTTTCTATTGAAATTCTATAACAACATTTCAGAAATTAATTTTGTATGTGTGTATATATATATATATATATATATATATATATATATATATATACACGCACTTACATACATACACACATATATATAAATAATATCAATAGTATTTGACATACCGCAATAGTTTTTTCTTTGATTCCACCAACAGGTATGATTTTTGCATTAAGAGTTATTTCTCCCGTCATAGCAACATTTTGCCTTATTGGTTTATTTTGAGCGAGAGAAAGCAGAGCTGTAACAATAGTGCAACCTGCACTAGGTCCATCCTTTGGTGTAGAACCCTGAAACAGGTTAGGTAATGTTAATAATTGTTATTTATAAAAAGTGTAAATTTCTGAAATTTTTATTAAAACTTAACAAAATTATACATACAAATCTATCCGTACTTCACAGGACATCAAATGAACAAAGTAATAAAAAAAAAAAAAAAAAAAAGAAGAAAAATTCAACAGTTTTTGACCTTTTAAGTTTTGAATTGAATGGATCACATAGAGGGTATACATTCTTTACAATCCCGATGAAGACAGATCTACTTCAAAAATGAAGATATCTCTTGATCTACCCCTCCTCCTATGCTATGGGGGAATCATGATTAAAACAAAAAATATCCTTTCAACTAAAAATTTATCTTTACATACAACCCTCTCCCAGAGCACTTCATCATATTCTTATTCTTATATTAATAAATTTATGTACTTCCAACGTTTTAAAGATAACCAAAGTTTGCATCAATTAGTTGTTACTTCAAGAAGGTTATATATAACATACAGGATGGTCTCGATAATCCGAAACCTCTGGTAATCCGAACAAGAAAGAAAAAGAAGTTACAAGTTGACTGACAAGAGAGGGAATGGAAATGTCCCTGTTTCTCAGAAAATATTACTGGAATTGCTACGTGTGGTAACGTTGAACAGTGTATTGCAGTGTCTTTAAATGGAAAACATTAAAATTAGGCGATAATCAAGAAGTTTAGGGAATCTCTTCATGTGTTTTCTGCAGAAGAGATTACGAAGGGGTTTGATTTCCAGGAATATATCAGTTGAAAAGTAAAAGGTTTTCTTTAATAGTTTTTTTAAGAAGGATAATTAAAAAATTATCGTCATTTGTGCTACCTCCTTTTGGAACTCCTTACCGCCATACGTCAATCCTAATCTATAAACTAGTGTAAATAGGTATGCCTGCATCTAAGATGTTTATTTTCATTACTTTTTTTTTAAAAGATAATTTTAATTCTATTTTATTAATTTATTTTTATTATATTATTACTATTATTTATATTTTCTTCCTTCATTCATTCATGTATGGCACAACATCCCGTCACCGAGACTGGGCCTCCTCCAAGAGCCTCCGCCAGTTGGCTCTGTCTTCTGCTGCAGCTCTCCAGTTCCGCACACCAAGCAGGGTTCTCGCATCATAGGCCACGTTGTCCAACCATCTCGTCCTCGGCCTTCCTACCCGTCTTACGAGGTGCAGCTCCTCCATCATTATTTTTTTTGGTATTTCAAGGGTGCTCATTCTGGCCACATGCCCTGCCCACCTTAGTCTGGCCAGTTTAATATACGTGACTACGTCGATGTCTGCATAGAGAGAACTGAGCTCCCTATTTTTTCTTTTCCTCCAGACATCACCCTCCTTTACTGGACCATAAATCCTTCTGAGGACTCCTCGCTCAAAGACACTCAGCTTCATCTCATCCCTTTTAGTCATCGTCCAAGCCTCTGAGCCATATGTCAAAACAGGCCGAACAAGGGTCTTGTATATGATCAGCTTGGTCTTCTTTGAGAGGTACCTACTTCTTAAGTGTCGGCCAAGTCCAAAGACACATCTATTGGCAGCCGTGATCCTTCTTTGTATTTCTTGAGCCATGTCATTCTTGCTATTAATTTCAGACCCAAGGTATATAAAACTTTTCACTCTCTCAAACTTAAAAGAACCTACCTCAAATGGAGAGTTCAGATCCACCTCACCGCCAACTCTCATATACTTAGTTTTCCTCTCGTTGACTTCTAGACCAAGTGGTCTTGCAGCTGCTTCAAGGCTTATAAACGCTTCTCTGAGAGCCCGTTCAGACCTACCTATTATGTCAATATCATCAGCAAAACCAAGAAGCTGTGTCAGGCGATTGAAGATTATATCTTTGGTCTGAATACCGGAGTCTCTTACAGCTTTCTCCTCTGCCAAATTGAACAATAGACAGGCGAGGGCATCCCCTTGCCTAACCCCACTGCTCACTTTAAACTCTTCGGAGTCGTCAGAACCGACGCGTATTCTGCATCTCGAGCTGTCCATGGTCATCTTGATTAGGCGTACGAGCTTCTGAGGGATGCTTAGCTCCTCCAAGGCACAGTATAGTTGCGTTCTATCAACGCTGTCGTATGCTGCTTTAAAGTCCAGGAATAAATGGTGGGTGACTACCTTACGCTCCATAGTCTTTTCTAGGATCATCCTCAGAGAGAACAGTTGATCAGTCGTTGAGCGTCCTCTTCGAAATCCAGCCTGATATTTCCCCAGTTCCTTTTCAGAATACGGGAGGATCCTCTCAAAAAGAATGTTAGAGAGCAGCTTATAAGCACACGAAAGGAGTGAGATTCCTCGATAGTTAGCGCATTCTGTTTGATCTCCTTTCTTATGTATTGGGCAGATAATGGCTGTTGCCCATTCCGTAGGCATAGCTTCCTTCTCCCAGATGGTCAGCATTAAATCATGCAGAGCTTTCTTGAGTTCTTCACCTCCACATTTCAACAGCTCTGACTGGATTCCGTCCGGGCCTGGCGCCTTTCCATTTTTCAATTTCCTCAGGGCGTTTTCCATTTCCTCCTCATCCGGGGGTTCAATAGAATTCAGGGAGTCTTCCTTCATTACACCTACTTCTCCAGGCACCGTTCCTCTGTTTAATGCGCCTTTGAAATGTTGTACCCATCTCCTTAGTACGTCATCTTTGTGGCTTAAAAGAGTTCCATTTGTGTCTTTGCATGCCGTCACTCTGGGCCTAAAAGCTGCCCTACCCTCGTTTATTCTCTGAAAGAACAGGCGACTTTCATTTTGGCCTCGCAATGCCTCTGTGTCCTCCATGTTCTTATTTTCCCAAGCTCTTCTCTTTCCGCGGAATAATCTCTTCTCTTCGCGTCTTTTTCTTCTATATGTTTCTTGGGAGAGCCTTGTGGGACGCTGAACCTTCTTTCTGTAGGCTTCATTTTTCACTTTTACTGCTTGAAGGCACTCAGCATCAAACCATGGGGGCCTTCTAGATTTAGTCTCGTAGCCAAGAGCTTCTTCTGCTGCCTGTTTCATTGCGTTGCTGCATCTCTTCCACTGTTCATCGACCATAGAGCTGTCATTAATTACTTCTTCATTAAGTTTCGTCTCCACAGCTTGTTGATACGAATATTGGTGGTCTGAGTCCTTAAGTTTAACCACATCAATCTTCTTCTTTGGTCGTTGGTAGTGGTTTTTAATCAGCGAAATTCGTGATCTGACCTCGGCAATGCTCAAATAGTGATCCGTGTCCATATTTGCACCTCTATAAGATCTTGCATTTATCATGTTGGACTTGTGACGGGCACTAATGAGTACATGGTCTATCTGTGATGCTGTTTGCCCATTTGGAGAGATCCATGTTGCTTTGTGGATATTCTTTCGAGGAAAAAGAGTTGTTCCAACAACCAGTCCGTGCAATGTAGCAAAGTTCACCATCCGTAGCCCATTATCATTACTGGTCTCATGCAAGCTGTGGGTTCCTATGGTCGGCATGAGTGCCACCTCCTTACCAACTTGTGCGTTAAAGTCACCAAGAATGATTTTAACATCATTTTTGGGGCAGCTTTCTGTCACGCGTCCAAGTTCTTCATAAAATGCTTCCTTATCCTCCTCAGGTGACACCTCTGTTGGGGCATGGCAGTTGATTAGAGAGAAATTAAAAAATTTTCCTCTAAGCCGAATGTAGCATAACCTTTGGTTAATGGGAGTAAATCGCATCACTAACTGTCGAGCTCTGCCTCTCACAACAAATCCGGTACCGAAGATGTGATGCTTTTCATGGCAGCTATAGTAGAGTGTATGGTACTTCTTCTCCATAATTCCCTGTCCTATCCATCGGACCTCTTGGATAGCTGCTATGTCGATTCTGTATGTGTCCACTTCTGCAAGGAGCGCACGAAGTGCTCCTAGTCTATGTAATGATAAAATGTTCCAAAATCCAATTCTTAGGTCATTTAGGCGTTTCCTGGGTCTGTTACCGTAATTCAGTCCGGCTTCTTCTCTTTGAGGTTTCGTAATAAGGTACTTTAGGGGGGGTGGGTTATCAGCCCACTGCCCCCGAGTCAGGTAGAGGGGCTGCCTCCTCCGAGCATCCTGACTAGCTCCCCCATCCGGGGCGGCTACCTAGGGAAGGTGACCCTAGGGTGTGTACTGTAGGTGACCTTTGTCTGTAGTGTTTAGGTGTTGTAGTGTGCTGTCTAAAGTGTACTTGGTGTGTGAGTTTTCGTGTAAGTGTTCCCCCAACCTGGAGGGCCAGTGGCTGGTTGCGGTACAATGACCGGGCGATGGGACCGCCACCTCCCTACGCCAATATGATATTTCTTCCTCAATATGATATTTTATTTGGTTCTTTTTTTTTAGCTTTCTATTATTTGTAATTAGCTTATTTATTTATTTTTTTTTAATTTGTAAATATGGTGTGAATGTGCTCTCAGAACTCTATTATAAATGTCCTTTATTGAGACAGATTGTAAAATTTATCAATAAACAAATACAAAAATAAAAAAAAATCTATAAATTCCTTCAAACAATTCTTATTCCACTACTTACTTTATATTCAATATTTGGCAACCATGTAAGAATTTTTAGAATTTCTTTTGCTTTATTAACAGTTAATTGACGAGTACCATTTTATTTTAATGTTGTTTATTTTATTTTAATATTATTATTTTTGTATATTTGCTTTATTTCTAATGTTCATATTTCTTGAATCTTGTCACTATTCTTAGGATACTTTAGTCCTTGAATAAAAATATTTTTCATTCATTTAATCTACGTGTTCAGATTATCAAGACCCATCATAATTATTTTCAAATCAATTTTCATACATATTTTTCCATTTGATTTACAAATTATAATATTCTAAAATTTATTTATTTTTACTGAATTTAACCTTAAAGTAGCAAAGAGCAAATTTTTTAAACACAAGTTCCTAACAGTAATTTCACAATTGCGAAAGATCTATGGTAATCATAATTGATTATATTATTATTATTTTTTTTTAAGGGAAGTCCAATCAGGGCAGATCAATGGGTAAGGCACTGATTTCATAAGCTCAAAGTCCCGGGTTCAAATTCGGCTTATGGTAGGTAATTATTTATTCTACTTCAATCAGCTGTGGATCGACCCTGAGGTCGGGAGACTCTACTGGGGCACAACCAGCATCTATAAAGTGCATACTCTTAATTAAGTAATTAATTAAAGAGAAAAACTTGGCAGTTGAGCGAGATCCTGGCCCCATCACTACCCTGCACAACCATTATCCTTGGAACCCACAAGACCCTTCCTGGATTATAATGATGCAGGTACATTCTTAAGTACGACCTTTTAAATTGGACATTGTTTAAAAAAAAAAAGAAACAGATATTCATTCATTCTTACCTCTGGAACATGTAAATGGATATGATTCTTAAGGAGAAATTTGTTATCAGGATTTTTTTCTATCATAAAGTTACGAGCCACAGTCAAAGCTATCCTCGCAGATTCTTTCATTACTTCTCCTAAATGACCTGTAAGTTCTAATGTACCTTCTATCTTATCGGGTGTTTCATTTGGCAGCTTCCTCAAAGCAGTTTCAATGAAAAGTGTTGAGCCACCTGAAATATTGCACTTCATAATATGTCTATATATAGTTAATATGTCTTTTATCAAAAAATATTAAAATGTAGAGATGGTTGACCGTTGATATAATATGAGAAGAAGTTAGTCGAGGATGCGGTCAAATAAATAAAAAAAATTAAAATATATTAATTATTTTAATTTTTGCCGACGTTTCGACCCACTTTCCAGGTCGTCTTCATTTCATTCATCGCAATCTGTTTACTTTTGACTTACATACTATATTCTCCTTTATTTTTATTTTTATTCCTACTTATTTTCCATTTATTTGTATCTTCTACATATATAATTCTTAATATTTAACTACATTGTTACCCACTATATCTCTGATACCATCTTTTATTTCTGTATCTGACAACTTCTTCGTATTTTATATATACTTATATTTATTTTTTATTTTCAACATGTCTTGTATCTTTTGTAGCCCTGAAGACGACCTGCAAAGTGGGTCGAAACGTCGGCAAAAATTAAAATAATTAATATATTTTAATTTTTTTTTATTTATTTGACCGCACCCCCGACTAACTCCTTCTCAAAAAATATTATAGTTCAACCCTAATAATTATTTGGCAGCCTAAGGAACCAAACAGGAACTAACATTATGTTTATCCCCTAGCCCTCTGACAAAATATCTACAACACATAGATAAATTAGAAGATTTGATATAAGGAAATATTTGTGAATATTTTCTTAGTAACATAGAGGATTAGGGAAAAAAACATAAATGTGAATTTCAACTTAGTGGCGCTTGAGTTAGCCTTCTGACAGCCAACTAATCGTGGTTGAACTATACAAATAAATTAATAATTCTAATATTATGTAAACATATGATATGTGAAGTTTTTATTGCAACTAAGTTAAATGAATAAACTGTATAACTAGCAAGGGAAAGATTCTAAACTCAACACTGAACTCATTGACATATTTCGGAACTTACACTTATAGGACACATGGTTGTCAAACTAGTTCATTTCACAGCAATAAAATCAAACACCTTGCTTATAAGAAAAAAAAAATACCAGGAAAATTCCAGATTTTGTCAACAATAAAAGTGAGATTTACACATGGAAATCCAAAAAAAAGGAAAATATTATGCCATACACCTTTAATCCTCTCTCTCCCTCGATCTTTCTCATTAAACTGAAAACTTATTCGATGACTCAAAATTATGGCGCTGTCCTCCTTACACGGTTCAATGCAAAAAGTTTTAAATGTCGGAAAGAAATGTTAGAGAATGAATTAGCACATGTGTTGTGAACCTAGAAGGCCATGGATTACTGAGTTTTAACAAAAGTGGTCAAGTCATTCTGAAGTGTTCACGACACATCTCTACGGATAGCTGTTTCACCCCAAAACGAGGAGATTGATCAAATGATTATTTATAGATAGATAGAAGAATCAACTTTATTCTGGGACTACGTCCCTTGAGAATAACAATATTGTACATAAAATTAAACATTACATCTGGCCAAAATGTATATTACAATAAACAAAAACAAACAAACAAACAAAAAAAACAACTAAAAAATAAGGGATAAAAGAAGTGTTTACATAACTGTACAGATATCGGAAGCCATAATATGAGAAATAATGTCCTAATACTGCAAAATAGTTGCTATACACAATACGCTATGAAATTATAAATGAGCGACAGATAATAATAAAGATGTTATAGTAATAGTAGTATGTTCGTAGAACATAATAGTATAATCGAAATACAATAATAGTGTAATCGTACATACACAATATATACACCCAATAATACAATAATAGTGAGAATACAATAATAGTACAATAGTATATATACAATATACATATATTAATATATATATACATATACATACATACAATGCAACAATAGTATAATAATACAATATAGGCTACCCAGCGTCTGATTGAATTGTAAGGAGGAATTGGAAAAGGAGGGTTTTAAATGTGGATAAGGATGGTGCATGGCGGATTTTAAGTGGGATGGAATTCCAAAATGTTGTGGATCGGACAATAAAGGAGTGTTGAAATGAGGCCGATTTGTGGAAAGGGGTATAAAGGTCGGAAGGACGAGATCTTGTGGAGAGGGAGTGGATAGATGACTTGAATTGAAGGAGATTGAATGCGTAGGAAGGACGATGATTATAGATTATTTGGTAAAGGAATGTACCTAGGAAGTACTGTCTTCTGAAGGAGGGGAAGAGCCACCCTGACTCGGCGTAGTAGTGGGAAACATGAGAACGTCTCGGGGTCCCATTGACAAATCGTACTAAGCCATTCATTATTCTTTTCAGTCTGACTCCAAGTTCCGATGAGAGGCCACCGTACACTACACAGCCGTAGTCAATGTGGGGGAAGATGAGGGCGGATACTAGGAGTCTACGTGTGGATATGGGTAGGAGATGGCGGAAGCGATGGAAGAGTTTCAGGATGGAAATTGAACGTCGGGATATGAGGGAAATATGGTGATTCCAGGAGAGGGTTTGATCTATGATAACACCTAAGTTTTTAACTGAAGTGTTGAAGGTGATGGGTTGGTCATTCAGGTACAGGAGAGGAATGTTGGTATTTGATCTGAGAAGGGGTTTGGAACCGAGGACAATGGCTTGGGTTTTAGCAACGTTTAACCTTAATCCATTTTCACTTGCCCAGGCACAAATCCGATTTAGGTCTTCTTGTATTTTGGCAAACGCATCATGCCATTCAGAGGGAGCGAAGGAGAGGTAAATTTGGGAATCATCGGCATAAAGGTGATGTGAACAGTGAAGGATTGATTTATGAAGGTCGTTAATATATGAACTAAAAAGGAGAGGAGATATGCTGGAGCCCTGTGCCACTCCTGAGGACAGAGTTAGATAGGATGATAAAGGTTGGTTCGGGATAGAGACTGCTTGGGTACGTTGAGAGAGGAATGATTGAAACCAAAGGATAGAGCTGTTGGAAAAGGATAACGATTTCAATTTGGAGAAAAGGATGGAATGGTTAATGGTATCAAAGGCTTTGGAAAAGTCCAGGAGGATAAGGACCGTTAGTTTTTTATCATCTATGGCTGACTGAACATCACTAACGATTTTGATTAGGGCGGATTGTGTGGAGTAGCCTGGTCGAAAACCAGACTGGTAAGGGTCAAGTTGATTGGATTGTTCTAGGAAGTTGGAAATTTGGGATTGGACTATTCGTTCTAGAGGTTTTGCAAGGTTAGACAGAATTGAAATTGGACGGTAATCTTCAGGGGAAGAAGGGTTAGGATTTTTAAGTAAAGGACGGACAATGGCTTTTTTCCATGAGGAAGGGAATATTGCGTTCTGAAGGGAGAAATTGTAGATGAAAAGTAGAGCGGGAAGGATTTCAGGTAGGCATAATTTGATTAATTTGACGGGAATACCATCTGGACCAATGGAATTGGAATGAGATTTCATGACGGCGGATATGAGGTCTGTAGGAGAAATATCTGAAAAATAAAAGTTGTCGTCGTTAAATGATATTCCAGGAGTAAAGAAGGAAAAGGTTGATGGAGGAATGCAGGAGGAAGCTGATATAAAATATGAATTTAAATCATCAGGTTTGACTGGAAAGGCTGCTGAGGAAGGTGATCTGGAAGAGTCACAGAGGGAGAGTTTACGAAGGAGTTGCCATTTGGTTTTGGAATCAGGAGCTGCTGAAAGGGCTTCGTGGAAATAGGAGGATTTGGCTCTTCGGATATTGGTTTGTGTCAGGTTACGGAGCACCCTAAACGCTTGGTAGTCGTCAGCGAGTCTAGTGCGTCTAAAGCGTCTGCGGGCTGCATCGCGTCTCTTCTGAAGATCTTTAATTTGCTGACACATCCAGGGAGCAGGGGGGCGACGAAAGGTAGAGGTTTTGATGGGAGCATGGGAATCAAGGATATTACGGAGGTTGGAAGTTAAAATATCAACCATAGCGTCAATACATGAACAGGAATATATTCCATTCCAATCAAGGGTTTCCAGGTAGGGTAAGATTTTTTCACGAGTGAGGACATCAATATTACGGAAAGTTATGGTTCTAGGTAGGATCGGAGGAGTATGGATATTATATGAAATTTGAATTAGGTCATGAGAGGATAAAAAGGAGACCGGTACTTGTGAGGAGGAAAGGAGGTTCTGAGCGGAGTCGATAATGTAATGGTCCAACCAGGTATCGGACCTGGGGGTGTGATGAGTGGGCGAAAAAGGAACAATGAAAAGATGAAGAGAGAAAAAAAGGTTTTCGAGGTATGATTTATCGCTGGAATCGGAAAGGAAATTAGTGTTTAGGTCTCCGGAGATGATTATTTTGGTATAAAGAGGAACAAAGTTGAAGAGGGATGATTCAAATGATGGATCAAAGGGAACAAGAGGAGGTCTATACACTACGACATAAAGGATAGGAGATGTATCAAAGGAAATTTCAGCGATTAGGAACTCTACATGTGGGTGATCGGATGGTGGAGAGCAGTGGAGTATTCGGGTCTTCATGCATTCGTGAACATACAACGCTACACCTCCGCCAGTCCGGCTCGTCCGGTCGTGGCGGATTAGTGTGTAGTTAGGAAGGGAAACAGATGAGGAAGGGATGTAAGGCTTGAGCCAGGTTTCGGAAATTGCAATGATATGGTAACAATTATGGGTAAAGTATTCAAGGAATTCATCATAGTGGGCAGGGAGGGATTGGGAGTTGACGTGACAGGTATTAAGGATGCTAGACATGATTAGGCTTGAGGAAAATAAAGTCAGAATTTGGTGAGCAGACGCTGGATCGGATATGATACATTAGATGAAATAATGTAAAAATAAAAATATAAGAAAAAAAACCATTAAAAAGAAAAAAAATTTTGAATGCAATAATCAATAGAAATAAATTAATCAAAAATTTCCGGTAGTAACATAACATACATTTCAGATTTTCAGTGTAAGTCCTGTGAACTACGCCAAATTGTTTATCGATGTTGAGGAGTAAACAGGGATCGAAGAGTCAGCCGAAGACGTCTAGGTCTTGACTCTGGTCGATAAAGACAACCTGATGACCGTCATCCTTTCGACACCGCAGTCTGCCGCCGGAGAACCATATATATTTTATTTTCCCTGCTGATTTCTTCTGCCGAGCGAGCCAGTAGAGGTACCTGTTCGTCGGGGTCATTTCCTCGCTGAGATAAATACGGTGGCAGTCATTTTCCTGCCAACCGATTTCCCGCGTCGAGAAGTCCCTTTTTACTTTTCGCTTCTGCACCAGGTCGTCTCTCACTGACTGCCTGACGAATTTCGCGATTATAGGCGGTGGTCGAGGGTCATCTTTTCTTGCTCTTCGGCGCAGCACAGTATCTATATCTTCGACATTGATTTTAATTCCCAGACCGGCCCCAATACTTGTAACCAGGGCTGCGGGAGTCTCACCTGCTCGAACCGGGATGCCCCGTATCTCGAGCGATCTACTAAGCAAGCCCTGTTCGGCTTTATTCAGCCTGACCTCCAGTTCACCGACTTTAGATTTGAGGGCTTTATTTTCTGAAATTATTTCTTCAAGCTTTTTAGATTGTCCCTCTAAGTGGTTTTCAATTTTAGATAGCCTAGTGTTTACTTCGAAGCTCAGATCTCCGTACTTGTCTAGCGCTACTTTAATATTTTTTAATTCCTGGTTGAAAAAAATATCTAGCCGCTTTACTGCTGCCAGAATTTCTGATGGTGTAGGCTCAGTATTGTGACTTTGATCTGGGTTTTCACCACCTGGTGGAATCTTTTTAGGCTGATCGCAACTAGCGCATATCCATCCTTTTTTTGAGGATTTTTGAGCTTCAAACTCTTTATCAGTGAGTTTACCGCACCTGCTGTGAAATAAAAGTTTGCATTTAACACAACATAAAATATTTTTCTCTTCTCGGCTGATGGTGCTGCTGCATAGCGGGCATTGTGCCATATTGTTATTTAGTAAATAGATCGTACTTACAATAACAAGCCGGGTTGTTATGATGCGTAATAGCAACAGCTGCGCTTAATCCTCTAGAGCTCAGTTGTTTACCACTGTCCCGTAGCTCGCAATAGTATAAAAACTTCGATACTTTTACTTTTCGATGAGTAGAGAGGAAATATGAAATGTCTATAATTTCTTTTAATAAAAAATATTAAAAAGAAAAAAAAAAAAACGGCAGAAATCAAAGCAATTTTAACAAAATAGAATACTTAATAACACAATAGAATACTTAATAACACATTTATAAGAAAATAAATATTAAGAATTTTCACATGGCTGTCTTCTCTGTGGTTTAATGCACCTTTGAGCACTGCCAAAAAGTTATCCGAAATCTTTAGATTATCAGAAACATCAAGCATATTCTCAATGAAAGTAAACAACTTTACTTCATAAAAACAATTAGGGATTGAAAAATTATAATAAAAAAATTCAAGAAGGCATGAAAACTTGGTAAAATCAAAGATATCTTACAAAACAGACCAATTTAAGATCACTCTAATTTATAATTTCAGATATATATTCAACCTGAAATATTGTAATTTTTTCCGATCCCTTAGCACTTTCGATGCAGATGGTCTTTTTAGAAGGATGTTGTGTTCATTCCCCACTTAAGGGTGGGTCTTTGGAAGGGATGTGATGTCAGTGACAGTTGCCTTCAGTTTTATAATTGGCCATAAGTGGTTTTGTGAACTTTTTAAAGAAATTTGTACCCAAAAGCATTTCCATGAAATGAAGCCCACATACAAAGTGTTAAACAGAAAGCTGATGGTTTAAAACTTTTTTTTTTTAATTAATAAAAATCTAAAACATTCTTAATGCCTTATTCAGAGAAGCTGAGCAGAGAATTTTTATAAACTTTGAAAGAATAAAATAATCATAAGAAAAAGAAAATCCAAAATGAAGATAACAAAAAAGTTTTAGATTTACTTCATTCAGGTTTATAAGAAATCAAAAATTATTTTTGAAGCATTTTCCTCACCCAATGTTAAATATAATTACAACTTATATTTTTCTTATTTTATTTTTTTTAATTGTTCTAAAAATAGTCAATTTGGAATATAAAATAGTTAATTAATGCATAAAATAAATAGAAAACTACACACCTAGAGCAGTCCATGCGAGACCCATAACAACGCCAGCTGGTGTATCTTCGTACATGCGGTCATGTGTAAACATTGGTTTACCGACAAACTCGTGCAAATTATCAGGATTGACCAAAACCTGTTCTGATTCTTTCTTAACCACTTTGTAAGCAACCTTTCTAGTAACCTATAAAAAATAAACAATTTTCATAAATAATTTTATGAGTGTACAATACATAGAATTCAAATTTGATATGTAAGTCAAACAAACCTTTTCGATGTGTTTCTGCAAATTTCTCACACCACTTTCCCGGCAATAAGATTTTACCAATGTATTAATAGAGCTATCATCAATATTAATCTGAAATATAAAAATTCAATAGCTTAGATTAATGTAATACTCAATAAGTTTATTGAATTATTTGATTAGTTCTATCATTGAAGGATAATTTTAGATTAATATATTTAAAATATATTGAGATTGACGAAGGCCTATACAAATAACTCTAAATGTTGAGTCCTAATACAAGAAGTATCTAAAGCCTTCAAAGTTCGAACAGGCTTACGGCAGGGAGATCAACTGTTACGGATGTTGTTCAACTTAGTCCTGGAGAAGGAAATAAGAACATCACAGGAAAATGTAGGGGTCCACATCAGAATGAACCATAAAATCCTTGGATATGCAGATAATATAGCTGCCCTTGGAAGTATTCAAGAGGACATTAAGAAACTCGCTAAGACTCTGATAAGAGAGGCAGAGCAGATCGACCTACAAGTAAATAATAATACAAGTAAGTGATGAAGATAAAACAAAATATATGATAATAAGGCAAAAATTCCACCCCAATAACAGGATCTGTGTAGAAGGAAAATCATTCCCGAGAGTAGAAAAATTTAAATACCTCGGGCTATCCACAATAACAATAACCATCAATGAATGAACAACGGGCAGAAATAGAACAGTGTATAACTAGCACAAACAGAGCTTTCTTCTCCTTTTCAAAGGTATTAAAATCCTGAAAAATCTTAAGAAATCTCAAATTAAGAGTGTACAATGCTATGATAAAGCCAGTTCTGAGACCTGAACAGTAACCAGCACTCTAGAAAAAAGTTTTGAAAGATTTGAGAGAAAAATCCTCCGCACGATAACCGGAGCGATTTGGGATCAGAGTACTAACACGTGAAGAAAAAACACCAATAAAGAACTGCTTAAAGAAACTGATTGATCAATATCCCATGGTATGAAGGCACAGAGGTTAAGATGGGCGGAACATATAGCTCGTAGCAATCCATCTGGAAACCTCAATAGAAGGCAAAAAGCAGATGGATAGATAGAATAAACAAAGATGCAATAAAGCGTGCAGATAAATGGAAAGAAATAGCCCAAGACACAAGACAGAAAAAGATGGAGCAGGCATGTTAAGGCAGCAAAAGATCTAAATGGTCTGTAATGCAACAGAAAAAAAAATTTTTAATATTTATTTCCTTCAAAAATCTAAATAAATAATAGTTATCGTCTTTCCTATTTTGGGAGACATCCCTGACAATAAGCAGAAAGAATTAAATATAAAAAAAAACACAAAAAGGATTATTTGACAGTGTAGTGTCAAATGTCTTGCTAAACAACTTATATTAATTTATAAAATGGCTAAATCACCAATGAGAATATTGTTTTATCGACTTCATATTCATTTAATAAGAAAATTAAATAATAATAAAACATGTAGTAAAATTATATAATTTAAAAAAGCTCTGAGACAATACTGATTCCAAAGGGAAAAATAGGACATTACCTGTTCATTTACTTCTGTTCAAATTTTCATTGAAGAATATTTGAATGGCATTAGGTGATAAGAATTCACAATTGGAATCACAGATCTACTTATATTCTCAAAATAATTCGCTCTTTAGTTTATAAAATTTTTTTTTTTTTTTTACAAATATAAAAATTATTATGACATCGGTTTATTGCAAAAATTCAATAAGTGACTTTTCATAACCTTTAATCTCACAGAATTTTAATAAATTTCTTAATCCTAGAAAATTCTCTCTGTAAAATCTGAAAATTATGTGCTTGTTGGAGTACTTAGAGATATATAAAAGAGTTTGTGTTTGTGTTATTTTTGAGCACTTAATTTTTTTTTTTTTTAAAGAGTTACTAAAAGTTAAGAGCTATCAAAAATATACAAACAATTTTTGCAATAAATCGATGATATGTAGATAGTACAGATTTAGATGTCTGTTATAGACAAAATGGACACAAAACAACAAATACCCAATACAGTAAATTTAATTACATTAATAATCAATAAAAATAAATTAAAAGCGCGTGCAATTACTTGTTCAGTGGTGAGGCCAGATTCTTTCATCGCTTGAGGGAGTAAATATTGCTTAGCAATAGCTAACTTTTCTTCAGCTACATACCCAGAAACATCGATCATCTCCATTCTGTCCCTCAAGGGCTCTGGGATTGTATCAACAACATTTGCTGTGCATATAAACAGTACCTACAAACCACTTTGTATTAAGAAAAATAAATAAAATAAAAAAATTTAGAAAAAAGAAAAGAGATAAACTGAATATTACTTTAGATAAATCAACAGGAACATCCAAATAATGGTCCAAAAAGTTTACGTTTTGTTCTGGATCCAACATTTCCAAAAGGGCGCTTGCGGGGTCTCCTTGAAATCCCCTGGGAAAAAAATTAAGTAACAAAATATTCTTCCAAAAATATATATATATATATATATATATATATATATATATATATAATACTTTATTTATTCTGGGACAAGTCCCTTTAGAATAATACAGAAAACCATAAATATGAGCTATGGAGCCTCAGAGATAAATAAATAAAAATACAGAGTAATTACAAAGTCATAGTAAAAAAATGAAAAATTATAATTCTTCTGTTCATTTTTCCTAATTTTGGTGTCTTGAAGTTTTTTATTTTTTACAATAAATTAGGCCAATTATCAGCAACATTTTATTGATACGCATTAATTTTGACGTTTCGACCATACTAAGGGTCATTTTCAAATCTTGATGAGTCCTCCGTTATATGTTCATCATTAATGTTGTAATTAATATGTTCGCTGAAAGATTTGAAAATGACCCTTGGTATGGTCGAAACGTCAAAATTAATGCGTATCAATAAAATGTTGGTGATAATTGGCCTAATTTATTGTAAAAAATAAAAAATAAAAATTATAAGTTACTTTCTAATTTTAATCAGTTAATAATAAAAATGAAAAAAAAAAACGGTGAAGTAAAAATAATGAAGAACGAAATAATAATTTATATACATATTTACAATAGTATCTATTTACAATTTCATGGGGACTGTATGGATAAGAAATGTGGATGAAAAATGGATGGATATATAAATCCTCTGCAGTGCAATAGCTTTCTTCCTTTTTTATTTCTTTTTTTTTTTTTAATTCACATATGTTACTCAATAGTAACAACAAGTTAATGAATGAAGGTTATAAAATGAACATGAAACATACATCCATAGCAAAGGCTTTTAATGGATTCAAAACATACTTATAAGATCAATAATATACTATATAAACTTAAAGTTTTACTTACTTTCCAATTTTGTCAACTTCATCTATAAGGACCAATGGGTTCTCAGTTTTTGTTTTTTTAAGGCATTGAATAACCTTTCCTGGCATAGCACCAACATAAGTTCTTCGATGCCCTTTAATTTCTGCAACATCTGTCATTCCACCAACGCTGAACCTAAAATACTATACAGACAAATGGACAATATCATAAATTTGATATTTTGTGAACTTTTAAGGATTTAATTGACTTAACAGATAAGTGCATATGCCTTCATTATAACAAAGATAGGAGAAAAAGAAAACTGCCTTTATAACAGAAGTATCTGTGCTGTAGTGAGGAAAGAAAAGTGCGAATCACTTAATGGTAGAAAATTTAAAAATAAAAGCAAAAAAAATAAGGAACAGAAATAAGAATAAAGGAACTTTATTTAAAAAAAAAAAAAAAAAAAAAAAAGAAGATATTCATAAGGCAAAAGATATATCAAATACTCAAACTTTAGAATTCAACAAGTCTGTTCGATTAAATACATATTACCGATAAAAACAAAGAAAATTTAATATTATTAAGGGATCACTGACACTAAATCTGTTAATTATCACTAAAATCATTTAATTAATGATAATACCTCTCTGTTTAGAGCTCGAGCAATAGATCTAGCAATACTTGTTTTTCCAACACCAGGAGGTCCATAAAAACAAAGTATTTTACCTTGAGTAGATCCTTTCAATTGACTAACAGCAATAAATTCTGAAAAATGACGTATCAACAGTTACACCTTAAGTTAAATACGTTGAAAAAAACAACATGCATATACATATGCAGAGACTTATTTAAGTATATATAACTTGTCATTCACTCCCCATAAATATATTTCAATATTATGTACTTTCTGATAAATCATTCATATTTTACAGGAGACTTGTTCAGAGAAACTAAAGAACTGATGTCGGAGAAATATACGTATCTCAGAACATGTTGACAAAATATCAGGAAGGAAATTATACATCTCATTGAGAAAAAAATTCTCCTTTTAATTATTTATTTTTAAAAATTCATTAAAGTTATTCCTACACTCAATCAACTTCATCCGGCATTCACCAAACCTACAACCCATAAAAGGTCTTGGGTTCAGAGCTTTGCAGGAGTTGACTATTTCTAGGTCAACGGCTAGGGAATGATTTGGCCAGTGATGTTTTTGGCCAAATTAAGGACATCCATTTTTAAGAGGCAGGTTGTGTCTAATAATATTAACCTCCTAAGGTAAGTACCTGCTTTAATTCCCTATCCCTGTTTACCTTCAAATAACAAGGAAAACCTTTTTTTTTCAAGTAATAGAAACCAGATGGACTAAATAACATAAAATTAGATTACTTTATCTGGATAAACATTAGGTAAGAAAAATAATAGATACTAATTTAATCAAAATGAAGCGTAAATAACCTACCAAGAACTCTTTTTTTAACATCATCCATTCCATAATGATCTTCATCAAGAATCTTCTGTGCCTCAGATAGATTTAAATTTTCAGGACTCGTAACACCCCAGGGTAACGAAGTTAACCAGTCAAGGTAATTTCGAGTGACACTGCAATATAATTAAGAATGAGAAACATTCACAATAAAAGAAAATCAGCAAATAAATTTGATAGAATTTTTAGCTATGACTTTTGCTAATCCAGTATGAATACTAATGGCTAAAGCTATGAACTTACTTGCTACAGATAATTTAACCACTTTAAATATTCATTCTATAATAATTATTATTCTCTAAACAATCAGGGTAAGTCACACCAACACAATTTAAAGTGAGATTTCTGAAATCTCTGTTTAAATCAATAATCGAATGCACTAACATAGTTTAAAATCCAAACTACATTTATATTCAACTAGGGGATTATGACCATTAAAACCTAATTTACAAGGAACCTACGACACTAAAATATTAGATATTGAGAAAAAAAAAAGTAATAGATAATTGTTGGAAGCTACACACAATAGAAACAAGATAAACAGTAAACTAGGAATTTGAGAATTCATTATAAATAAATTTTTTTTCATAATTATAATAGTAATATCAATGGAATTTGGTTGAATAAGTGACAGGATTAGATACAGTAACAAATAAATAAATAGATTTGTTGTGAAATTTTTGTAATGATGATATTAATACACAATTATATCTTGGAATTTTCATTAAACTAATACTGTAATGATGGTGAAAATATTCTCACTACTGTAGTCAAATTAATTTTTTGGGAGGTAGCTATTTTTACTCTATTAATTCAAACTAAGCAAGTGACCCTTTCATCAAATAGTATTTGAAAAAAATATATAAACAAGAAAATTTTTAAGGGAAGTCTAAACATAACGTACTTCTTGAAACTCTAGGTGTGGGCATATTCCTAAACTCCATCAAACGAATTCACCAATGAATTGCTGGAAGGTTACAATACACATGGAAAAAAAAAATAATAAAGAAATATTTACCTACCGAATTGTTTTCAAAACAGAAATAAATATATACTAAGTAAAAATTACATAAATGTCTAAAGTAAATTGAGAAATAAAAACACTGAGGTTACATCCAGTGGTTCCGTTGACCTCAAAAGGAGATAGAACCGCTGAGCAATCAGTAATTCAATTGAAAAAGAAAGAAATATGCTGAATTCCATTCATGGATCCATCAAAGAATATAGGAACAGTATAATAGATTTCAAATGCTCATCAATGAACTTAGCACAGAGTTAAGGCACTTATCCTTAAGCTAAACTTTAAGATAGCAACAGGTGGGAATGAAACTCAAGTTTAACTGTTGCACATACGCTAAACCTAGTTCACTTGATCTTAGTTAAAATTGAGACAGGTACAAAAGCCTTAAACCTTTGAATTCTTCAATCCGAAATTATTGATAGAATAGATAGAAAAATAACTTTATTCTGGGACACAGTCCCTTGAGAATAACAAAATAGAACAGAATTAAAAGATTACATCTGGCCAAAATAAAATCAATCGAAAAAAAGAAATAATGTAAAATAAATATAAGGTAAACGTTCTATATGCAAAACAAACGAAACTATATACAAAACAATTAATTCTATGACAAGACAATTAAACTATTCTCCATATTAGTTTATTTATGAGGCTAAAAATAAACTAAATATTTTTTTAGAAAATTTACTTTAATGAGTTCTAGAATTTAAATAAAATATATTAATCATTCTTTTTAACTTTCAAAAGATAATATAAGATAAATGAATTTAATTACTTAAATTCAGATGAGTGGCTTTCTAAAAATCCCAATTTATTCAATTCTTCATTAAGAACTTCTTTAACGCTGTCTGGAACTTTCTTTTCCTTAGAAAATAGTATAATTATTAATTATATGAGTTCATGAAAATAAAAATATTTTATGAACGCAAAATGAAATTAAAAAAAAAAAAAGTTTACTTTAATTCTATCTCTAAATTTTTCTTCTATAGCATCCTTATCATCTTTCTCCAAACCAAGTTCCTTCTTAATTATTTTTAGTTGTTCATGAAGAATATATTTCCTATGCTGTTGCTTAACTTTCTCTTCAACTTCTCTTCCTATTTTTTGTTGTAATTTACTAAGTTCAAGTTCTTTTTTTAACAACGACAGAGATAAAAGTAATCTTTTGGGAATCTGCAAAAGAAAATTAATTAAACTAATTTTTAAATTTTCGTTTCCTAAAGTCAAATTTATAACGAAAATCCTTACATCCATTTCTTCCATTACAGCTTGCAGTTCGGCAGCCTCTGCACCAGTCAGAGCAGCACCGAGGTCTGACAGATAGACTGGATTATCGACAACGCGTTGTCCCTGATGGATCATTTGTTGCAAAGTTTCACGATATAATGGGTTTAAACTAATGATGTCTTTGATTGTTTTCACTATTTCCTGAGTTAGTGCCTATTAAGAATTTAAAATAAAATTAATATGATAATCAATAAAGATTAAAATCAAATATTCAAATAACTTGGAAAATCAAACCGATATCTTAAAATAAATAGCCACATAGTGGACATAAAAGCTCAAGATGAATATATAATGTAAATGTTCAGTATTATTTAAATTTAAAAGCTGGTTTCTGGAAAAGCCCTATAATAGAAACCCTAGTAGAACTACATTAGTAAACTCAACTTGAAGTTTTATAAAGCACTTTATCTACAATTATTGCATGAATTCTATATGTGCCTAATTCTTATATACAAAATATTAGATTATTGAATTATTATAAAATAATTTTCTGTATATTGAATAAAATTTCTATACATTGAACAAAAAGAAAGAATATCATATATTATGTAATTGCTGGGATAGATTTATTCAGATCACTATTATTCAACAGATAACTACAAATCTGATTTGAATCTATTACCTTCCTACCTCTACTGGGTAAGGGGAGTATTGCGATTGGGTAAAATTTCCAATGCATGGTTTTCGACCAATCTTTACGTTTCAGAATCCCCTGAGTCCAAAAAAAACAACACTTTTTCAGCCATTGGTCTTTCTGTGCCAAGATTATCTCAGGAACTAATCGACCGATTTTGTTGCTTCTTTTTTAGTTTCACATTGTTAGCCTGTTTTTATTGCGGACAAATATTAACGAAGTTGCACCTATTTTAATTTTCTATGTACGATTACGAGTTCAAATCCTGGTGCCAGAAAGGGGTGAAAGAGAGAGAAAAAAGAAAAGTAAAAAAATCTGGTGACTGCATCACACAAGTTTGCCTTTCTCCATTAATTTTAACTGAAATTATTCTCTGACGACAAAATTGGGCTGTAGCAAAAAATTTTTGATTAGCAATATTAGAGTCTATTGAATTTTTAACGCTGATCTTCCACAGGCATCTTACTCAAATCTTTACTTTGATCAATTTTCAGGAAAATAAATCCAGTTCAATGGTTTGTTTGGTTTCTTAAAGGACAAATTTAAAGATATAAAAATTTATCTGAAATCGGCAGGAAAGTCGTATAGATGGACACACTACATTCTTTTTAGTTTTTTTTTTTTTGTAATTTCATCAAAAATAAAATAATTATTTATTGACATTGACCTAGATTTTATTTTCTGTTGAATTTTGTTTCTTCTAGAAACACATATCTTTATCATTTAGTTTTTATTTTCCCTACATCTCCACTACAAGTCTTATATGTCATACCAATTTAGTGAGGGCAGATGGCATTGGCATTGCCATTAGTATTAAAGACTTGACAATTAATAAACATGGAAAACATGAAATTGACTAAAAATTATTGCTACTTTTTGGTATAGCAACAATTTTATTCAATCACAATAATGCATCTACCATAGGTAGATAAATAAATAAATTTATTTAACATACACATATATAATTTTAATGAGTGCAATTATCAATATAAAAAAAATATATAAAAAAGAATTACCTTAACTTCTTCAGTATTTTTAAATTTCTCATGTACAACATTTTCAACTTCTACCATCAGCACCTTTTTAGATTTAATTTCAGTTGATGAAGACGACTGGGACATCTTTTCATCTTTAGCAGAAATGCCCCTTTCTTTCAATTTCCGTGAAGTTCTTGTTCTCCTAGATTCTGGTTGCTCTTCAACATAGATATCGATCCCTTGTTTTATCATTGGGAATATCAACTTGACTACTACGACATTAAAAATGTATAACCTGTCCTCGCATGATTATTTGTCAAACGTTTAAAAAATATTAAATAATTTATATCAAAATGTAAAACTACTATTATTATATTTTTAAAATGAATAAATTAAAATTTATCATATTTTTTTTAAAAAATTAAATTTTTATAAATCAGTAGATAGAGCAGCTGAATTGATATCAATAAATTTGGCACAGAATTTATAAATAGGAATTCAAATACTAATTCATAGCTCGATTTATGACAATTTTCAGAATAGCTCTTTATGGATTTGGGATTTTTCTTTGAGTCCAATTGATTTTTAAATGTATTTATCTTGCATTATAGCTATGTCTATATGAAGAGATACTAATTTATTAAAATGAAGTTGAAAAATAAATAAGTGCATTGTAAACGTATCATTGGTTTACTGCAAAAAGTCAGTACTGAAGCAAAGATTTCAAGTACATATTTGAGGATTTCCATCGTATTAAACAAAACAAAAACTCATTATTTGCATCAAAATAACACAAACTATATTACATTTCCAAAATAGTAAAAAGGAGTCTACCGGAACCTTTTTATGAAATTCCTTAACTTTTCCAGGTGTTTAGGTTATTTTTGGAAAAAATAAATAAACCATCGCAATAGTTGCATCAGGACATAACTAATCATTTTACATAATTGGTACCATATTTCAAATTTTAAACAATGCAATTAACAATAGTATAGGCCTTGTGTGTAAATATGAAATCAGAATTTTCATATAGAAAATAGACTTTTATAACGTAAAAATAGAAAAAAAAAATTTCATTCAAAATGTTGTCCATAACTAGCTTTATATTTTTTCCATCTCTATTTTGCAATTAATGAGTGCTATTTTGTGGTAACCCAGTCATCCAGCTATTTTTGTACAGTCATAAGAAATGAAGTGAGCAAGTGAATGCCACATTGATGCATATAAGTAGTATACGGGTTTGTTAAGTCTGCTAAGTAAACTGCATGCACCAATATTTCCTAAATGAATGCCTCAATCGTTTCCTTCACTAGTTTTGCTGGGTGTCATGAGGCGAAACCACTTTGTGTTGTATTTTTAATATTCTTGTCATTTTTTATGCAATACTTGATTCAAATTGATCATTTGTTGTCAATAGCATTCAGTAATAATGGTTCCGCCTGGCTTCAAAAATTCATAATAGATCACACACTTTGTCAGTGGAATTTCATGTTCTTCACTTCTCACGTCAAAATCGCCACTATTGCAATTTGTAAACCAGTCAAAGCACTACGATTTATCAAGAGCATGTTCACCTAAGCTTCGAAAAGCATTCAATGCAATTCTGGAGCAGTTTTCTTTAAATGGTAACAGAAAACTAATGATTTTCAGTTGGTAGGCACAAAACTTCACATTATTAAATGATGCTGTAATATGAATGTACCGTTGTCAATTAAAATCTTTTCCAGCTGTCAAAGAAATAAAATGGCACCAAAAATGAAGTTTAATAAATAAATTCTACTTTCATATTTACACACCTTGTAAACACACAGTAAGGGTTTCTTATTAAATAGTTTTAATAATTTAATTTTAAATTTGGCTGACTTTTCCAAGTGTATCAAGTCCGGTAGACAGACTAACACTAATGTAAGTGTTGCAATGTTTTATTAAGAAACTTAATGACTTTTGCAATATATCAACAATATATTGGGTCCATGCAAAAAATAATGTGTTATATTTACTGAAAATATGGCACGTCTTTAAGTCAACAATATGTTTTCAGTCAAAATAATTGTTATCAAAATTAATTAATTTATGCCTATGGACAAGATTATTTTTCTTAGAAGGGAGAAGAAATTAAATCTCTATTTTAGAATTGTTACTGAAAATTTAACCATTGAAAACTATTTTCAATATATAATCTTGGTTTTGATAATTGTTCTCAAGTAAAACATGGTCTAGATGCTACCATCAAAGGTACAATTTTTAATACAATATTGTATTAAAGCACAGCAAAGATGGAAATCTGTATTATTTTTTCATCAACTTAGTAAATAACTCTTATACTACATTTTATGTGTAGCATTCTCTGCTTACTCATATTCAACAAAATAATCTATAAAATCTTCCCATAAGCAACATTGGTTTTTAGATAATTAAGACTGAGTTTTATAAAAAAAATTACATATAGTTTTTAATAATTTATATATATTATATTATTTTCAAATCATTTAATCTTGTTTTCTTTTTCATTATTTTTTGTTTCTGTTATCATTAAATCATATCATTTATAACTAAAATAATCAATTGTGGTATGATAAGAATAGATCACCCCAAAAGGGCTGCAATACAAATTCCAGAATTATCACTGAATTATTATGTATAATATTTCCAGTTTGACTTTTATTTGCTCTTAGAGTTTCTAAGTTAAGGACACTAAGCTTCTTATGTAAATGTACGTAATAGTTAATTATATTTTTGTTTGTTTTATAATTCTGTTACGTCAATAATCTACTAATGTTCAATATTACAAGTAATGCTGTATATTCTTACCTTGACCAGGATCTTCGACATCAAACAACGGTCCAAGCAAACGAATCCTACGATGGGACATAATTACAAGTCTTAATTTATCACCTAAATCTTGCATTTCATGGATCTGACCAAAAGTTCCTATACGATAGACTTCATCAACATTGTCAATAACTTGTTTTTCATTCCTTGAAAAAAAAAAAATATCCAAATTATTTACTAAAACAATTATTATATATATTTCATTATATAATTCATAATGGTAAAATTTGAACTATGATCATCTTAGTGATGAAGACTACATGACTTGATAAATATAAAAAATATTTAATTTAATTTTTTATCAAATATTTTAATTCTTCTAATTAAAAACTAAAGTACATCTCAATATAATAATGTAACCTTCACTGTTTTTTACAAAATAGACCGATAGCTATCACAAAATCTTTACAATTACTTTTAACTTTACAATCAAATTGGATTCTGCCTTTTAACGTCTAGCAAATAGGTTGATATGTGAGGAACTTGTGCCAAGAATATAGGACAGTTGTACAATTATAAAAATTAAACAACAAACTTCAAATTATCCATAAAACGACATGCTTATATAGATATTATCATTTGTTGACATGGTTATTTGAAACTATGGTGTGTCCAAGTAATGGAGATGATGATGAAATATAAATTATAACCTACAAGAGCGAAGGCTGGCAGATGTTTGTCAGCTTATGTCAGGTTATCAATAGAATACAATAAATATGATTACGAAGAAAAGAAAAGATATAATAATATGAATATAATACAATAAATATGAATAGGATGATATTATCAGTGGCTTATCCCAGTTATCAGTGTTAATGTTATAAACATTGGCAGATAGCAGTCGGACATTACCTACTATTATACAAGTACCAAGAATACCAAGAAAGATAATAAAGGGATGCCGAGATGTTAAAAGAGGAAAAGGTAGATCTATGTCTTCTGGGGGTGACATAGTGGAGAAGAGCTGCAAATTACTGCTCCAAATGAAGAAGAATGGTTGAGAAGGCTAAAGCCATTCAAGGAGCATAGTGCTGTCAGAGTTACTTAGTAGCTATAAGTATGTAGATCCATTAACTCTGTTTTAATACTTTTTATAAGGCTAATGAAAATTTACTCCTAAATACATTTTTCTTGAAGACGAATTGCCCTAAACAACGACTATATTCCTAATATAAGCTTAACAAAATGTAAAAATTTATGATAAATTATGCTAAATTAAAATGTTTCTTTTTTTAAATTATAAAATTGTTTTAACTAATCCATTTACATTAATACTTTTTTAATATTAGCCATGCTTTTAATATTAGTGAATGAACAATTTTTCTTTTATTGCCTCATAAATCCTAATTTCAAGAAAAGGAAAAAAGTTTTAATTATTATGATAGTTTTAACCATGATAGTTTTAATTATTATTGTTTATTAGCTAAGTAATTTTTATATTTTGATCAAGTATTTTTTTTTTTTAATTTGATGATGAAAGAGATTTCTAATCTTGCTATTCTGTAAGTAAATATTCTGAGTTTACGAATCTGATAAAAATTAAAAAAAAAAAAATGAATTACTTCATAACAACTATATAATTGGTAAAAAATAGAGAAACTTCATACGCAACTTACTCTTCACTTTTTTTCAAAAATATTCCAGCATACGGTTGATTCAATCTAACTTTCCTTCTAATCAGTTCAATTAATGAAGGATCCGTTACCTAAAAGATTAACAATAAAATTAGTACCATGATTGCATCACTTTTGAGTTAGATTGAATCTTGCAGAATGTACCTCAACTAATTTAATAAATCTTGGAAAAACAGGATTTCTATTTATCGCTATAAGTGGAACTTGAGGCCAAACCTCTGGAACCACCACAGAGGCTGGCAAAGATGTTTGAGGTTCATCAGGAGGTTCATTTTTATCACCTCCTTGTGTTGTTGAAGTACCTCCAGGTTTCTGGGTGCTGAATTGCCTAGCATTAATTATTTCTGTCCTTTCTAATGAAACCGAACCTTTAGGTAAAGAAAGCACTGAATAACTTGAAAACGATGATAAGGTTCCATTTGCCGGAAATTCGTTATTTCTTAAAATATTACTGATGGTTGACGTAACAACAGTTGGTTTCTTTCTGACAGCATGGTAAAATAAGGTATAGTGAAATCTTTTCTGACGAAAAACATTAAACATTATTCTGTGCGGTTTTAAGCTTTGAGGTCACTTAATCACAATTACAATTCACTGTTAACCACGGCTAAGGTTATAGAACAGCTTCGGTGTAGGATGTAGCACAAAAACAACACGAGATAGAAATCAACACAAATGGTGTTTTTAATATCTAACACAGTTGTGGAATCACATATTTGTAAACGTTAACATCGAAATTTTGTCTTGATAAAAAATGCATAATTTTTATTAATTATTAATCGCTTGTTTCTTTTTAGAACTCAGGTCAATCTCGACGACAATTTGTAAAAAAATACCTTATGCTACAATTTACCATAACGCTCAACTTATTTTCTCGTTCATTAGGCTATATTAGCCGTCTATAATAAAAAAGTTAATTCGAATTGTATCCTCTTCATAATATAAATTCGGGTTTGTAAATATATTATCTCAGAAATTTAGATTATTCTGTTGAACACTATTTTTTGCCAATAAATATGTCCTTGAAAACCTTTCAGTTTCTATTACGTTGTTGTTAGCATTTAATTTACCAAAAAATATAACCTTAAGTTTGAAATTTAAGCTTGGAGGAAACTCTGAAAAATTTAATTCTAAATGATATATCCAGATGAAAGTCTTTCAAACCGAAGAGAGCCAACATTGGTGTAAGTACACAAACGTTGGTGTTATTAATATACTTCTCTCTAGTTGTAAAGAAGAGTGGGACTATTAATTTTTTCCAACTGCTCCATAATTATTACGTTGATATATTTGTATCTTAAAAAAAAAGAGTCAATGTCGAAAAAGTTCATACTTGAATAATGGGAGGACATTAGCATAAAAGTTGATGTATACTCTACTCTGATTTATTTTCTGCTGCTTATTGGAATTTCAAAATTTTAGACATTGTCTCTTTTAATTTAAAGGTGAAGATATATACATGATACACTTAGAAAAATACTAGTCTTTATCTAGCTATATGTAAACATAATTAGCGTTATGTTTTACTCTCTATACAAATCGTGAATAACATGCCTGAAAGTTTAGCTTAGAACTTTTCTACACGTAATATAAGCTAAATTGTTACCAATTCACATATTCATTTTAAAATATGAAACTAATTTATTCACGTATCTATTAAGAACTCAGCTATTAATTCTTATCTAACTAACAATAAAATACATGTAACTAGTGGCATGTTAGCAGCCTCTCGACGTAGACAACATAAAATAAGTAGAATATGAACGTAGCCGAATAGGGGCCCGAAATTGGAGCTCCGAGGTTTTCAAATATTATATTTGAGCTTAAAAAAATTTGAAATGACTAACAATCTTTTAAAACCCTCGACGAAATAATCGAACAGTAAGTACCACTAAAGTACTTTTAATTTCGTTTATTTGGAATAATTAACCGCCAATCATTTTGGAATTTAGATAAGTATGAACTATGAAAGAAGTCGATAATTAAGTGAGGAATAAAAACAAGTTATTTCCCAATCGGATGCTTCTAGCCATCTGTGTCGTTCGTAAATTAATATTTAACATATTAAGTTATAAAATATTGCGGATTGAAGGAAAAATATAAACTTGAATATGGGAAAAAACATATTACAATTAATTATTTTGAATGAATATTTTATATTATGTATACTTGAAATGAATTCTTTCCGACTAAATTTGCAATGTTAATAAATGTTAGTTATGATATCACGTAACTTCCCTCATCCTGTTTGTTCATCAAATAATTTCTATTCAAAGCAGCGGGCAAAGTAGAAATTGTTAAGGTGTGTTTAGACATTTCACAAACTATGGGATAAACTAATATATAAGTGGTTATTTAACTATGGTACTATTTTTGTTTCTTGTTTTTGATATTTCCCATCTACCGTCGGTATCGAAGAGAAATAAAATAAATATTTCAGTTTAGCAATAATGTCGCTGTTAGATAATTGTTTCCCCCGTAGTTTGTGAAATATCTAAACGCACCTTTATGTTACATGCTCAGCACTAGTATTTTCTTTATTTTTTATTATGTACTTAAAAAAAATTATAAACAGTCAATTGCATGGGGCTTCTAATGGTAGCCAGACAATACAATTGTATTAAAATGTACTTTTGGGCTCATTAACATGGGTGGGCTCATCTTAAATTTCAACCGTTATTGAAAAACGTCAAATAAATTATTTAATTTTTTTAATAAGACACATTCTTAATTGAAATATCATTCATTATTCATATTAAGTAATATGATAAAATAAAGTCACAATCTCCGATGACAAAATATATCGAATTAGTATTTAGGTTTGTCTAATGATTTATAAGCAATTTAAATATTACAAAGCAATATTTAAACTGTCAATATTACCAAATGTTTATTTTGATTGATCTTAAAGCCGTCCTTTGATAAGAAATGCCAAGTCATTGTCAGTGAGTTTTAAAATCTTAACTTGTTTATAAAATCTTACGTAACCGAGATTTATTTCTAATGTAAAAATTTACTTTAAGAAGATGCTACATTATATCTACAATATTTATTAATTCTACAGAAATTATCATGAGCAACGAATATTTAACAGACTAACAAAAGTTTAATTGGTATACCATACACGGTATAACCGGTAATTAGAGGATGGGAGGGCCGATTCAAAGAGTTGGTTGTTACTCATTTAACATTTACTGATTATTATTCAATTAAATTTAATATTTTATTACAATATAATGATTATTTTCTCTTTTTTAAGTAAAAGAAAGTTCAAAAAATCGTTTGAATTAAAGTTTACTAAGTTTGGATGATGAAGATCAAGTGGCTATCTTGATTACCCAAATTAAGCGGGCTACTAAAGTCTATAGGTATATAGTCAAGTTTTCAATATTTTATATATTAAGTTATTTTTTTCGATTGAATCATATTTTAAATAATATTTTGTACATTGAAAACGTTAAGACGATATTATAACATTGGTATACACAACATGGTAATTTTTATGTTTAAAAATGACCATGGTAACTAGTTCAGTTGTCTTTTGTTTCTACACCAAGTAATTAAATACCTCCAATTAACATATTTTTCATTGGGTTGCCAACTCCTATTTTTATTAAAATCTAAAGGATGGCTTGTGAGGCAACCTTGAAGTATACTTACACTCCTAAGGATGCTGTACTGTTCTTATTTCATTAATTTAAGTGTAGAATCATTAGTATTTGGTTATACCTTTTAATTGTAATTTACATTTTTCTTTCAGGCAGATAAAAAAATAAAGGAGCGTAGAATTAACTTACTTCTTCTTGTCCAGCATTTTTTAAAAACAGAAGGGTGAATTATGTTTTTTGAATTTTATTAGGTGTTCCTTGTTGCTTTTTTATTATTAGTTTATTTTGTAACACACTTGGTATAATTTGTAAGAAAATTGTGTAAAGTGGATGATAATTGGTTGAAAATTAAAGTATGAACTCTTCTACTATCTTTACAATCTAGATGAAAGCTGTTTTTTTTCTTTCTCTTCTGTGAATTAGTAAAGTTTCTTTTCTGTGACCTATGAAATAATTTGATTTTAATTCATGCCATAACTAGCTCATTTTTTCTTACAAAAAACTGCTTGCTTCTTTTTAAAAATTGTAAACAGGATCCATTATATTATTTATTTAATTGAGCATAATTATGCTTTAAATTAGGCTGTTAGAGTAAGTTAAGAAGGCAATCCTTATTTTCCCTTTGTATAATAATTTATCTCAGAAGTAAATTATCTTAACATTTTCAAAGTTTTATTAGAGAGCTAAAAGAACTTTCAGATTGCACTTTGCTTTTGTGGTTCAATATTCAATCTTAATATTTGAAGTGTTGCCTTTTTTACTATCCTTTTACCTAATCTATGATACTTTATTCTTTGGAAATTGAGCTAATAAAACAGAATAAATTGGTAAACTTAGATTTAACATATTCAGGGGTGCCCAGAAGGGGTGGACAAGTTGCACCATCAAAATTTTTGAGGGAGGCATATTTTGACGGGTTTTTGAATTTTTGAGGGCTGTAAATTTCGACAAGGTTATGACTTTTTGGAATAAGGGACAAGGGGGAAACATGGAGCTTACCACAGCAAGTGTAATTTATGATCTACCATTTTTCTAATTCTACCTTAGCTTGCTCTGTTTTTAAGAAAAGTGAACAATAAAATATATTGGAGGAGGGGAGAAGAGGTTCTTTTGCTATCGATCTTGGTGGGAGTTGGGAGTGGGCACCTCTGAACATAGTTTACATCTGATGTATAGAATTGTATTGTTTAGAATTACTTTGCAATGCTTTGGCTGTATCTCACAAAATTTTACATTTTTTGGTTTTATTTATAAATGAATATTGAATAGATAAACATTTTTTTTTTTTTTTTTTTTGTATCTATCTATAAGTTTTCATGAGGTTCAGTGCATTGTTTCTTCAGTACATTACAATTTGTATAAAATGGAAACATGTACTTATTTAACTTAGGTTGTTATACAGTTTGGCTTTATACAAGATTTTCACTATTAGCTTCAGGTAAATCACAATGGTTTCTAAAACTTCCTTTAAATTCAGAAGAAAGAAATGTAACTAAATATATCTCACATCCAAATATTGATGACCTTATATTAAATCATCCAAAAATCGCTCCTTAAAATCTTGAATAAATACAGCTTCTCATCTGGGTATCATTGTACAAATATTTCCTTTTAATAAACACATAAACTTAATAAAGTTAAAATTCTTATTAGTTTTTAGTTTTAACTAAAAATTACATAGCTGTAATCTTGTTGATGCATTCTTTTAGATTTGTATACTATTTTTACTGAATTGCAAATTTTATTTCAAGGTATGCAGAAACATATCAACAGTTCAATCTTGAATCCAAGTTGCCCAAAGATCTTCAAATATGTGACAACATCGAATTGAATCACATATTACAAGAATATGAAACATATTATTTTATTCGTTTTCAAAAATATCCAAAAATTTCTAAGAAGATAATATTTTCCGAAATCGAAGAAAAGAAAAATCAATCGAAACAAACAAAGAAAGTGTCAAAGACTCTGACCAAGGCTTCTTCAGTAGAAAAATGCGACTCCTTAGAATCATCACCTTGCCCATTGGTAGTTCTTCCTATAGTAACTGATGGTTCAAAAAAATTAAATGAACCTGATTTTTCCGATGAAAAGATTTTCAAGCCTCTTGGCAGTTTTGAAGGTTATTCTGATGAATGGAAATCATTTGCCGATATTATAATGAAGGTTTGTTCATGTTTTTTTTAAAAATAATTATTTATTAATGATGCAGGTTTTAATAAAATTTATATTTTATAATGATTTGTAGGAGGTTGTTGACAAAAATTTAAGTGTTTATTGGACTGATGTTATTGGATTAGATAATGCCAAAGCTCTGTTAAATGAAGCAATTGTATATCCTAATAAATATCCTGATTTTTTCAAAGATTTTATCAGCCCTTGGAAAGGGTTATTATTATTTGGTCCATCAGGAACAGGTAAGTTTCAGTAAATTTTAGATGATAAATTAATAAATTGTATAATTTAAGAACTTGAATAATTAGTTCTGTTTATACTATTTGTGAATCTTTTCAACATAAAACTCAATTGGTAATAGAGTTATAGAAACATGGGTTTGGTTCCCATATTCCTTTAATTTTTTTTTCTCAAAGATCAAGATTTATAACATGGTCTACCATGATATGAACTTATAAAATACTTGTTCTCATTGGTTCATAATAAAAAAAAAAAAAAGATTTAAAATCAGTTACCTCATATATCAACCAATGACTTTATATATTTTTTTTCTTTATTCATCATCATCATAATCTATCCTCTTGAACCGCATTAAGCAGTGTGAGGAGGAAGTTTATAGAGCCTTTTCCAGCTCTGCTGGTCTTCAACAAGACGCCCTCGTATCGTCCCATTGAAGACCTCTTCTCTGGAAATCGCTCTTTACTTCATCTTCCCATTTCCTTCTAGGCCGTCCTCTTCCTCTCTTGCCGTCTACTTTAGATCGATAGGTTTCGCAAACTATTCTGTTTGGTTCCATCCACAGAAGATGTCCTAGCCATCTCAGTTGATTCTCCTCAATCACATCATTGGCCGGCTTAATATTGAGGTTCGACCTGATGGTGGTGTTGCGTACTCTATCTCTTCTCGTTTTCCCCTCAATCTTTCGGAGGAATCGCATTTCTGATGCTTGTATCCTTGATCGATGTTTCTTTGTCAGCGTCCATGATTCTGAAGAGTATGTTAAAATGGGAAGAAATGTCGGTCTGAAAACAGCTACTTTTGTTTTCTTTTCCACCTCGGGCCCGTTTAGAAAACCTCTCTTAACTGCCTCAAACATCCTGCTCGCAGCAGAGATTCACTCAGTCACCTCTGAATCGATGCATCCATTTTTATTAAGGTGTGTGCCCAAGTATTTGAAGTTTTCTACCTGCTCGAGGATTCTGTCTTCGACTCTGATGACGCGCATATTTCTCCTAGGCTTCTTCCCAACTCTCATTACTTTCGTTTTTACAGGGTTGATAATCATATTAATCTTCTGCAATTCTTCTTTTAATCTATTAATATTGTACTGAAGATTCTTGTCACTGTCCGAAAAAATAACAACATCATCAGCGAATGCAAGTATTGAGAGGCTCACCGATCTCAGGTTGGCATATCCCAGGTGAAATTTCCGCATTTTTCCTTTAGCCCTTCGTATTGTTGAGTCCATCACTGGTATAAACAAAAGTGGACTAAGACTAAGACTACAACCTTGCCGGATTCCAATTGTTTTCTTTATTCATATTTTTTTTTATTTGATTGTTCTGAATGTTTTATAATATATAAGGTATAAGCCAAGCATACTTTTTCGACTAATAAAAAAATCATTGTGTACGTAGTTAACAGCAAAATGAATAAGTGACTTAAACTTAAGTAAGCTGGTTTGGTGGGAGCACTTGCATTGTAAATATTATACGCAGAAATCTATTCATGCAGTTGCGCAAGTATTGTGGAATTTTGGAATTTTGTGCTAAAATGCTATAGTAAATGGCTAATTAACCAATAATTATTGTTGTTAATTTTAATCTATTATGAATAGTTATTAATTTAGTACACATTCATTTTTTTTTTTTTTTTGAGCTTTAAAAAAGTTCTTATATTTTTTAAATGAAAATTTCTTTCAGTTTATGATTATTATTATCATTTGCTGCTATTTATTGGATTTTTGTCATTTAATTTTAATTTCTAAACTCTAGGTAAAACTATGCTTGCTAAGGCAGTAGCTACCCAGAACAATACGACTTTCTTTAATATATCAGCAAGTTCGATTGTTAGCAAATGGAGAGGTGAATCAGAGAAGCTTGTACGGGTAGGTTGGCAATCTATTTATATATAAAGACAATAAAAAATGACCACTCACAAAGCTTTAAACAAATTTTCACTATTACTACAAAATGTTTTGTTTTATTGTGGAAACTTATATAGTTCAGATCTGAATTCTTTGGGATGAGTTTTAATAGGGACTGACGCCCAAATTTATCAGAACTTCTTTGAAAACCAAAGAAATGTTAAAATTAATACAATTTATTCAAAATCTTGTTAGCCTTATCCTAAATCGGCCATTACCCCAATAAGTGTCAAATGCTGTTTGAAGAGTATTTCTCTCTGCCATTAATAATTTGGTATTCAAAAGAAGTATCCCAATAAACTATGAAATTTTATTTACCTTTAACATTAGTTATTAATTTCATTATATAGCTTGAAATTTAGAAAAATTTAGTTTTAAACATCAAAATATCATTCATCTTGATCATATCAATAAATGACAATTTCTATGTTTTTTTTAATATGTTATACTTTTTTGGCTAATATTTATTATATATATTTTCATAAATTTGTTTTACAGGTAATGTTTGATTTGGCAAGACTTCAAGCGCCATCAACAATATTCATTGATGAACTTGATGCCGTCGCGTCTCAAAGGGATAGTAATCGTGAGCACGAGGCTTCTCGAAGACTTAAGTCCGAGTTGCTGGTTCAGTTGGATGGTCTTTGCCAAAGTAATGATAGTGTGTTCTTCTTGACAGCGACAAACTTACCTTGGTATATATTTATTAGTTACTTACCTTATATTTTGCAAAATTTATTTAAAGGTGTTTTCTGTTATTGAGGAATTTTATTATTATTATTTTTATCTTTTTTATTCTCGCCTTTGCGGAATCAAAGCTGAAGGTGGGGGACAAGTCCAATCACCTGCAGTTATAATATTTTTAGATATTTAAAAATTTTCTTGTAATTCTGGCTTTATCCAAGAGAACCCCTTGCTGAGCCTCTCTTAACACATCCATGGGTAATTCCAAGCCGTACCTGCCACCGTTGACTTTGGGATCAGACCATTGGTTGATATTATTGGTGTAACCAATACACTCTCCAAATGGTACAACTCCTTTAATTCAATTGCCAGTTCTTTGTACTTACGGAGCTTCTCTTCCACGGTCGTGCTTATGTTGTTATCGTTTGGAATCGCGATATCAATTAACTTTGCCTTCTTTTTATTATTATTATTAATGATATAAATAATAATATAATTTGGATGGCATCGATTGTAATGTTAATTTGGCATTAGGGATATGTCACAATCACTTATGACAAAAATATTAAGGCTACATTTTATAATTAAAATTTCTTGAAATAGTTGCTCATTCTTTTTCTGGCTGCATAAGGCTTTTTAAGTTCACCACCCTGTTCCAAGTATAATTCATATTTACCCTAGCTTCAATTATTCTTTTGCAACTTATCCATTTCGGGTTCTTTTCCAAATACTCTTACCATTCATAACTTGACATCCAACTTTATTAATGCCTTTTGAATAAACCATTGTGAACTTTATGAATTATTTTTTGAAAGTGTCATAATCACTGACCAACTGTTGATACAAATATACATTTTTCAGTTCTTGACTTTTGTTTTTCTTTTATTTCTAGGGATCTAGATACTGCTATATTAAGAAGGCTGGAGAAACGTATATTTGTTGATTTACCTGATTTAGATTCTAGAAAAAGTTTGATTCAGAAATATTTACCTCCTGTATTAAAAACCTCACCATTAATAACAGTTGAATTAGATTATTCAGAATCAGCTGAGGTAAAAAAATTTCATAGCATATTCTCATTAACCATTACACTCTCATTCATTTGCATGATTTAAAATGTTTAAGGTAAACAATGTTAATTTGATAAAAGTGAATTTATTGATCAATAAAATGTTCCTTTAGGTGTTGTACTATTTTTATTTTTTTAATGTGTAGAAATTTATAGAGCCTTCTGATTTATAGTTTAATTAATCAATTAATTACTTTTATATTATTTATTTTTTCTAATGTTACCTCAAAAACATTTCGCTACTGTTGGTGCAAAAGATTGAATGTAAAAATTGACTTTTTTTACAGAAGAGCATAACAACCTATTATTCCTTTATAATTTATTAGCTTAATTTCATATTTTATTTCCCTCTGCTATTTTCCCACTTAGCAGACTAATTATAGCAGTTACAGACGACAAAATGTCATCTTTAGTGCAAAGAGAATAAACATGTAAAAAGTTACATATGACCTTTTGCACTAACAGAAGCGATTTCATGAGATTTAGTTTTTAAAAAAGTTCTGTTAAAATTTTGTTTAATTTTCAGAAGTGTGAAGGATATTCAGCCTTTGATATTAAATTGTTATGCAAGGAAATTTCGATGAATGTAGTGAGATCTGTATTTAAAAAACTGGAAGAAAATAGAACATATTTCTGCCTTAAAGGTAATTTTTTTTTCTTTAATTTTAGTTAACAGTATTATTTACTTTTATTTAAAAATGTGAACAATTCCAATTTAACGTCAATTTATTTTTGAAGATGAACTGTGTAAGTTATCGCCTCAAGTAGTTTCTGTTAGAGATTTTGATAAGGCTCTTGAAAAAGTTAAAGCGACTGCAGTGGGAACAATGGAGAAGTTTAAGTCATGGGAAAAAGAATTTGGATCATTTTAGGCAATTATTTTTTCCTTTATGTTGTTCTTTAGGAATAAGATATAAAATAAAACGTAACAATTTATTTTGCATTTTTTAATTTATATCACATTTTTAATGATAATTTAAATACCTGATATCATGGTTCTAATTCTAAACCACAGGGATGTTTCAACACATATATTAATGAACCGATTGCTATTTTACATACCTAAAATTAATCTTATGCATTTTTACATTTATTTTACGAGCACAACCTGCCTTAATTCTAAACTGGTTTCATTACATTACATTATCTTCAGTAATTTGTACAAAAATATTATCAAATTTAATATCTACTATAAAAACAGTTATACAACCATTTCAAGACTGTTACACTTGGAAAACATTTTATTTAACTACTAGTGTTACAATTAATTGAGCAAAAAGTATATATGTATTGTATATCATAATTTAATAACAAATTAACTGTTTAGTTATTTCAAAAGAAATATGAATGCTGTTTAAACTGTTTATTGTTGGATGAATTTTACTTCTAAACAGTATTCATATAACAGTTTTCTTTTGACACAATAGTAACACCTGAGCATCAAATTGTTATGTCTACAATAATGACTTGTCTTTGTATTTAGTATACTTTATAGATAAAATTTTAATGACCAATATGGTTTCCCAGTATGTGAGTGCAATGGACATTATACCTCCTTGACGATTTCCCTCGACTGAGTGGAAGGTAGTATACCGGTGCAGTTAATAGCAATAAACGTTATTATCATAATGTTGATTATTAATTGACGGGATCTTGATGTGCTGATAATATGTAAACAAAAACTCATAGCGATGACTCCAACTATCGATTAAACCACAATTAATCTGGCATAAAAGGAAATTTCTTCAAGACTTAAATAATTTAAGAAATTTACTGACACATTTTCCACTTCCTTTCGACCCAATGTAGATCTAACATCATATTTGTTCGATAAATGTTTCTACATTGAATATTTTTGTTATCTAGCCTTAATTTTTTTTTTACAAAGTAACAGATAATGCAACTTACTTTTAACATCCCTTTCCCTTCTGTATGTATTTGTTTAACAAAAATTCAGTCTATCAATATTTAGAGGTTTGTTTTTAATTATCTTCATGTTTAAGGGAAATTAAAATTATTCACTGTATTCTTCATTGTAATGAGAGACAAACTGATAACTGAAAATTATTATTAAATTCTTCTTAACGAGTTTGAAAATTTAAAACAAATAATTTGTTTTTAATATTTTGACACCAGCTACTGTAAATTTGTTCACAATATAATCTATAAAAGGCTTACAAGTTGTTTTCAAATACTTTTTATATTAAAATATTGGAAACAGAAAACAATTTGATGCTCTTGTGAAATTTTTAGAAATTAAAGAATTTTTTTGTAATGAATCTAAATTCTATAGCTGATAGATTTATTTTTTTATCATAGTACTTGCACGATTTTGTCTTTTAAATATAATATATTCTTATATTCTAAAATGGCATTTCCTTTAAACATTTCGCTATGTAAAGATTTTATTTTTCATTCATTTACTAGTTAGAAAATAATCTTTTAAATTATTTCCTTCTATTCTAATTCATTCTAAGTCTTTGATCTTTTTTTTTTTTAATTTCTAATCTACTTATTTTGGCATGTTAATATATCAATATTAACCTAATAATCACAGTCACTAATTCTTAATTACTAAAATAAATTTAAAAATACAAAACAACTATTTACAAAACCACACACTGCTTTCTTTTTTTTCGAACTGAGGAACTTATCATTACAGTTGAAATTGAACTCTTATCATCGATGATGCAACATCGGGTCCAGTCTCATACAATAAAGAGGCTCCTAAGTTATATTTTAAATAAATAAAAAACATATCCTATGTTTAGATTTTTAGTTGGTATGAATAAAGAGGTGAACAATATCTCTCTCCTCTCCCCAAAATATAAAATATAAATAAATAAATTCTTCTCATACTTTTTCTTTAAATTACTTGATTTACACATTATCTCAAAAGTATTTGTGTAATACTAGGTTTATCTAGTCCATTAATTTGAATGGTTTCAAATTATTTATTCCAATTCTCCTATTTAAATTCTAAATTATAGCACTCGAATTTAAGCTCAGGATTAAAATGGAAGCCTCGAAATTCCAAGCCAAAACGTATCTTTTAAAACATAATTTTGATTTCCATTACTAGTCATATGGTGGCTTTCAAGAAGTATATGTATATACATTTTCTGTACATCTAATGTTAAACTGCCAAATTCTTCTTCTTAAATTTATAATGCAATATTGAATTGCAATTGATATTTTATTTCTAGTGCCAAAAATTAGTATGAGAAGGGACCCAATTTTTATGTTCTGAAAATGGTGTATTGCTTTCACATTTCAATCTTCCAGTAGTATTTACACTTGAAATAGCTTGTACATCATACTAACTTCATGACATAGGCTTTGATTTTACCACGACCACATTCATTGATTTATAAAAACCTTTTTTACTAATTAAGCACATATTGAATATTTTTGATGATATATAAGAAAATATAAAAAAAGACAGAGCTATCATGCCTAAGCTTATGTAGAACTGACTTGCCGGTAGGATAACCACCACTATGTACATGAGATTTGAGATATAAGAAGGTAGTCCCTCTTGTTTCTGTAAAAATAAAGAAGTTTAAATTAATAATTTAATTTAACAACTATTTTTGTTATTTTATTTTAGAAGTTAACTTAAAAAAAAAACTAGTTTAATGGCTTTAAATTTTAAAAAAATTGGCTCACTCGTTACTTGTCATTCCTGGGACTAACATGAAACTGACTAAAGAAAAATTCACAACTTTAATGAAAACCATCAATAAGTTTAATAAATTATGTATAATAAATAACGTACACACATTAAAATTTTTTTTTTTAGAGAAGAATTAAGTTTTTAAAAATTTATCAACCATTTATGGTTGAGATTGGCACAATTGTTGCCTCTTGCCATTTAAATCCTATAATATTTATCAACTATCAAAAGCCACTCAGTAGACTATTAATCAGTAATTGTAGGCATCTAAAAGTTAATTAATGGGCTCTAGATTGAAGAAGTTTTAAAAATAGTTTTAGTTTGAAATAACTCACGAAACGTTATATAGTGTTTTATATAGTGTTTTATATAGTTATATAGTGTTTTATATAGTGTTGCCAAAAAAAAAAAAAAAAAAACCTTAATCAAATATTGACTCTTTTTGTGAAAATATATGTAGAATATGTATATACATATTTATTATAAATATTATATCCAGAGAGTATAATTTACCCTGACAATATTTTTACTTTGGCTGTGAGGTACATGTGCAATAGCTTTTATTATTTGAGAAGGAGTTAGTCGGGGGGTGTGGTCAGATAAATACTAAATTAAAATATAGTAATTATTTTATTTTAATTTTGCCGACGTTTCGACCCACTTTAGAGGTCGTCTTCAGGGCGTAGGATGTAGCACTGCGGGAGGCAGTTGAGTTTTAATATAATTGCAGTTGAGATTTAATACAATTGAGTTTTAATAAGGCAGTTGAGCTTTTATTATAATTGGTTCAGTTATTTAAATATAATGGATCCCTCATTCAGTAGAAGCATTGACTTATCAACCTAAAGTATTATGTGTATTCAGTCAGTAAGAAGTATTTATTCTGTAATTCATCAGAAATAAAGGAATCGGACCATTGCAAAAGGCTGTAACAGCCAAGTGTTTTCGGAAACATTCCATCAGTCTTGTTCAGTAAGCTTTGAATCAAGGGAAATTCCATTTTGTGCATTATTACTAATAAATTTACATGTAACTCTTCAAAGTATTTTTTAATTTGATGTAATTACTCACATATTCTAGCCAAAACATGGGTATAGCCATGTTGCTGAATTTTTTAAGCCTCGGAAATCCTTTCATGTTGTGAATGTAAAGACTGCACTGACTTCTGGCCCAAGCAATGAGTGGAATGCCAGTCATCTAAAAAAATGCAACATAAAGAAGTATAATAAATAGATGTGTAAAGTGAAAAGATGATATCCAATGTATCAAAAAATAACATTAACTATCAATATAACTTAATAAACTTTAATAGTAACCATTGGAGAACTCTTACATGAGTTTTTTTTTTACTAAATTCACTTTTAAAATATATTGCGGTCTCCTTCAAGATTCATCATCGTGATTAATAGAATTGCTGAATTACTCATGGAAATTGTAAATATATTTGCTGAGTATGTCATGTTATTTGGTCACCCAGACTGCCAAAAGTTGAATCAAAGTCAAAATCATCTATTGAAAATGTTATGTGAAGGATGGAACATCGACTATTTATATCTGATGAGATACTAATTTGTTATGCATGAATCAGTGTCCATAAACCATCATTACCATTTTGTCTGTCAGACATGTAATAGGATGTTGTTTATGATATGATAGACTGAAAGGGAAAAATTGGAACAAGAATTATGGCTGGGAATCATGCATACTTTACCATTGCCATACAACTGAAAAGTAAAATTGCTAACTGTAATCCTCTTCAAAATACTGATATGGCAAAGCAGAAAAACTGCTTAGTAATATGAATTCTATAGTGATTTGAGCATTGCCTCTTTTGCCAGGATACCGAGGTTGAAGTGACTGGTTCACTTGCTTAGAATGGTTGAAAGAAGGATGACCAGAAGAATGTACGAAAACCGTTGTGATCGAATAAGTCCTAGTTGAACTATAGTCTGGCTGTTTTTCTTTAACTCCTGAGTGACAACTCATGTCAGTATCATTTTTATATTGACAGACTTGGCAATGAATTGTTCAGCAAAAAAGAAGAATAGTTTGTATCTTGATGTTTAGGAAAGTAATATTTAAAAAAAAATTGAATATTTTCCGAGAAAAACTTACAGGTTCGACCGTTGCTACAGATCCATGCTTCTCATAATCAGGAGTTAGTCCTTCAAGTCTGTCCGTTATTTGAGGATCAGCAAACATGAAATGTGGAAATGAACTGACTATGGGCAGGCCTACGAAATAAAGGTTAACGTTTTTTTTTAAATTGGAAAGAAAGAAAATACTACAGAATTACTAACTATTATATAATTTCTACTTACTAAAATAGCATGGTGAGACATCGGAGATTCCTGACGGCAGTAGAGGGTACCTTTTCGCTCTGTAGCACTCTTCGTTAGGGTTCTCAGGTCTTGAATAAGTATTGTTGGGTAACTCGTACCTATATGCTGTCATACCGTACCGTTCAATGTCCCCTTTAAAAAAAAATAATAATATTTTATGAACTGAAATCTATGTTTAGAAATAATTAGTATGTTTATTTTATTAGTTTTTGTCCTTATTTACTCCAATTATTTCAGGAAGAATGGGATTTAATTATTAAGGCCGCTTTTCGAATAGAGAAACAGCTAACATAGAGTAGAATAGTTCAATTTTTGCGACTCTGATACCACATAGGCCTCATGTGGCACAGTTTCCCCATTCCCAGTGTGTGCCCTGCATTACACAGTATATAGGTATATTTTTATCAGTATTTAATTTTATGAAAGATCTCATTATAACAAATAGTCTTATTTATAATATTGGTTCACTATTTCACACTTACCACGGGTTTATCATGGAAAAATATAAAATATTTGAAGCCGGTTACGATAAAACCTCAAATTAAATTAAAAAAATTGTAGTTAATATAGTTAGAGGTGGGCGTTTCTGCTACTTTTGAAGAACTTAAATGAACTGTTCGTTGACCAAAAATAACAGTTCTTAAGAACTGTTGAAAAAAAAAAAAATAGTTCATGGAACAACGCAACGATTCATGGAGTAATACCTATTCGTTTAATAACAAGTCTGGAAACGAATGAATTGTTTTATTTATGAAGTTTGGCATTGTTTGAGCTTATTGATAATCTTTGAATTTATTTGTAATATTACATGAATGTTAAATCTTAAAAATTTCTTTGTAACTAATTAAAACTAAAAATTATTTTTTACTAATCAAAATTTTTTTATTTTAATAATATTTTGACTTTCTTGTATATTCGAAGTTAGAAACTATGCTGCTTGGTCATCATGAGTCTTTTAACTGTAGTTTAAACTATTGATTTATATGAATATGTACGATCATAAAAATCATTTTTGGTCTACAAGACACTAATATAAATAGGTAAATCTAAAAACATAAACTAATTTTTCCTACAAATATGCTTAAGTTAATTTAGGAATGTAGTAACTATAATGAAAGTTTTTATTTATTTCTAGCCTTGATTAATAATGGGAGCTAAAAATTACATCATTAAACTTAACAGTTGAAACATGTCTTATAAAAAAAACTGTTGCGTTATTTTCATGATGAACTGATAGGTTCGTTGGAAAGCAGCAAGAGCTTTTGTTTCTTTTGGGAAAAAAACTACAAAAAATAGATCAAACAGCACTCGACTAGTTGCAAACAGGTGAACTAAAGAAAAACAACTGTTGTTATTCATTTGGAAGAACAGTTCATTTGTTTCAGATCAAGAACTGTTCTTTTCCAACGTATGTCGTTTTCTCTCCCACTGCTAAATGTAGTGAGAACTCTCAGATTAGATAGTTTTGCTTCTCCTTAATGCATACAATATCTAACAGATATCAATGAAACATGTTTATTTGAATATAAATATTTATCAATTATATAAACACATATAACATTATCAAGATAGTCTATTCAACACACATAATCAGTGAAGCATCATACTTTACCCTGACTGTTAAAGTAACAATTTAATTAATAAATGATTAACTTATCCCACTGGAAAATATATCTCCAATTTAATAGTTACGCAATAACACTCAGCTATCTCTGTAATTCTACTAATCCATTATTTTACTCCATCAAGACCTATTGTTCGGTGTCAAAGAGTCTTGATTTGTAATTCCTTCACCTACTAAGAGTATATAAGTCTATTATAGAGAGTGTAGAAGCCATACCTGAATATTTTTTTTATTTATTACAAATTTCATAAAGTTTCTTTTTATATAATCAGAAATGACCAAGGTAAGGGAGACCTATTCTCCCTGATATACATTTCTTATAAATTTTTAATATGTCGAAGTCTATCATAAATAGCGATATTTTAATTTTTAAAACTTTAACATATGAATACGATATGGCTACCATAACATCTAAAAGTCTTTCAGTAAGAGTTAATTTATCCCAAAAATGTCACATTTTAGGACTTTAAAACATATTATATTATATCTTTTATACACTACTAAATTCTTGCCTATTGTTACGTTGAGAAATGACGATGATGTATTTATACGTTAATCAACATTTAAATGATAATTTATTTATATATTAATCAGGCACTTAGTATTGTCAGGTTCAGCTTTCTGTTTTCTCAACAGAAACACAAAGCTTATTTTAATGAAGAATTTAATATATTTTTATTTTTTAATTCTTTATTGTTTTGTTAAAAGTGTATACTGGTCTATCAGTGCAAATAGCTTTAAGTGTCTTTTCATATTGTTAATTGTTTTGTATACAGTTTCGTTTGTTTTGTATATAGAATGTTTACCTTATATTTTCTTTACATTATTTCTTTTTAATCTTTTAGTTTTGTTCTATTTTGTTATTCTCAAGGGACTGTGTCCCAGAATAAAGTTATTTTCTATCTATCTATCTATAAACATAACTTAATTTCCGTGTTGAAATTTTTAAAGCACAATTTATTTAGTCTCAATTTATTGACTTTGAAACCATCCATGAAATTCCTTTTTAATTGATACCTTATTCATCAAAATCCATTGCACCTGAGAGCTGGAAAAGGGATCTGTACAATCGTATTATATATAGTGTTGATCATATAGTGGATTAGGGATAGTTAAGGCTTTGCTGTGTATTTGTTGGGTACACAAGATTGTTATTTATAATTTAATATTTATATATAATCTAGAATAAGATAAATATGGCGATAATAGATGATAAAGTTTGAAACTTATCATTCTCTTAGTTTTTATGTTACTCACTTGTATAGTATAGAGATACAGCTCTACAGATAGTTTTTCTTAGATATCGAAGAGTATCGTTTCGCCTGAAGTCCTGATGGTAATGAACACCTTCTGAAGACCCTTCAACCGAATCGCATGTCTTATTTTCCCAAACACCTAGTCCAGGACCACCTCTCCATCTATTTATTTCAAAAAAATTTCTTTTCGGACCACTCTCCGGTCCAATATGAACAGTTACGTCATCCACAAAGTCATGGTATACCTAGAATCCCATATGTATAAGCTATCTCTAGTTCTATCATCAGTCATCTTTAATAATGATATTAAATTTTAAGAGAAAGAAAAAGAAGAGGAAATGTAAAGAAATTCATCAATGTTTCTAATTACTTTGGCTTAGTAATAAATAATTTTTTAAAATATTAAATGAAAATATTCTAGGACTGGTTTCCCTTTAGAAGAAATTATAAATACAGTGTAAAAATTATTTTTTGAACAAAGTAAATAATTCTATACGTTCAAAAATTTTCAGTCTCATGATTATAATGTAAAATTGCTTACCTCAGTTCATCAATAAATAAAATTTATATTGAAAAATCATGATTTTTAATAATAAAATACATAAATGATTTCAATCATGAACTGATAATTTTATGCAAAATAAGGACACATTTTGTGACATTCTTCTTAAACAGGATTCCTTTAACTGCCACACACACAGAGTGGGTGCTCGGTCACTCGGGCATACCAGGCAGCGAGGAGGCTGATGAACTAGCCAGATTGGGCTCAGATACCATTCCTGTAACTTCCGAGCCTGTCTGTGGAATCAGCCTCAGCACTGCCAAGAGTAGGACCAGGGAGATGTATGAGATCAAATTTAGTAATTACTGGACGGACAAGAAAAAGCGACATTCGAAGCTGTTCCTTAAAGGTTCATGTGAAAGAAGAAGCAAACTGCTACTGAATATGGACAGAGCAGCCCTTAAAAAGCTTACAGCAATCTATACAGGTCACTGTAAGCTAAATTACCATATGTTCAATCTCCGAGTCATGACGAATCTGCTATGCAGATTCTGTCAGGAGGAGAATGAAACGGCCTTTCACATCGTGTGTAGATGTGATAGATTCAAAAGGCTGAGACTGGTAGTATTTGGGGAAGAACGAATGGATCTCCCCAGTAGCTATGAGTCGGTTAATCCAACCAGCCTACTTAGATACACGGAACCGACTAGAATAATGTTTTAATTAAAAACAACTAACTGAAATTGGCACACAATGGACCCATTAGGAGTCGACGTGCTCAGAGCCAATACTATAAAAAAAAACTATAAAAAAAACTGCCACACACCATTTTAGATTTTCTTCGTTTTTTTTTTAATTGAAAACTGTTTGGTCATTTATGTTTTCTTTTTTTGTGATGTGATCTCTGGACTTCCTTCATTTTCAGAACCCTGTTTTGCAATGTTTTTGTCAAAAGACATTTGGAGCTGTTGGTGCATACAGGCCTCTGAAAGGGCTATTTGTGGTATTTGTATTGCTGCACTTAATAAAATAAAATAAATATATAAGAAAAGTGTTTGTGCATATAATGAAATATATGAAAAGGCCAACATTTTTTTTCACTGCAGTACAAATGTCGGATCAACACATTTAATCAGTCCTTTTAATTGGGTTATGATTTCTGTATTTCAAGGTACATTTTTACCAAATGCGAATAAGATCGAACCAATCATTTGGTCATGATCTAAAAATACAGACAGATAAAATACCTAACAATCATTTTACGTCATAATCTCCTATACTCTCTTTCAATTATAACGTGATTTGATAGTAATACACAATAACTATGTGTAAATATCCTAGAGTTTCGAAACCTAGAATACCCTTACAGAACATGGTAGCCCTATACAAAGTTTACATTGAAGGTATATCCTTGGGCTCTCAGACGTGGTATATCTTAGAAAAATGGGAGTAACTAATTATTCAATGATCTAATAAATATGGTTGAAGATTATTATGATGCTAACATAAATGCTCGAGAAATAGGCAGAGGAAATCAGCTTCCATTCCCAATGAGGAAGTCTGGAGGAAGAAAATTTGTTATCCTAAAGCCTAGGATAACCTTTCATATACTGTAGCTGTCTTAAATAATTAAAGAAATATGTTAATATCTATGGAGATTAATTCTGTAATTAATTTTTGTTATCTATTGAAATATTTCTATTTTTTTAAATATACCTAATGTTGAATTTCAAATTCTTTTATTTAACGAACCTTATCTAAATTCTATCCATTCTTTCTAATTGGTAAATTGTAAAGTTGAATAGAATTAATTTTAATTTTTTTAAAAACTAATTCATTGGCATAATTAGAAATAAGAAGGAAATAATTAGTTAAACTTTTTGCTCAGCCAATTCTGTCTAGTCTATTTAGGTTTGCAAATTGATAGTTTTTATTAATTTTTGACTTCCTAGTTACCAATGGAATTTTTATATCTCAAAAAAGGAACTCATCAATTTGGAATACTAAATTATTTTTAATTTTATTCATTAAGACAAACATATGATCATGGGAGCGATATGTCTCTCGATTATTTTTTCACTTACCTGATGCAAGATGCCCACATTATCTGTTGGTACTAAAAAGGGTAAAAGGTTGTTACTAAGTTTCAATAAGGGATCTGTGAAGTTCCAGAAGTAATCATCAACTGTTAATTTTACGAACGGTTTGGATCCGAGACGATTCATCAAAAACGTGATGCCCTGTCTCGTAAAAAATGAAGCATCCCATAAATATGATGGTATTCCCTGAAAAAGAAAAAGGCATTATTAATTCAAATAATAATCTATTATTTAAAGATAGGCAATTATAGGTGTGGTTGATAGTGGTAATTAGATTTGTTTTTTTTTAGAAGAAAATATATTGTATTGTAAGCCTGCTGTAATGTAATAGATAGCCCCCAGTATTTACTCCGTTATATGACATTGTGTGAGGAATGAGAAGGAATATATAGGAATGTGAGGCTGCACTATGAATTGTACTCAATTGTGCAGTGGACAAATTATTCATTGAAAAGTCTCATATCCATAAAAAATCGATGAAGAAGGAAGAAGGTTGGAAAATGACCGAGCAAGTAACAGCAGTTGGAGGACACCGGGTAGAAAAGAAGGTACTCTAGGCCGGGACAGGAAGAAAGGAGGTTATCAGAAGAGAGAGGCACTGCACTGAAGATTAAGAAGATCAAGCCTAAAGTTATAAGACTTTAATAGATTAACTTCTTTCAGTTGTAAAATAAATTGTTTTTTTAGACAGGGATGAATAGTCCTTTTATTTAGTTGTCCTGTAGGCCTCACAATTGAAGAATAACAAACCAGGTGAGTCAATTCATTCAAAGTGTGTTTAATAAGTCCCACATTTCATTTACATATATTCTTATTATTTCTTCTCACTCAGTTGCACAAAAAGCATTAGGTTCCCGAATTCCCAACGACAGTTAAACACCCTCAAAAAGTCTATATCCAGTGCCGGGGTTTCGTTTAAAGAAAATTAAATTCACGAGTGTAAATAACCTAGTCCCACACAAAATGGAAAGAATATTTATAAAATTCCTGCCGAAAGATCATTAACAATTAACCTTTAATATGTTATTTACAGTAGTTCTAAAACATTTAAATTAGATCTTTTGTACATTGATTAATTAATTGCTGAAACCGTTATGTAGTTCTCAGTTTATAATTATTAAGTATGATTTATTTAATTTTTTTTAAAAAATGGAGGCCCATATTTATTACGGTTTATGTTCATTGCAATTAAATTTAATTAAATTTTACAAAAAAATACATCTTTTTTTGTAAAATTAAATTTTAATCTTGTAACATCAAGCCACAATTAAAGAATTAAATTTAGTTATAATTAAAAATCTGTCAAAACATTATCATTCGCTTTCTTGGAAGATAAAAGTTTTGTTTGAAATAATGGTGATAAAACACTACATACCAGAGCTGCTACATTAGCAACTATGATTGTGTCATTCAAATTAAGCGTGTTCATCTCTGGTTGAAAAACTGCTGTTCTGCTTGCTACATAGGTCAATGTACCATTTTTGTGAAATACAACGTTGGTGTGGGTAAACTTCTCTCTATAACAAAAAACAGTGTATATAAAAAAAAGTATATATATACATATATATTAAAGAAAACAAACACCTCTAAATAGTGGTACTCGTTGAAAACTTCATTTGTTTTTTTTAAATAAAAAAAACATAAAATTAATTTACCTTGCAAAAATTATTTGAATAAACTGAAAATGGATGCATAAATACAAATTGTACGTGTAGAAATAAAAAATTGTTTATAACCGCTGAAGAGGTCCTTGCTGCTAGTATAGGACTTCTGAAAATGATTTTTGTTATAAAGTTATATTACACGATTTTCCAAAATTAACTTATTCCAAATAGTCTGTCGCAAAAGTTGATATAAATGACCATTGGCGAATACGGAAAAATGACGAGCTCTATGAGCTGTATAAAAATGATGATATTGTAGCCACTGTCAAAAGGAGGCGGCCCAGATGGCTGGGCCATGTAGAGAGAATGGAGGAGAATAGGCTGCCAAGGAAACTTCTCTATAACCACCCAGGAGGAGCATGTCTTAGGGGAAGACCCCGGCTGCGATCAACAACGTGGTGGAGGACCTCAGCCGCATCAGAAGATGGAGAAGAATAGCTGACGATAGAGAAGCCTGGCAGAAGCTTGTTTCTGAAGCCCAGGTCCATTAAGGACTGTAGAGCAAATTATTAAATAATTAAAAGTTGATATTAAAATTAATTTGTTGTTTTCATAAATAACTGCTTAGAGCAAAATATTACATACACTGTGTCCTAAACAAAAACATTCATCTAAGATTTAATTATTTATTAAAGTAATAATCTTGTTTTGCTCATTCATGTTAATTTTTAGCTGTATCATTTTTATCTTACGCTTTGCCACCATGAAATTTTGAATACTAATTATATCAAAATTTCTAATTAATATCTCCTGAAGTCTAAATGAGCTTCTCATTTACGTATCTAGTATTGAATATATATATATATATATATATATATATATATATATATATATATATATATATATATATATATATATATATGAGAATGGAGAAACTCTGTAATTCAGCAACAATTTAGATTTATGAAAAAAAATATATAAAATTTAAAATAGTGATTATAACCGTTTACCTGAAAATATATGGTCCAACCTCTTGTACCCTAAGTTTAGTCGTCTCTCCTCGAAGAAATTCCTCACTATTTGTTATATTCCATACATAAGCTTTCAGCAAGACTACGTCAGGAGGTGTCTTCCACCATTCATATGGAGGTAATCCAGGAACCATTTTTAATCTCTATCAAAGGTTCGTAAGAATTATGATTATTTAAAATAAATATAATATTGTTGTTTTTTCTATTAGTAATGTTGGAGAATAGCAAATTTATTAATTAATTGTTTTTATTCCAACAATAATTTATTTATAACCATTGAAATTTCTACTAGTGGAAAAAGTGTAATTCAACATTAATCATTGTCTTAGTAACTAAGATGAAGTAGTAATCAGCTACCAAACTACTGAAAAACGTTATTAATATAAAAAATAGATGAAGAAGTTCTGAAAAATCATTTATTTAACTTGAAAGATATTTTAATTCTTTAGAGGGATGAGCTCAAGGAAAAATATCAAGATTCATATCCCAAAAATAGAAAATCTTGTTTTACTTTATTTATTTATAATCCTATAAATTTATTTAATTAGGATTTGGATTTCAGCTCAAGATTGGTGATTTCACTAATTCACGAAGTTTCCCTTAAGAAATCAATCATATATTTATGCTTAATATGAAAAAAATCATAACTAACTGGAAATTAAAAAAAACAAAAATAATTTTATTCTGGGACTGAAGTCTCCTTAGAATAATAGTAAAGTTCAAAAAATATGTACATTAGTCTAGCATGCAGATATCATACAAATATATACAAAAAATACTTGTATATATATATATATATATATATATATATATATATATATACAAAAAATACTTGTATATATATATATATATATATATATATACAAGTATTTTTTGTATATATTTGTATGATATCTGCATGCTAGACTAATGTACATATTTTTTGAACTTTACTATTATTCTAAGGAGACTTCAGTCCCAGAATAAAATTATTTTTCATTTCATTTCATTTCAGAACATGAATCATCAAACTAAAATCGATGGAAGATAATAATCTCTTCACTTGAATTCTCCTATTCTTTTAATATTTGTTTTCATGCCATAAGTCTGTATTTTTAAATTATACCATATAAGTCCACCATATCTCTCCTCCCATGAACCTACAATCATCGGACCTATTCATTTATCATTTATAAATTAATCATACTTTAGCTTATTATTAATTTTTCCAAATTGTAATTACATTTGAATTCTGTTCTTTAGCCAAACCAAACAAATCTCAAAAATTATACTGTACATCTCTCTGATACTGCTGTTTAGTTCTGTGGTAATTCCATATGGCATCATGATATACTGAACGAATCTTTTTTTTTTTTTTTTATTCAACAAATATCGTTCAATCTTTTACTTTTGAATGAACAAGTTGATCAAGATAAATGAATATGCCAGTTATAATTTTTATAAATAGGCTCATTTTCCTCATTTGAGTACAGATAGACTAAATAAAAACTTTTTTCAATTAACTAACTGCAAAACGTGTTTTTTTGTTTGTTTTTTTTAATTTCCAGTTAGTTATGATTTTTTTCATATTAAGCATAAATATATGATTGATTTCTTAAGGGAAACTTCGTGAATTAGTGAAATCACCAATCTTGAGCTGAAATCCAAATCCTAATTAAATAAATTTATAGGATTATAAATAAATAAAGTAAAACAAGATTTTCTATTTTTGGGATATGAATCTTAATATTTTTCCTTGAGCTCATCCCTCTAAAGAATTAAAATATCTTTCAAGTTAAATAAATGATTTTTCAGAACTTCTTCATCTATTTTTTATATTAATAACGTTTTTCAGTAGTTTGGTAGCTGATTACTACTTCATCTTAGTTACTAAGACAATGATTAATGTTGAATTACACTTTTTTATATATTACACTTTTATATATATATATATATATATATATATATATATATATATATATATATATATATATATATATATATATATATATAAAGATACTAAAGAAAATACAAACATATAAAAAAAAAATACAAAGGAAAATATAAATATCTACAAAAAATACTAAGAGAAAACACAGATAAAATGACAAAATAAAACACAAAGTGAAAAAAAAAAATGACTTCTATCAATTAACTTCTGATGACCAATGTAATTATATAACCCAGACATTTTTACAAGCTTGTAGAAGTTTGAATTTGTAGTAGTTGGTAGAATAGGAGTTGTCTGAAGGAGTTTATGGACGTGGTTTGACGTATGGAGATGGGTAAGGAGTTCCATAAGGAGTTAGCACGAATGACGAAGGGTTTACTGAAAGAAGTGGTTTTATGGGAGGGGATATATAAATCTATAGGTTGAGATCTGATGTTTAGAGAGTGGATAGAGGAGCCTACAGTAAGGAGTTCTAAGATCTAGGAAGATGTTTTGGTTCTAAGGAAACACCAAGAAGGAATTAGGGATATAGCCACTTCAACTCGGTTTACCAACAAGAAATATGTGAACGCTTGGGAATCCCAAAGATGGATCTTATGAAGAAATTCATAATTTTCTTCAGTTTCGCCTCCAGTTCTGTGGACAGCCCTCCATACACCAGGCAACCGTAGTCGAAGTGGGGGAAAACAAGTGATGTTACACGGTTATGTTTATGATACCGATCGAATGAGCACCGATTCACCTGAACATAACACTTTCAGAAGAGTAAAAATAAACTTGATATATTTTTTTAAATGTTAGAAAAGTGGAGGAATGGAGAACTTCAAGATTTAAGGGAAATGAGAAGCTTCAATGAAAGAAATGCCATACTTATTTAGTAAATTCAAATCATACTCCTACAATTCAAATCATCTATCCACACCCTCTCCACAAGATCTCGTCCTTCTGACCTTTACACTCCTTTCCACAGATCTGCATCATTTAAACATTCCTTCATTGTCCGTTCCACTGCATTCTGGAATTCCATCCCACTAAAAATCCGCCATGCATCATCCTTATCCACCTTTAAAACCCTCTTATTCCAATTCCTCTTCACAATCCAATCAGACGCTGGTTAAATACATACTATGTTAAAAGGATTTAATTTTCTTTAGACATTATTTTTTTTCTCTTATTTTTTATTGTTTTATTCTGTGTTGAACGTGAATTCTCATCACCACTCACTAAGCATTGTGAGTAGATAAAATTTGTTTTTCTTAAGTTCTAATTTGTTATTCATGGAATGTATTTCAGTGAAATGTATTTTATTTCTAATTATCTTCAACATACTTCTCGCTATGTGTATATATATACTTTATTTTATTTTCTCTTCTCCTAATATTTACGCATAATCACTTAAATATCTTAGGGAACATATGTATATCATTATTTGTTTTTTATATATTTTTTTGTTTTAGTTTTTACAATTTCTTTCCCTACATATTAACAGTTATTATTATTTTTTTAAATTTTTATATTCCATCACTACAATGCTTTACCTATAAAATAGATTTCCCTTTCCTTTCTAATTTCATTCAGTGATTATTATGCAATTATTTTAGCTCCAATATTGTAGTACTGAACCCCTATTACCCAACTGTCCTCGTTAACTTATCCTAAGAGCTTAATTAATACTTAATGTATTACATGTGTTTTGTCATTATTCATTGTAATAAGTCTTTTGACCAGATTTGTAGTTAATATATATGAACAATACTGTTATTCTAAAGGGACCTAGTCCCAGAATAAAGATGATTTTTCTATTTCTATTTCTATTTCTAAATTTGTTAGTTGTGGAACTTACCTCGCTTAGCAAGAGATCCACTGGATTCCAAATTAAAGTTGTTATTCCTATTAGAGCAAGTATACTACCTGCCATTAGGTAGAGTATGTAACCTGTAAAGAGAACAATATTTTAGAAAATGTGTGTTTTAATTTGTAATAAATTAAAAGATTTTTTATTTATTTTAATTCATTAACTATCCCTTTCTGGAACTAATCTTATAACTATGTGCTTCCTTAAAATAGTCTTTATGGAAAATATATTAGATTAAGTAATACAATCTCTAGTTTTGTAAAAGGAAATTTAATTCCTTTTTTTAATTTTTTTTTTAAAGCTATCATTACTTCTCGATTGATGCTCGTATAAATAGCCTGTGTTATAATATTGATTGAATCTTTTATTTCCAAAGTGAATCCTAAACATCCATGAACATTTTTCTGGAAACACTAAAAACTATATCTGGTCACCGGAGGTAGACATCATGTCCATTTTTTAATTAAATGGTTTAGTTACTAAAAACAAATTTTAATAGCTCAAAGTTATGGAAAATTGGCTCCATGAACAAATAAAAAAATGTGACATATAATTTTTTGCCTCCAGGACACAGATTTAGTTACTAAGAAATGAATTTTAATGGCTGAAAAGTTGTGAAAAATTGACTCTGTTGAACAAATAGAAAAATGGATATGGTGTTCTTTACTTTTGGGGTAAAGATATTTTCTATTACAATTGTAGTATCAAAATCAATATTTTTTAAAAAGTAAGTCAAGAAATTCTTTGTTTGTAGGACGTTTTTTCAAAAATCAGTGATTATTTCAGTAGTAATTAAAAACTTCAATAGGGCAGCTTTTGGAAAGAATTAAACTTCAAGATCCATTTTTGATCAAAAAAATATTGATAGGGGGTTCGGTTTGGAGAAAAAAGTGGTTTATGATTCGGAGGGCAGAGTAATAAAAATTGTACTATAAAAAATTGTTTTCAATTATGGTGCAATACAATAAAATAATTAAAAATTTTAATTTGAATAAAATGGTAGGGAAGGGGGGAGGGTTACCGAGCGGGCTTACACCTGTGCAAAACATCCATTGCTCAAGCAACCATCCTCATGATATACCAAAGTTTACAAGGTATAAAAAAATAATAATAAAAGTTCGTATCCTGGTGCCAGTGAGCGTTTAACTCTGGCATTAATCCTCTTCCTCATCCCTGGCCCAGGAAAATCCCACTATAGTCCAAAAGCCTAAAAGGCGAGTAAGAGGTGGGAAAAAAAAATGAATAAAATGTTACAAAGCTTTTCATGAATTATTTACTTAAGAATATTTAAGAGATGTAAGTTTCATTTCATTTCTTGAAAAAAGGCCTGTTTTATAAATAAACTTATTTTCATAACACTTATTTAGGTTCAATTTTGAAAAAAAAAAAAAAAATTGCCACCATCGGGTTTATTGGATGATTTTACATGGGTATCGATACTTATCTCGATTCCAAAAAAAATTAATTAGGGACACTTTGGAAATATTCATATCAATTAATATAATTTAAAGAGCTACTATTAGTTACTATATTAGTTTTTTCTTTATTTCTAATTTCAATTCCAATTTTATCTCATAATAGTATAATTAATTTTTTGGGGGGAGGGCATGGGGGTACATAAGATCTCATCATTCAAAAATTGCTTTGTACACCAAATTTAAGTGCCTCTGGTTTTGTCGCTATACCTGATTTGCTGGATGAAATAAATAAACAAATAAATGAATTATTTAATTAAATAGTTGTAAAGTTTATTTAATTCATTAAAATTTTATAAATTTGTGTTCTTATTTCTATTATTTTTGTAAATTAGAAGTTATAAAATGTTCTTTAATTAAAATAATAAAATTATTAAAAGTTTATTTATTATTATTTTTTTTACTTATTGCAATTATACTGCGTAAGTTTCATACATTTTCTATTAATCAAAACAGTGGATATTTAAATAAAAAATAAAATATTGACTATAGGCATTGAAAATCTCGAAAAAATGTTGAATTTTATGAATGAAAAAATAAGTATATAAAAATATGTACAGCGTGATACAGATTTAATTTCTATAATTTTTATACACAGTGCAATCCTTATTTATAGATTTGAGATTTCAGAGTACTTTCAAGCGTTTCTTTGTACAAACAGAGGGTAAGTAAAATTATTAATATATTATGAAAATAGTGATATACATATACATCCGTATGTATGTGTATATACTTATATCCTTACACATTTTAAGATAAATAGTTAAAATAGATCTAGGACTTAGAATTTTGATGTTTGAATCAATAGTTGAATTCTATGCGTGTTAAGAGAATTCTCAGTTTATTATAACTGTTTAATAATTTTTACATAAATTTATATTCAATACAATTTAAATTACTGTTATCCATTAGATATGTGATCGATGACTTACCCTTCTGTATTCAAAAAGTTTTGGGCCTCATATGTTTAATATTTTTGATATCTTATCTTAATTATTTGGTACCTATTAGGAATATCTTAATACCTAAGGGGTGATAAATAATGGAATATTCCCTTTTCCTCTGTAGTATGCTTTTAAATATGGATGAGGAGGAATCCAAGTGGTCTTAGTAATAAAATGTCTATATTGAGTCTTAAAAAAAAAAGTATTAAAATTCTAAAATGTTAGTAATTGTTATCTGAGATTAGTTATTATTAATTGAGATTTATTTGTTTATTTTAGTTGAAAATAGAAAAATTGCTCTGTCTCGAAGGGCTTAAGTGGGGGTGATGTTGTGTTTTCTATCTGTTTTAGAACCTCTTAGAGTACAATTAGGCGGTTTTTAGAGATGTAAATTATATTTATGTAATTAGGTCAATTATATATATTCCCGCCCATTATGTCTCGGCCTCTCTTTGGATAGAATTGGCTAAAATTCAGTTTATAGGTTTTTTTTTTCTCTAAGAAGAATAATACCATAAAAGTTTGGTCCAAATTTTAGCATAGGCAAACTGATTTTCGAATTTTACTCTGCTTTTTTAACTATTTCGCATCTCTTCAGCCACTCCCAATTAAATTAGAAGGTTGTAATTTTGTATCTGTATTAAACTGATGTTGGTGAAGTGTCTTTCAAGCTTCTCATCGCCACCCGCCATTTTGTTTCAAGATGACAGCGGAAAAACACGTGTTTTTATAGACTGTAGCACCATAACGGCAGCAAAAATTTTGATGGAATTTTCTTAAAGTTTTTATGAAACAATTTAATTCCTTTTTATATGTTTTTCAATCTAAAATTATCATAGGGACTACGTGAAGGAACTCTGGTACTTTTTTTTTTCTCTCTGCTAAAATACTTTAAATAAAAATAACTGAAAATGTATTTACATTTTATTAGAAACGTTCTATTTAGACCCTCTCAAGTGTATTTATATGAATACTTATTAACAATGTCTGCATATTATTTATGGATAATTTCCAATAAATATTAAATATACTTGATGGGAAAGATTGTTGTTTTTACCAAAAGCTTTAAAATAGCTGATCCTAGTTTAAAACCCATTTGGTGTTTTAACGTATAGCTGCATGCTGGAATATAAGACAAGGACGCCAGGATAGAACGTGACGTTTTTGCCTGCAGATTCAGTAGCAATATTAATATATTTTTATAATGACCTTTTGTTTCAGCTGTTTATTTATTTTCAAACTTTCATTAATGCTGCTACATTTACTCATAGATTTCTTTAAAAATCCAAATCGAATGGGCTTAAATATTTTCAAGACGGATAGTCCAAGAGCTGATCGAAATTTTGCAACTCATTCGAAGAAAATTTGTAGTCGTACCTCGTTAAGATGTTCACCGTCAGAATTCATCTTACACTAGTTTGCCAACTAAAAGCCACCATTTTAAATTTAAAGTGGGCCCATAATACGTGAAATTGGTTTATTTGGAGATGATTTGTTTCAAGCCCGCATGATATAATAACCGTTGTATGTCGATGATATGTATCATATTACGACTCTATATTGACTATTTTCTTTCAGATTTAAGCTGAAATCTATTCATGAAATCTGGCCAAATGGTAAATTAGGAATTAATACCACATTTTAATAAAATATTAAGAACAAAACCTTCGAGCAGCTTGAAAAATAGTAGTAACGTTATTGAAGCTAGAAAAAAAAAATACGATGATTTCATCGTAAGTCGACAGATTTTTTGCTCGTGATTCGAGTTAGATATTCAGGATTAATAGGATGTCTGTAAAACTTCTTTTAACTTCTACTAATCTTCTCCAACTCTACTCCAAACTTCATAACATTACGTAAAAGAGCTAACGTAAAACTTCACATCTGGAGGGTAACATACCTCCAAAATTAGAAGAACTTTTTTAGAGCTCATTTTAATGAAGTTAAGAAGTTTTTGAAGAGAAAACTTCTTTCGATTAAAAATCGGACCTGTATACTGTAAGTTAATGAAATGATCAGCATTTCATCGTCTTTGTAATGAACTATTATTTATAATTTATATTTCATATTATTAATCGCGCCTTGTTGATTTTTTTACTTATATCGTTTCGTTTACAGCACACGCCTTATTTTTTTTATGAATAATAAATTATTAGAAAATTTGTATGCGTTCCATTTAAAATCCTTTAAGCTTATGTATATAACGTACGTCTCCGAAAAAAGCATGGGAAATGTTTTGAGGAATACAAAATTTTATTTACGAATAATTAAAAAAATAAGCATTTTTTTCTTAATCGATAGTTTCAGAATTAGATTATTTCCTACAAAATAAAAAAAAAATAATTTAAATTATACTATTCGTTGTAGAGATATTGCATTTTGAATTTGGTGTTATATGTTCTCTTGGAAATTCAATTTCTTTTTATTTGTTTTTTTGATAACTCAAATATACAAATCTACTAGTAGATTTCTAATGCTCGTTTTACAATTATTTACATTGCTCAATAAAAGAAAAAAAAATTATAAAATAAATATTTTTGAATCGATCCAATCTTAGTATAAACTATAATGAACTATTGTGTAATGATTTGCAACGCTTTTATTTATCTGTTTAATATCAATGAAACAATTTAATACTGTATCAACTTTTTAAAAATAAAA